TTATCAGATAATTCACATCCCTTTGAACTTATCGAAAATTCACGTTGTTCATTAATTACCACAAATACTCAGTTACTCATCCTTTTCAAAATCCCGATCCTTAATGATCACTCTTTCCGACTTTACCATATTTATCCCATACATAATGAAGAAAACATTGTACTACTGCCTCCTGCAACTTTCTATGGAGATAATCGCTGGTATTCTACATGCACCGATGTAGGACCAAAAATCGTATGTCAACCCGCTTCCACCACAAGATGTCAGCTTCCCAGCTTAGAAAATTGTACCACTGCCAAGCTTTCCCAGCCTGTCATCCAACAAACAAAGAAAAACCTGATCGTCAGTACAAATGAGCCAATCCAAATCGTTGAAAGATGTTCCCAGACTCACCGAAATATTAGTCAAGCAGCAATTGTTTATTCTTCATGCCCAATCGAAATTAATGGACAGATTTACAGCACTACTTCAGAGCAAATCGAAGTTCCTGATATCATCCCTATAAAGATCCGCCCAAAGTTTAACTTACAGATCAACGAGTTGCAGCCACTCAAAGATGTACCACAGCTATCGGCCATACAGCCCTTACATCTAAGCCCTACAGTGACGTCTACAACAACTTGGTCCATGGCAACCCTAATGCTCATCATCGTCACAGCGAGCATTTACTTCGTCTTAAGAAAAAGAAGAAGACTCCAGACGCTTTTCTTCAAGCCGAAAATTTCCATTGCCGACTTGGAAAACCTAAAACTTCAAAAGTCCGAGGACGGACTTTCAGCTTAGCGAGGGAGGCGTTATAGGTCAAGAACCCGAGGCGTCAGCAAGACGACACCGCCAGTCGCAACGACAGCAGAAACCTTTATTAAAACTATTTTGCTTTTATATTTTTAATTCATTATCATTCCAACTTGTAACACGTTCATGTCTACAAAATAAATATTTTTTAAAAACTCCTTGTTGTGGCTGAGAAACATAATTCGCGCCATAATTTATTACAACTGTCAGACACAATTATCGCAACATGAATGCCTTGCTGAGTTACTGTTTGTTTTCGGCAACGAAGCGCCACATCAGTCGACAATTTCCCGTTGGTATGGAGAATTCAAATGTGGACGGGTGAGTATTAGCGACGGTACCAGGGTGGGTACACCAAAAGCGGCAGTCACCCAGCAAAACGTCGATGCTGTGCGCAAACTCATCATTGAAGATAGACATGTGACATATCGCGAGATTGAGGCGTCCTTGAATATCTCAAAGACCTCAATTAAAAAATTTTTACATGAAGAATCAGGAGTACGAAAATTAGTTTCTCGTTGGATACCAAGCCAATGTTAATTGGTGTCAAAAAACGCTTGACCGTTTCAATTACGGAAACTAAAAAAATGTGTACAGCATTGTTGGTGGTGATAAATCGTGGATTTACTATTATGAACCAGAAAATAATCGACAGTCGGCTTTTTGGGTGTTTCGTGAAGAAAAGTCATCCGTTCTCAAAGTGTTTCGAAAAAGATGGTCGCGACATTCGTGTCAAAAGCGGGTCATATTGCAATAATTCCTCTTAATAAGTAAAGAACTATTACTGCGGATTGGTATACTACCACTTGTTTGCCAAAATTCATCACCGAGCTTCGAAAAATCAGCCCCGATAGAAGAATCATCCTCCACCAAGACAATGCAAGCTCGCACGCAGCCCAAAGAACAAGGCAATATTTAACGGAAGAAAACGTGGAATTATTGGACCATCCTCCATATAGTCCCGATCTAAGTCCCAGCGATTTCTTTACTTTCCCGAAAATTGAAAACAGACTGCGTGGTCAAAGGTTCCAGTAACCAGAAGAAGCAGTTGACGCATTCAAAAATGCCGTTTTGGATCTGCCAGCAAACGAGTGTTAATTTTCGTGGAAAATACTTCGAAAAACAATAAAGTCATTTAAAGCTACCTACCGTGTTGTTTTATTTCCATATGCAAAATTTGAAAGACTCTCACAGTGGGCATGTACGTAATGCCACATTTCCCTACTAATCTCTACAACACCGTGGTCTGACTTACCCAGTGGAGATAGCAGCAGTGCTTTAAGGGACAGGATGCGTGGTCAGAAAGAGAATCAGCAGGCTACTGGCATGTGACAAAATGCGGGGAAAAAAGTAGAGCCCGTCCCAGCTGGGTCAGCCCATAGGTAATAGCGAACGCTTCAACTGCACGATCTGCAGCATCGGTCTTATTTAAGCCCAACCAAAGCTCATTGTGAGCATTGAAATCACCAAGGAGACCTACTTCTGAATCAGGGTGATTCATGTTCAGGAAGTCGATCTTGACAGCGAGGTATTCAAGTAGGCCATCCCAATTATGGTCCGAGGGAGAGCGATAAAGGAAGCAAATACATTTGGGGGATGTTTTGGAGTTGAGGCAACGCGACAGAATGTACTTTCGGCCTGATCCCAAAGAAACTTCTTTGGAGCAAGAAAGACTGCTGCGGACAGAAGCCACAACTTCCCCGTTCTTTCTGAGATTGGAGTGCACCTCGTAATTTGGGAAGCTAAGATGATTAATCAGTGCAGTCTCTGAGATTTTTGTCTCCGCCAAGAAAAGCATGGCAGGATGATTGGATTGCAGGTAGTGATGAACAGCATCAAAGTTGCTGTTGTCGTGAAACCATCGATGTTGTTCCCTCGAATTCACCCTCCATCCGGACATTCCGAGAGTGGAGTGAATTTACTTCCGGAATTCTTAGTACTTGTACCGCCACCCAGCAATCGGTACTGAGGTATTCCTTAACGCATGTCCAATCACCAAACTTGAACGGGAAGAAGTTGTATACTGGATACAAAAACTTCCGGGACAAGCATTTGCTCATCAAAAAATAAAACTAAAACTATTTCAAAACTATTTCTCTCTCCATGGCGATATTGTCCTGGGATCATGCAGAGAAGCGGTTTTTATTTTTTAAGCAAGCGCAGTAATCAAATTTGCTTGGAAATGATTGGGGATTTCAAGAATAATTTTTATTTTATCAATGGGATACCATCAATGTCTACCTAAATAGGCAGGTGAAAGTCCGTACGAATAAAAATTAAAAAAAATGTGTTATATTGAACAAATGCCTCTTGACACATGATAAAAAATATCTAAAGTGGTATTACAAACCTTAATAGTAATAAATGATTTATTTTTGAAAACTCAAATCATATCTCAAAAGCTAAGACGTTAAGGACATAAGTTCATATGCAGTTTTCTTCTTAATTTGCAGCCAAAAATCATCTCGTTAAATATAACATAACATATGCAGGGTACAGGGGAAAATAGATGAATGTCACAAATTTGGTGTCTTGTAGCAACGACATGTAGTCTTAACGCAGTACAATCGCATGGGGTATCGGAAACACGCAACAACAATGACAGTTCGTAGTTATACTCAATTGAAAACTTGCTGAGCTGGGAAAAAAATATTAATGTCACAGCCGTTGTATGAAAAAAAGATGAACGTGCACTGATCGTCACCGAAACAGCTTACCGTACACCAATCTGCGACGAAACAAATAAACGTTAAGTAATCATTTTTAAAAAGTTACCATCAATTTTGTTTTGTTTGTTCTATATTCTTTTAAATAAAGATTTTTTGATTTATTGTTTTTTCTTGTCCCAATTAAAAAATACTTAGAACTAAGTCTGTGTTATTGAAGTTAGAACATGTCTTCTGTGCTGGGCTTTGTGTAATAAATTCAATGTTAAGGTAGTTCTTATATTAGAACAGATCTTAAAACTTAAGAGAGGCATTTTGCTGGTTAATCAACCCTTAGATTTTACAGGGTGTCGCATAACCTCAATATCTCAAAATAGTCGAATTGGGGCATGGACGCTAACACATAAAAATGTTTAAAATCGTAAGGAGAATCTTAAATACAAAAATAAAATTTTCCATTAATAAACGTTTGGTCTGGTTTCACTTTGGGCTACCCTGTATATCAGAATATATTGTTTTATTTATAATTTAACTTTTTTCAATTTCTTTTAATAAGGAATGTATGTTACTCCGTCAGATCTACAACGAGTCGAGGAGCCTCCAAACTTTTAAATTCACTTTTCTCGAAACTTACTTTTTTTGACATTCATCTTTTTTACCTTGTACCCTTCATATTTAAATAGAATTCTGTACAATTCATAAAGAACAACAATCTACTTATTTCTCACCTCTAGATTGGTAGCCACGCACTCCATCCTCCAAATGAAGAGACAAAAGATGAGACCTCACCGATTGAGTTTGTAAACGCACGATTGTTCTTTGAAACATACGAAAATCATACTTGAAGTTATGCCAGAATCACTTTGGCTTTCCACGTTCCATTGATCAAACACAAAAAACAATGAAAACAAACACGACGCTTCGCGCAGCTTGTTACTACCGGTACCACTACGTCTATAGGTGAGAACCGACTGATGATATCACTCTTATCAACGGTTGGCGCATGCCAGTCGGCGCGATATGCTGACCATAAAGGCCGATTTACATTTCACAGTAGCGAGTTAACTTGCGTCATCGCCGAGTTAAGTTGTTATTGTCATTTGAACGGCAAAAGCGAGTTAAGTTATAAGTTGTTAATTAAGTTGACTTGAATAGATCGTGATCCTATTTTTCGGCGAGTTCAGTGCGAAATGGCCCCCTCGCGTCTCCCGCACCCCTGCCAACTTAACTGGCTGACGTGTAGACGGCTGAGTTTAGTACAGTCCATAAGTGTGCGCACTGCGGCCGCGCGCGACCATGTGTTATTATTTTGTCGTGTTAAAATGAAGTGGTCTGATAATACTACCTTTACATTTGTAAGAGAATACCTTAACCCTGCGTCAGTCGCGCAATCTAAAATTACATGAGCGGTCGCATCGCGGCACTGAGTGCCGCATCTGGACAAATGACTTATTTTGTATTATTATAGAGAAAACATTGACTAATAAGTTTGTAATTAAACAGAATATACATTTAAAAAATCAGTTTATTTATAATATTGCGCTCTTATTTATTTAAACATTCAAAATTAAAACATTATTCTATAGCGAACATAAAAGATAAACACTGAATTTTTAAAGTGAAAATGGTAACGTAGCCACCAAGAGACTTAATTCTAAAATAAATCAGTCTTCCTCCATCGGGGTATTCAAACAAGTATCACATTGAACTGTTTTTTTGCAATGGCTTTTACATACAAACTGATAACATGAGTCACATCTAACAGTAGTTTTATTATTTTTATGCGCACTACAAACATGACAACGTCCACTACCATTTTGCTTTATTGCAGGTACCTCATCAACAGTAGTTTGGTATCGCGAAAAAAATTCTCTAATGTCTTTTGGAAGTGTAATTATTTTCGCTCGTTCCGCCATATGATGTTCCATTAGAGACACGCCTAATTCGTTTAAGAATTTTCGTCTTCTAGGAGACTCTTCTGTAGGTTTAGTATTATTGAATCCAATTTCAGCGTTTATCCCAGTAATATCAAGTATGCGGGAAAATATTGCAAGGGGCCATCGTCTCTGGGTTGTATAAGAGGCACATTTTTGATCAACAGTATCGACACCACTCTTCGTCCTGTTATAATCCAAAATGATGGTTGGCTTATTTGTTGCCTCGTCATCCTCTCCTTTGTCATCAAAAGAAGAAAGAATTATCACAGCCTTATTCTTTTTGGGTACGTAAGATACCAAATTAATTTCGTCCTGAAATCCGAATAATTTAGAACCAACTATTCGTGCTTTATTCGGAAGGAATTCCGGAGGTATTTCCTTTTTATTTTTCTTTATTGTACCTATTAACGTAAGGCCATTTTGCAAAAGATAATCTGCTAGGGGATAGCTCGTATAATGATTATCTGTTGTCAGGTTTCTCTTGGAATTGTTTAAAGGGTCTACCAACCTTCGAACTATATCGAATGGCTTATTACTTGTCTGAAAGGGACCATCTCGTTGTTGCCCACAATAAATCTCAAGATTCCAAGTATAATAGGTGCGACTATCACACAAAGCATATATTTTTATACCGTATTTTGGCGGCTTTTGCGGCATATATTGCACGAACCCACATCGCCCCCGAAACGGATGGAGCATTTCATCAATGGTAATGAATTCTCCAGGGATGTAATTATTCATACAATTCTTTACAAAATCGGAATATATATCCCGTATTGCAGCTAATTTATCTATATTTTGGCGTTCTTTCCTGGTGTTGATATTGTCAAATCGTAAAGCACGTAAAAGGAATAAAAATCTTCTGAAACTAAAAGCAGCCCGAAGTCTAATCATTCCAGTTCCATCTGTACTCCACAGTTCTCGCACATCTACACGATTTCCTTTCTTTACTGCAATTATATATAACGCTCCGAATAATGCCTGGATCTCCGTGGACGAAGTTATTTTGCAATCTCTATCTCTTGTAAAATTTTGTTTTTTATTTTCTATATATAAATTTGTGCATGTTAGGATATTGTCAATCATCTCATTGGAAATAAATATATAAAATGACTCTAAATGATTTGACACAGTTTTCGCAGCTCCTTTTGAACCTGGTAATATCTTGATTATATTTTTAGACCTAGTTTTACTGGTAAAACTCACAGGAGTGCTTTTCCAAAGATTCTCTTCGTCCTTTCCAATCTAAAAGAACTCATCTCCTTGATTCTCCAATTCGTGTGTATAGTCCGAGTCCTCACCGGCAGATTGCTCAGATTCGCTGTCGTAAACATTGTACTGACTAACTTCTTCTTCTCCTTCGCTTTCATCTGCAAAGTCTACTATATCCTCATCGAAATCAGAGAAATTGTCGAAGATCTCTTGCAGCTCTCGTTCAGTGAGTGGTCTCTTTTTATCCCTAAAATATCAAAGATTATATATTATTCCACAATCCCAGGTTGATAAAGCACACCAATTCGGAAAAAAATAACAATAATAATGAGCTATAATGGTTTTGTAATATATTTTAGCGATATCTATATCAAACTAATAACATACATCTTAAATCATTAGATTTAGAAATAACTTTTTAAAAAAATTTATTTGAGGACTGAAGCTTCAGTCCATATAAAATACAAAGGTTTACAAATGTGACATTTACGGAGTCTAACCGGGTATTGAACAACAAAGTTTATATAAGTGACAGTTACGGTGCCTAGCCGGGTATTGAACAACAAAGTTTATATAAGTGACAGTTACGGTGCCTAGCCAGGTATTGAACAACATGAAATGGGCGCAAGGCTTATTTATACTATTGGTGTGCTTACAAAGCACTTCTAGAAAATAAAGCGTAAACAACGAGTTAGCGAGAAGTCCTTATCTGTTGCTGAGCTAGCGTCTGGTGCAACATTGTATGGAATAGTAAGTCCATTGTTTTGAGTGCATATAACAACTTCCCCCTATTACAAAAAGTTGTTGCCATGCGACAACTTTTGACAAAATTAGAAAAGTGTAAAAGATGTAAAAATTCAAAAATGTAAAAATGTAGAAATGTAAATTGTAAATATTGTAAAATATAAAAATATAAAAGTAGGAGTAATAAAATTGCAAAATAACATCAGAAAATATAGATTCTGAAAAATAAAATTGTTAGCATAAATGCGGTGCATTGGCGATGTAAAATAACATCTAAAAGCAAAGCTGGAACAAACAAATAATAAGATACAATCGTACAGTCGTACGGGTAAAATCACATGGAAGATAACACGAAAATTGAAAATGGTTTTTTTTTTTTTTGAACAGTGAAAACACTTCACGGAACACTCACTGCAGTTCGATGTCTTCCTCATGTGGCTGGATGGTTGGTCTACGTCGAGGAAAAAGTCTGGGAATGTACCGGACTTTTGGTGCTCCTGGAGATGGGCCATCGGCTGGATAATTTGATGCGCAGATGCTGAGTGGTCTTCGTTTTCTGCACTTGCAGAACAGGTACAAAGCTACGATGATAACTAACAGGGTGATGATAAAATACGTGAACCATGAGAGATGTCTCGAAACAAACGGCTCGTTCATAATTTTGTCCAGTTGTTCAGAATATTGGTTTAATTTGTGATTGGCAATTTCGAGTTCTTCAGTATCGATCTTGCTTAGCTTGATCGGTTTTAATTTTGGTAAATTTTGTTTCTCTGGGAGATGTTCACAGCATTTGTAGGGTACTTCTACAGGGTGACTTTTGTATGTGATATTCTTGTAGGTGCTAACAGAATATCTAGAATGTAATCTCGTGGTGCCTACAAAGCCACTGCATTCGGGTTGCATTTTTAAAAGTGAATTAACTTTTATCACTTTGGTGGTAGTCTCTCGTTGTCCACACTTCATCGTAATTGGCAGAGGGCTGGATATAGTGATTAGCCAAAAATTGGTTGCAAGTTCTTGGATTTTGTAATCTTGCAATGCCACAATTGCTATTTGGCAGGCTGTCGGCAGATCGACCGGATTTCGCAACAACTGTGCTTCGCAGATTGCATTACTGTCTATTGGATACGGCAAGAGGTTGAAATATATTTTCACCTGAGACTGAAGAACTTTACAACTACCTAAGTTTTGAAAGGAAACGTACAAAAGAGAATCGCTATCTTTGGCAATGTATCTCTGTATAGTGGAGACTACATGAAACAAACCAGTACGTTTATCGAGAGTGGGTAGAGGAATCACTCTGTATAAAGTATACATTTCGGGCTCTAATAACGGGATGCGTAGAACGAATACTACTCTTGATTTAGTTTGATATGCTTCGAGTTCCATAAGATTAAGGTACTCTGACACTGTTGCCAAATTAACCGGAAGGGGTAAATTATTTCTCGACAAAGTGTGAGAAATTTCTTGAAGAGAATTTACTAAGTCTTGAGGAGTGATAATAGAAGGATGTATTATTTTTAAGCGTGCAAAAGTAATTGAATTTAGAATATCATTAATTGTCTCTTCCAGAAACATGTAGCTTTCCATTAATTGTTCGCAAACTTCTAAAAATTGGAATTTAGCTTCATAAAATGCAAGATCGTCTGAAATTTCATAAATTTTGTTTTCAATGACCTTAATATCTTCATTAAACGTAGTTTCATCAATCATAAGTTTTTGAATAGTGTTATTAAAATTCTTGATAACCGACATGGTAACAGAAATTTGGTTCTTCATGAGGTTTCCGAGCTCATGTTCATCTTTAGAAATTTTGTTAATACAATCGTTATAGTATTCACCGTCCGATGAATCGAGGTTGCCGGTTATTGCTTTCCATACAGTACCTATAGCGTTAATCAGACCGCGTTTCATCCGCGATGCGCTTACAGTGTCATCGAAGATCGCGTAATATTTAGATTCCAAGGAACGAGAAATTTGATAAAGGAGACTTGTATGAGTTTTAATTTCACCACTAAACATTTTCATACGATTGGTGGGTTTGTCTACGAGATATGATAAGTGTTCCAGAATATAGTTGTTATCGTCAAGTGCTTTCTCAATGAGTTCTAAGTCTTTATATACAAGGAGTGTCCAAATTTCGTTGGAAATCTTAAGAGGGGCGTCTTCATGAAAATAGATACCTAAGGTGTTGTTAAGCGGTTTGATGTCTATCTGGGCTGTGACAGCCACAAGAAACAGCAGACTGCACCTGAAAGAGAAACTAAGTCTCAAAACATGGTTTCAGTCTGTCAAAATTAACTTTACTTATTCTATTCGTTTCCGGGTTCTTAAGGAGCGCAGAATTTTCAAAAACTTGAGTAATTTCGAATGGACCATCAAATTTGTTCTGAAGTTTGTTTGAAATTTGAGACTGTTTCACAAAGACTTTATCTCCAACTTTATACGATTGTAAATTGGGTGACATTCTACTATCAAAGCGAATTTTAGCTTTTTGCTTCTGTTCCTCAGTTCTCACGCGGGCAATTTTGTAGTAATATTCGAGTTTATTCCGAATGTCTCGAACATACTTGGACATCAATTCTTTTTCTAAATATACGTGTTCGGGCGGACGACCAGAGGTGTGGCCAAACACGAGCTCGTATGGTGTAAAGCCAGTAGTTTTATTTCTAGTACTATTGTAGCACTGAACAGCATAGGGAAGAATATTGAAGGGATGTTCGTCGGGATGTTCGGATACATGGGATCTGATCATTTCCAATAAGGTGGCGTGAAATCGCTCAATCGAGCCATTGGACTGGGGATGACTGACACTAGAAAAGGTTAATTTAATGTCATAAAGACTACAAACGTCTTTCATGAGGGCGTTGTCAAATTCTTTTCCGTAATCACAGTGTATTCGGAGAGGTGTACCATAATGTTGGAAATATAAAAGTAGAGTATTCACTACAGATTTTGCAGATTTGTCGCTAACTGGATAGGCTTGAGAAAATTTTGTTAGCTCGTCTCGGATTGTGAGAGCGTAGCATTTAGGTGGGACTTCCAAAATGTCAATGTTGATTCTTTCGAACGGGGCTTTAGGGGTTTCAGTTACTACAAAAGGGGCACTTAGGTTTTTACGACAAATTTTGGTCTTTTGACAAATTTCACACTTTTTGATGAAATGCTCAACGACTTTAGTTAAGCCGGGCCAATTATATCGTTCACGAATTCGCCTAATTGTTTCATTAATTCCTCGATGAATGTTTTTCTTACCACAATGGTATTGATCTAAAATGACGGGGATTTCATCGGGACTAGGAGTTTTGGTGACGTTTTGGCAAACGACAAGTTTGATATTATCATCCGAAAAAATAAAAGAGAAAATTTCTAAAATGGGTAAGTCCAAATTATTTTCAACGTAGATTTGTTGGGATAGGTCGAATACACCTTTGTTGGTTAAAATTACAGAGAAAAGATGCTGTATGCAAGTTACGGGATCGTATGGCACAGGAATAATATAGTATTTTCTATCTTTAATTGTTTTGCTAGACGCGATGTTAATTTTATCTGCAGAAAAATCAAGATTTTCCTCGAATATGTCTTCAATAATTTTTTCGTGAAGATCAGATAGAGTGTTTTGTCTGAAAAACGTGACGATATGTTTATGACTTTTGTCTAGGAGTTGGGAATTTGAAAATTGAATTTTGGAATAATCGATCAGGGATGTGGTTTTGTAAAGGCGGGCAAAGATATCAAATTCACTTTCGGAAAATTGGGTAGAAGGTTCTCCTTCTTCGTCACTATGGGTAAGGGCGTTAACAGTTTTGGGTAATTTGATACGTGATAGGGCATCTTCATTTTTATTAGCCTTGCCTGGCTTGTACACTATTTCATAGTCGTACTCCTCTAGCTTGAGGCGCCATCTTGCTAATCTACTTCCGGTGTCTCGGCAAGAGAAAAGCCACGTAAGGGGTCTATGGTCTGTTACGAGTTTAAACTTTCGACCATACAAATAAGGTCTAAAATGTTTTACACTCCAGACAATAGCTAGAAGTTCTCTTTCAATGGTGGAATATCTCGTTTTTGCTTTACAAAGTGTACGAGATGCATAGGCTATCGGGAGATCTTTACCTATGGGACCTTGGGAAAGAACGCCAGATATCGCAAAAGCGCTTGCGTCTGTTGTAAGCACAAAAGGCTCTTCAAAGTTGGGGTAGATCAGTATAGGAGATGTTGTTAAAGCATTTTTTAAAGTATCAAATGACTTAACACACTCGCTATCAAAGTCAAATACTGCGTCTTTCTGTAATAGTCTGGTAAGGGGTTTCGCAATTTTGGCAAAGTTTGGTATAAAGCGTCGGTAGTAACCTGCAAGACCTAAGAAAGATTTTATTTCTTTAGGATTCTTGGGTTGAGGGAATTTTTTTATGCAATCCACTTTATCTGGATTGGGCTTAACGCCATCAGTGGTTATTACATGACCAAGATAGGCTACTTCCTTTCTGAGGAATTCGCACTTATCAGGCTGGATTTTGAAATTCGACTTCCGAAGACGCGTAAAAATTTCGGTAAGCCTACTGATGTGTTCTTGGATGGAGGGGGAATAGACAATTATGTCATCCATGTATACAAGACATCTTTCGTTTTGTATACCCATCAAGATGTTGTCCATGACACGTTGAAACGTGGCAGGAGCGTTCTTGAGACCAAAAGGCATCCTCAAGAATTGGTAATGTCCGTTTTCAACTGAAAATGCAGTTTTAGGAACATCAACTGGATTTATCTCGATTTGATGAAATCCAGATGCCAAGTCCAGTGTACTAAAGTACTGGCATTTCCCTAATTGATCAAGTAGATCGGAAATGTTTGGCAGGGGATATTTATCATCGATGGTGATTTCGTTAAGCTTACGATAGTCAATCACCATACGCCATTTCTGTTTACCAGAGGCGTCCATTTTCTTTGGTACAACCCACACCGCAGAATTCCATGGCGATGTGCTAGGTTCGATAATACCTTGTTTTAGTAATTTCGAAATTTGATCTCTGACTTCTTGCTTGTGGACATAAGGGTATCGGTAGGATTTGGTAAAAATTGGTTTACTGGTAGTGGTATCAATTGAATGCTTAATTTCGTTTGTAAATGACAGGCTATCACCATCTAAGTAGAATATGTCCGAAAAATCTAAGCAAAGATTCGTAATTAAATCTGTTTCCTCTTCGTTGAGATGATCGAGACGTAATTGATCTCTAATAACATCTCTACGGTTATACTGACTTTGATTTTGTAAAGAAGTGTTGAAATTATTGATAGAAGTTTCGTTAAAGGGCTCGAAAGTTAATTGGGGTAAAATTACATTTTTTGGAATGGCATTACAGTTTAATACTGTAGTAAGGAATTCGCCTTTAGAATCAATTTTAACTATGGAACTGGGTAGACGGACTTTTTCTACCTCACACGCCAGAAGAATGGCTTCAGTATTTCTAAGCTCGGATTTGAGCTTGACAACTTGTTCAACTCTGGGAGGAATAGAAATAACATTTTGAACTTGAGAATTTTCTTTAAATTGCGAAGCTTGGGACTTTTCTTTAAATTGAGAAGCTTTGGAATTATTTTCGTCACCTACTTTGAAAAGAGGGACTGTTTTGAAATTTGTAATCAATTGACGATTTTTCAAATCAATAATACAATCATAATGTTCAAGAAAATCAGACCCAAGAAGGCCATCGAATGAAATATCTAGATCATGGACATAAATTTTGTGATAATCATTGGGAGCAAATGGGACTAAGACTGCTTCAGTAATACTAATTTTTTCGTCAGTAATACCTCGGATAGAGATATTTTCTGCGACACGATTAGTATAATTTTGACAAGTGTTACGTTTGAAAATGGAGCAACCTGCACCACTGTCAATGAGAATTTGGAATTTTCCAGTAGCATCTTTAATGTAATATAAGTTATCTGGGCTAACGGGGTGAATTGTCGACGGGACTATAAACGGAGGGTTTATATGAACATCTGATCGCGTGTGTTGCTGACGCTCGCACACGGTTTCGCGTTCGGGTCCTCGACACTGAGATTCGCTAAGTTCGCACATACTATCGCGGTACTGTCGTTGGGTTCCGCAGGGGGTTTCTCTTTCAAACACTTGGTCCGAAAATCCTGGAATTGTTGTATGTCCGAATAAGCGTTGTCAACAAATGTATCGGCGGTTTGATTATATTCGTAACAATAATCGTTACTGGGTTCTCTAAAATCATCGTATGGGGAAGGTGTGTATGCGGAGTACTGGGTATCGTCATATTCATTAGCGTAGTCCGTGTTGTATAGGTCTGGTTCACCGTAGTCGGAATAATCGTAAGAATCAGGGGCGACATAATTAATTCGATTGGGAGGATTTTGTCTAAAATTTCTTTGAAAATTAGGGTTTTGGAAATTTGGATTGCTCTGAATTACAGAGGGTCTTGGCGCACTCGAGTTAGGCACATTTGGTCGTGTTACAGATGGTCTGGGAGGATATTGATTAGAATTTTGATGGTAGTTAGATGTAGATGGTCTAACTTGCATAGGTTGATTCGGCCTAGGGTAATTTTGAGGTTGGGGCTGGTTAAACTGTCTTGGGGCAAAGCTTGTAGGCTGTTGTCTCCGTTGGCATTCATTTGCCAAGTGACCGGGACGATTACAAAAATTACAAATTTTAGGGTTTGGTCTTCGAATAACTGAATTTTGATTCGGGTTTGGGGTCCTGGCGAATTTTTGTCTTTCTAAATATGAAAGTTGTAACTCTCGTTTGATATACGAAACTGCGGTCAAGATATCCGTGGGATGTCCTGATCGCACAACAGGTCCTATTTTTGAGTCTAATCCTGTTAATAGACAATTTAAAGTCATCGTTTCGATGAGGGAACTTTGAGCAGATTTTTGCTCGCGATTTAGATTTTGCCTATTCACGGCGGAATGCATTTTGGCTGCATGCGTCTGCAGTCTAGATGCAAAGGTTAGGGGTGATTCGTTGGGGAGTTGGCGCATGTGTTAAAGATCCGCGATTAAAGATGTGAGATCTCTAAGATCTCCAAAGTGCGTTTCTAACAGGGACCGTATGTCTTCCCACGTGGAAGGGTTTCGGCTGTTCACAAGTTCGGCAGCACGTCCGCGAAGTTTGTTTTTAATATGTAAAACGACGAGAAGCCGCTGCTCCTCGACGGCCATTTGATATGCCGTTCGGCACGCGTTGATGAAGGTCGATAGCAATATCGGGTTTCCATCGTACTCGGGTACAATCGAAAATATTTCAGATAATCTATAAGGTTCAATGTTCGCATGAACGTTATCAGGAATTTCAGCTGGTTGGTAATCATCTGAACCGTTAGTAGACATTTTAAATGGAAAGTTGTTTCAAAAAGATTCAATAATGTCAAGGGAAAATGCAAAAAGATATAAATGTAAAATAGAAAAATACGTAAAAATGGGGAAAAATACGTGAAAATCGACAATATATAGAGTAAATGCGCAAAAATGCAAATACAAAGATGTAACAATCACACACACAGAGATAAATCGCAAAAAATAGTTAGATTAAAATTGTACGTTACCAAGGGTACATCGGGAGGCAGTCGTGTTCTCCAGGCGGCTAGTGGATCTCTTGCGATGTTTCCAGTAGTCTGTCTGCAGTTGGGTGGCTGCTGCTCGCTGTGTCCCCTGTTGTTTTCCTTTTTCTTGTTGCTTTGTAGTTTCTTACTCGTAGTTTTCTTTCTTCAATGGGTTTCTTTCTTCTTAAGGCTCGTTGGTCCTTTTCAGCTTAAAGGATAGGCATCCACCACACTAGTTAGTATGCACGTGTTCTAATGCGTTGAAGCTATCCCACTTCTCTGACACCAATTTCTTAAATCATTAGATTTAGAAATAACTTTTTAAAAAATTTTATTTGAGGACTGAAGCTTCAGTCCATATAAAATACAAAGGTTTACAAATGTGACATTTACGGAGTCTAACCGGGTATTGAACAACAAAGTTTATATAAGTGACAGTTACGGTGCCTAGCCGGGTATTGAACAACAAAGTTTATATAAGTGACAGTTACGGTGCCTAGCCGAGTATTGAACAACATGAAATGGGCGCAAGGCCTATTTATACTATTGGTGTGCTTACAAAGCACTTCTAGAAAATAAAGCGTAAACAACGAGTTAGCGAGAAGTCGTTATCTGTTGCTGAGCTAGCGTCTGGTGCAACATTGTATGGAATAGTAAGTCCATTGTTTTGAGTGCATATAACATACATGATCGGTCGCGTGGCGGCACGGAGTACCGCAAACTGCGCCTTCTCACTAAAAGTCTCGATTTACACTAAAAGGAAGCATTTCCATCTCCGTTCCCGTAGGTACACGTTGCAAAATATAGCCCACGAAGCGTACCTCGCGAGACAGTGGCGTGCTTCGAAAAATTATTCAGTAACTAGAATAAATTAAAAAAACGCGGCACGGAGTACCGCAGCGCGACCGCCGAAGGGTTAAACATGACTGTTTATTTAATACAAAATGCAATAATTACCGCAATAAACTAGCTAGAGATGCGGCAATTATTAAAATTTGTGTGGTCATGAAAATAAGTGATTTCGGCCCGAAGGAGGCTATCTCTAAAATAAAAAGTAACAGATCGACATACAGCCAAGAACTTGTAAATGTTTGATACTATTTCTCTTATTATAGCACGCACATTGGTATTAAATAATTCAACGTCCATTTTCTGGATTTCCCGTTTCGAAGAAGAAAAACAACCGAAGGCGCGACTAGTCCTATACTTGGAACGGCAACTTATGACTACTTAACTCGCGTACGTTTGGACGCCACTTAATACTTATTACTTAATACTTAACTGACTGATTTCTTAACTCGCTACTGTACTTATTGAAATGTAAATCGGCCTTTAGGCTTGGTTCAGATGATGCGCGTACGGCTGACGCTTGATTTGAAAATACATAGAATTAGAGGGATTCCAGATGACGCGCGTACGCCTGGCGCTCGCTTTGAAAATACACAGAAATGATACTAGCTGTTCACATGGCCGCGCGTATGAGAAATCGTACACGCGTTCGTCGCCACGAGACGGAAATCTCCATACACGCGTCGGCTAGCGTCAACGCGCGTATATTGAAATACTAGACTTCCTATTGCCTGTTCAGTTGGCGCGCGGCCGTTCTGGTGTTTAGTAGATGTACCTGGTGTGTCTAACAAAAATTTCTTTGTCACGTATTGTTCCAAAATGTAAACAGAATTCAACACAGATCTTTTCATTGCTGAAATTGAAAAGAGGCCTGCGATTTGGAACATGCATTCCAAATTGTATGCAAATAAAACAGCAAAAAGAAATGCCTGGGAGGAAATGGTCCTATTTTTTTGCAAATCGGATAATACTGAGGAAAAAAGAAAATATTAGGTAAGTTTGAACAAATGCTTTATTTATAATCAGTGTTACAATAAAGACAATTCAAATAATTCTATCCTGCCGTTCCAGTTTTCCTTCACTCAAAAAATAGTTTGTCAATTTTTGCCGAACCCCATCTGCATCCTGTAGATTACGACCAGTATGTGAACGATTCAATGTTGCCAGTGGTGCTGCGTTTAGTGTATCTTCAAAATGATGTCCATCATTAATTCGTATGTAATTTTGTAAAATACATATAGCTTTAACAATGCTCTCTGCGAATTCTATGTTTACATCCAATGGCCGGTGTAATATTCGCCATGTGTTACACATAATACCAAATGTACATTCAACATAGCGGCGTGCTAATGTTAACCTATAGTTGAATACTTTTTTCCATGTGATAAGGTTTTTCCACCGTATGGCCTCATTAAGTTCTCCATCATGGCAAACGCTTCGTCCGCTACTATAACATATGGTAATTTTCCCTCTTTATTCTCTGTTATTATTGGCGTTGCATCAGGTATATCCAGTGACCTTTCTGTTAGCTTCTTGTAAAGCGTGGACTCTTTGAAAACTCCCGAATCGCTGTCTTTACCATAAGCACCGATGTCTACCCAAATAAAACAATAATTTGAGTCACATAGCGCCATTAATATAAAAGAAAAATAATTTTTATAGTTATAATACATTCAACCTGAATATGCTGGTTATTTGATTCGCACGTGTTTCCCATCCAGACCGCCGATGTAGTTAGAAAACATTGCGTGTTTTTTAAATCCATCTGATATTTCCTTCCACTTTTCTTTATTTGGTTTCTTCATGACAACGTTTTTCATTTTTTCCCATATTACTGGGAAAACGTGCTGAATTATTCTAGACAATGTAGATTTTCCAATCTTGTAACTGTAATGTAGTAATCCACTTGCCAGGTATCTAAAAAATGATAAACTAATGAACTTATTTTGTTTTAGGTTCATCATTACAAAAAAGTGGAAAAATTGAAGAGATAAATATGTAAGAGAATTAAAAAGAAGTACATTGAAGTTAGGCGCGGGTGCATCAACCCAAAGCACACTTTGAAGTTGAGTCATTAATTTTCAGATAATGATTGTAGAAGGAAGATAAACCAAAATATGTGTGTAAAAATTAAAAAAAAAATAAAAAAAAAATGTTACCTTGTTTAATAAAGTATCCTCCCGACAAGTATTTTAGTGCGGACCTGTATTTGATCGTGCGGTCTTGGAGCAGCATGCCCTCACCTGTGAGGTCTTAAGTCACCTGATTCACGAGCCCTTTGCACTACATTAACAAAGGCACAAGGGGTTGGTTGCACTCGATTGGGAAACCGATTCGCATAAATCCGTGATGCATCCGGGAGCATTTCGTAAAGACTGCCCCCCCGTAAATAAGAATCATGTCCACAAGTTCAGCATTTTCGTAAACATGTGCCATTTTTGATTTCGTTTGAGCCACGCAACACACTACTATTCACTCACGTTTTATCGACTGACGAAAAACATCGTGATAAACGTTTCAAATTCTTTCGCTTTTTTGTTTCCGATGCGATGAACCGGTCAGGCGGATTATATCCGTTGTCGCCAAACACGAGCATATAATAGGCAGGGCGGTACTCAAACTTCCAAAGGGCTATAACTTTGTTACTTTAATTTTACCAGAAAAATGGTAAAGGAAAAAAACATTTCTTTTGATCAGATCTACTCACTGTTAAAATAAATGACTCAACTTCGAAGTCACCCTGTATATATATATATATATATATATACTTTAACCGCCTGACCTTTCTTTGAACAACAACCACAAAAAATGATACCGAGAGCAGTTTTGAAGATGGTGTTGATGCCCCTTCTAAACCTCCGGATACCCAGCAATGCCGGAAAAACATTAAGCTCCGTCCAGCTGACGAATATTTCGCCAATATAATAGAGAAAAGCTTAACTAATAAACCTGCAGTAGCAGAAGGTGACGATAAATATTTTTTTTATCTCTGTATAGTGAGATAAAAAAAGTGCCCGCAAACATGAGACTAAAATTAAAAATTGATATCTATAACCTCATCTTAGGAAGACAGCAAACACCCCCGCAGATGTCGAATGCTGCTTATCATGCAGAGCCGTCAACATCAAGGAGTTATTCTCATGAAGCACTTGGACAACAATGTATGTCCCACTCGGAGTATCAGCTAAATAGTTACTCAAATACTCCGTAACATACTCGATCATATACATCAAACCATCAAACCTATCCTACCAATGCACAAATACAAATAGTGTACCAACCAGTACCAACTCCATGTGTGTAAAAATTAAAAAAAAAATAAAAAAAAAATGTTACCTTGTTTAATAAAGTATCCTCCCGACAAGTATTTTAGTGCGGACCTGTATTTGATCGTGCGGTCTTGGAGCAGCATGCCCTCACCTGTGAGGTCTTAAGTCACCTGATTCACGAGCCCTTTGCACTACATTAACAAAGGCACAAGGGGTTGGTTGCACTCGATTGGGAAACCGATTCGCATAAATCCGTGATGCATCCGGGAGCATTTCGTAAAGACTGCCCCCCCGTAAATAAGAATCATGTCCACAAGTTCAGCATTTTCGTAAACATGTGCCATTTTTGATTTCGTTTGAGCCACGCAACACACTACTATTCACTCACGTTTTATCGACTGACGAAAAACATCGTGATAAACGTTTCAAATTCTTTCGCTTTTTTGTTTCCGATGCGATGAACCGGTCAGGCGGATTATATCCGTTGTCGCCAAACACGAGCATATAATAGGCAGGGCGGTACTCAAACTTCCAAAGGGCTATAACTTTGTTACTTTAATTTTACCAGAAAAATGGTAAAGGAAAAAAACATTTCTTTTGATCAGATCTACTCACTGTTAAAATAAATGACTCAACTTCGAAGTCACCCTGTATATATATATATATATACTTTAACCGCCTGACCTTTCTTTGAACAACAACCACAAAAAATGATACCGAGAGCAGTTTTGAAGATGGTGTTGATGCCCCTTCTAAACCTCCGGATACCCAGCAATGCCGGAAAAACATTAAGCTCCGTCCAGCTGACGAATATTTCGCCAATATAATAGAGAAAAGCTTAACTAATAAACCTGCAGTAGCAGAAGGTGACGATAAATATTTTTTTTATCTCTGTATAGTGAGATAAAAAAAGTGCCCGCAAACATGAGACTAAAATTAAAAATTGATATCTATAACCTCATCTTAGGAAGACAGCAAACACCCCCGCAGATGTCGAATGCTGCTTATCATGCAGAGCCGTCAACATCAAGGAGTTATTCTCATGAAGCACTTGGACAACAATGTATGTCCCACTCGGAGTATCAGCTAAATAGTTACTCAAATACTCCGTAACATACTCGATCATATACATCAAACCATCAAACCTATCCTACCAATGCACAAATACAAATAGTGTACCAACCAGTACCAACTCCATCGCCGTGTGCTTCAACTAATATTAGTGAAAATTCTCAGGGGTCATCAGAACTGGACGTTCACAAATACTGACACATACCAACTAAACTGACGTTTTGTTTTCATGACGAAGGAATGTGTTTAGTTTAAATTAGCAATGCATTTTGATTTTGGTTTATTGAATATTATCTAGTTTGTATTTCGAATATGACAATAAAACATTTTTCCTGACTTACCTCAGTGTAACAATGAGCTGGTGAAATGCAATACCTTACTGCATGTGCATCTGCTGCAATATAATCCTTAATAATGTGCAGTAAGTTATCAAACGATTTTATTGACATCCTAAAGTAGTTGAAAAATTTAGGTTCATGTGTCCGGAGGCTGGGATACAGTGTAAGGTATAAACTTGTAGAAAGTCTGTTCCTTAAAATTGGGTGAACCCAGTATGCCCTTTCCCTTCTACGTCGTTTCATTCTTCTATATGTTAACCAAACACAAACAGCTTGCCTCACATCCATTCTGACTAAACACAATAAACTGTTACTCGATTACCTATTCTCACTTTATATAAACGCTGTACGAAGTCGTACGCGCGTCATGTGTACACCAACGCAACAAACGTACGCGACGTCGACGCGCGTCATCTGAACTTGGCCTTAATATTAGCTGTTCACATGGTCGCGCGCATGAGAAATCATATGCGCGTACGATGCCACTAGATGCGGAGAATCTCAATACGCGCGTCGGTCACCGTCGACGCGCGTATTGAAATTCTAGACGTTCCCATTGCGTGTTCAGTTGGCGCACGTCTTTCTTAGCATTCAGGCGACATACCAGGTGTGTCTTGCAAAAAAAATAATTCCTTACGTATGATAGTTAGTGAGATGGAAGTAGAATAATTCAACACCGATACTTTCATTGATGAAATTAAAAAGAGGCCAGCGATTTGAGACATGCATTCCACGTTATACTCAAACAAGACGGCAAAAAGAAGCGCTTTGCAGGAAATGGTCCTAATTTCTTACAAATCCGACGACACAGAAGAAAAAAAGAAAATATTAGGTACGGTTGTTCGTAATGATTTATTTATAATTGATGTGTACAATAATGACAACAATTTAGATCATTCTATCCTGCCATTCAAGTTTCCCTTCATACATAAAGCACTTTGTCAGTTTTACTCAAATCCTATCTGCATCCTTTATATTACGACTAATATGTTTACCGATTTAAGGTTGTCAGTGGCGCTGTGTTTAGTACTGGGTGCGCCATCTATCACTTTTTTTACCTATAAGTTTAGGCGTTACCATGTTAGTCAAAATCTTGAGGTATGCATAAATGAACTGTCAAAGGTATGCCATTTATAGTCATGGGTTCGTTTACAACACAACAACGCAGTTTGGTTATCCAAACTTATTACGAAAACGGTCGAAATATAAAAATACTTTTCGCAAACTTCGCACTAGTTTTGGCCGACATGGACGGCCTACAGAGCCTGGAATTCGTTGGATTGTTAATCGTTTTGAGGAGACTGGTTCAGCTGAAGGTCGTAGACCATACCAACATGCTCGTCCAGCTCGTACTCCCCCTCTGGGGGGCTGAAAATCCAATCCACACCAATATCATGAACAACCTCTCCATCCTGAAAAAGTGACTGGTGCGGATTATAGGCTGGTGGCAACGTTGGTCCATTATTTTTTGAAGATGCCAAAGAAAAGGCCAGTACTGTCAACGGGAAAGGTTATCGCGGCATGCTAACAGACTTTTTGTGGCCACAATTGGATCGTATTGGTGCCGACGATGTTTGGTTTCATCAAGACGGAGCAACGGCGCACACATCTCGCCAAACAATCGCCTTATTGCATACGAAATTTCAAGACCGCATAATTTCACGAAATTCAGATGTCAGTTGGCCCCCGAGATCGTGCGATTTAACAACTCTTGACTATAGCCTTTGGGGATTTTTGAAAAGAATAGTGTATGCGAATGGTCCTCGGACAATTCAAGACCTAAAGCGCAATATTCGGACTGAAATTGCGGCCACAGACCCGATTATTCTGAGAAAAGTCATTGAAAATTTTGATGTTCGGATGTTGGCCTGTAAACGAAGCCACGATGGTCACATGACTAATGTAATTTTTTATACATAAATGGCATAAACCAACCTTCATTTATCAATAAAAAAATTCAATTTCGAAAAGTAATAGATGACTCACCCTGTATATCCATCACTCATTCGCAAGCAATTTTGTAAAATTGATATTGCCTTAACAATACTCTGCGAATTCTAAGTTTACATCCAGTGGCCGGTGTAATATTCGCCATTTGTTACATGCAATACCAAACGTATACCTTACTGCATTTGCATCTGCTACAATATCATCCTTAATGATGGACAGTAAGTTATCAACCGATTTTATTGACATCCAGAGTAGTTCATGCTTTCGAAGGCCATAAACTTGTGGAAAGCATGTTTCTTAAAATTTTGTGAGTAAGTACTTTTTCTCGTTTACTTCTTCTATATTCTATCTAAATACAAACAGCTTCTCCCACATCCATTCCATTAAACACAATAAACTGACACTAGATTACCTAGTCTCATGCTATATAAAAGTTGTACGAAGTCGTACGCGTGCCATCTGAACACCGACACAACAAACTTGCGCAACGTCGACGCGCGTCATCTGAACTAAGCCTAAACGTCCGGGATAATTGAGGTTGGCGCAGAATTAAAGCGTTGCGATAGATACAATTATTGTCAGCGACATAAAAATTAATATTTATGTCGAATCTGCAAAGCCAAGTTAATTATTCAAACCAATTTTTAATAGTAGTAGTAGAAAGATTTATTTAGCACATTTGGCTACATAAACAGAATAATTGTAAACAACTTAGAACTAGTAAATTCAAGCCATATGGTGTATGATGTAAATGCTAGGCAACCTATAATTGTAGATTTAACAAGTGATTTCTCAATTTTACTTTAAATTTTGTCAAAGCTTTCTGGTCTTTTATCTCTGAGTATAATTTATTATATTCAATCAACCCTTGATGGAATACAGATTTGTAGCATATGTTATACTTTTTGGTCATTAAATGAAAGTCATCTTTATTTCTGGTATTATGCAAATGATGTTCGACATTTGATGATGTTAAATTAGTTAGACTTCATGGAAATATATTATGTTTTACTTTATAAATGAATATCATTACAAGATATTTGATAAAAAATTTTAAATTGAGCCATTTTAATTTGCTACGCATTTGCCTAATTGGAGTATATTTATCTTTATTTAGTATTATTCTCATGCACTTATTTTGTAAAATTTGCAGTCTTTAAAAAATGGAATTATTTGCTAAATATAGAATAGTCGAACAGTACAAGAAATTTGGAAGAATGATGGTATTATAGATAATTTTTCTGCTATATGAACTCAGACATCCAGAAACTCTCGATAAATATCCCACTTTACTACTAATCTTATTTATAACTTTTTCATAATGAATAATGAATATCAAAAATTAATCGAGGGTCAACAAAAACCCCCAGGTATTTAAAATTTTCTACGAATTCAATATCTTCACCATCAATATTCAGTTGAACATTTGTACATTGTTTTTTTCCGATTAACAAGGCTTTCGTTTTACTTGTACTTAATTTTAGTCTGTTAGATGCCAACCATTTTGAGACAACTTTCAAGTCTTCATTTATATAAGAGATACCAGTCTGAATATTTTTAGTCACTTATATAAATCATAGTGACATCGGCGAAAATCTGAATTTTGCATTTTTTGGCTATGGCAGGTAAATCATTTATGTATAAAATAAAAAGAAATGGTCCCAGGATACTGCCCTGTGGAACACCCAACGTATTTTCAATTTTTGATGAGATAGTGTGTAACTTGCATCCTTTTAGACAAAATAATTTCTAAACCAATCTAAAACACTTCCTGTTATACCATATGCCTTCAATTTACCTAACAAAATATCTCTATCAATCGTTTCAAATGCCCTCTTCAAATCCAAAAATACTGCTATGACAACTTCTTCTGAGTCTATGGCTCTTCTCCAATTTTACCAACTGGAAAGCCGTTTCTGTGGAATATTTTTTTCGAAAGCCTGCTTGTGCCTCCACTAAAATTTTGTGTGAAAGAAATGTGAACGCAATAAAAGTAAATCAGTTGAAAAAATCAGTTTTGGAAATCTTAGAATTCATGGAAATTACTCCATAAGGGTGATACATATCTAAGGATATAGGAACACTGATATACAGGATGTTCTGAAAGTTGGGACCGTCATTTTCAGAAACACACACTTTTCAAGTATCAAAGCCAATTTGCGGTAAATACTGCTTGGAGTAGTTGTTCAACTCAAAAACACGACTTTGATGACTTTTTCATAAATTCGCAACTTTGGACTTCTACTGTGTCCACCTAGACGGCTTTTGTATTACATAAACAGACCTACGCAGCTCTCATGGAGACATCGAGGACGACGGCAACTACGTTATTGCGGTAGGAATATGCAAAATTTGCTTTTTCAAATACGACTTGTTTATAAACTAGGTTAACCTACACACCGCGCGGCGCCTGATTTATTTACTGACTCATATAGTAGGAGGGGAAGGAGGCAGTATCGAATCGAATCTATGTTATCTTGAAACTTGGATATATGGATTATTACGTAAGAATCTATGAAATGTAAAAAAATGGATAAAATGACAACTTGTGCCTTAGGTAGCGGCTAGTGTGTCGCTAGTCACATTCCACGCCTGCTACAAATGATCATGAAGTGAATGTCAGCTGATTCAAATGTGAAATTTTGTAGAGAAACCTACATAATGTCACAAAAAACCTACATAATGACTTAAAGTAAATAAAATACAATCGATGTAGTCTCACTTTCTATCTTACATAATACCGGTGCCGTATAGGAAAGTCCCAACTTTTATGACCCTGTATATAGTTTTCAATTTTCAATGTATATTTATTTATTGTGTCCGAGAAACGTTCAAAAACGAGTTCCCTGACTAACTCAAAAATAAGCACCTCAAAGAATAAGCAAAAGCAATGTTTCAAAATGTTAATATTCTTTTACTCAAATATCTAAGAAAAATGGTTTTTTTTCGCGCATGTGCACGTATTTATGCGGGAAACGGCTAAATGGGTTGATGGATTTTGATATATACGATGTTCCGCAGGATTCGTTTAAGCAGCGTCAGTGAAGTATATTAAAATGGGAGACTTTAATTGAAAATTTTTACGTTGACATTTCTATTTCATGGGCGTGATGGATCTTGATATATAAGGTGTCACTAGATTCGTCTTAGCGGTTTGAGTAACAAAAGCGTATACTAAGACTATATAAGATCAAAATGGCGGATCTTAAGCGCAAGTTTTTACTTTGAAATTTCTATTTCACGGATTACAGCCCAAAGGACTTGGTTTTTGACATTTGAGGTGTCCTTAGGTTATCATACCAACTCAATCAAAACTTCAATTTTTTGTGATAACAGTCTGGTTTTTCTATATTTTAAAATTGTACTTGTTATTTATAAGAGAGCTACGTTATTTGGAGGTATGATGTGGGCAATAGTGGCGACTGTTATTTTTTTGGGCACCGTAGAGGCAAAATTATAAATAAAAAAGAAATAAGCAGCATATACCCATCATATGCTTTTGTAATTATCTTCAATTTTTTATTAAGTGGAAGAAAATAGGTATGAACAACAGACAGACCTATGGAAACAAGTCCCGTGCATGTACTTTTTTGATGGAGAAGTCAAAAAAGCATCCTTTAAAACGACTTATCTCTAGTTCAAAATCTACAGATTGTAAAAACGCGGACAGGGATAAATTATTTGTTGCTTATGTTCGGAATATGGAATAAAAAATAGGGGGTATGCTTTTAGCCGAAGAAGTTTAACTTTCTACGCAGTGCAGCAACACACTTTTAGAGTATTCTAGGAATATTATACACGTATACTTTATTCTATAATATCTAATACTTCATATCTATTCCGAATCGGAATTCCGAACATGTACATTAAAAAAAACTCTCTCTTCAAAGTCACCATGAGGGAAACGAGGATAATTGTAGAATGTAGGAGGAATAACACCAATTTTGTATTTTTAATTTCTTCTTGTCCACACTTTCTTCTGGAAAAACATGAGATAACACATTACAAAATATGAAGAATAATGTTTCAGGTCAGAGTAACATTTTGTAGACTATGTCAATTTATTTATTACAAATAACAAGTTCACTCAATATGATATATCACTTATTTATACTGACATTTTTGTCAGATACAAGACATCAACAACGTTACAATCCCACAGTCTTTGAACTCACATAATGTATTGTAACCATCAATGACAATTATTAGAAAATGATGATCATGCTTTCGTTAACGGTTATCAATTGATAGGCTTCAAGTCCGATATCGCCACTTCGTAAATATAGAAATCGCCACCTCTCAAGGTAAGCGCCAGGACGTGTAGCAACCTGTTCAAAGTGGTGGTACGTAAAATGTAAGCCACGCCGAATCCATCAAGAAACATGGGTCTGCCCGAACATTCGCAGTCAAACATGAAATATTCGTTCTCTTGCAGCTTGCCGAATGCTACTTGTCGCTTCTGGGAAGATCTGGTGCAACAAATCAAGCCACAGCGGCGATCTACGTCGTTGAAGAAGTACCTGCAAACAGCAGTTAAGGAAGCAGTGGTTAAAAAAATATACAACTACACATTCCGGTTGGTACAAGCCTAAAATAAGGATATTTGGAAATCGGTATACAGGGTGTCCCATTTTAATCTCCCCACCTCAATATCTTGCAAAGTTTGCATCCCAAAGAAAAAAGTTTTAAACAAAAATTGTAGGGTTTCGAGGAACAAATGATGTTGACATTGGCCATGACTTTCACCACGACCTTAATGGTCAGTTCAAGATCAAGCCAGTATTTTTAAATAGAGTCTCCCTTTTCTACACCAAAATTTGAAAAACCTTCAATGTCATTTCAAACTCAAGTAAAGACATTGAAAACAAGTTGCTCTAGCAGAAGTGCTCAACAGGTTTTTGGGGGCCACCCAAAGGTGACCTTGGCCATGACCTTGATCATTATCTTGACCATGATCTTTACCTCTAAAGTAAAAATTCAAAATCTAATGAAACCCCTTGGAATTGGACAAAGCACGAAAATGTACGACCTAATGTGAATTTGACCCTTGTGAGTTAAGGTCACAAAAATCTTAAATGTTACTTGCCCGACAAGCCCTTGATTTTTATGCCAAACTGCAGAGAGCGAGAAACTTTATATTCATCGTGTAACTTTCAGAGTGACCTTTGAAAGTGAGAACGTCGCCTTTGGGTGGCTCTCAGAAAGCTCACAATTACGCTGCCGAAGATTTTTGCTAAACCTAATTGCTCTAAACGTTTTGACTTGACTACTTTGAAGGTCACAGTGATTTCCATAGTCAAGATCAAATTCCGAAGTGAAATGTTCGTCTCTTTTTAGTACTTGCGTAAAAAAAGAAGGGTTGAAAATATTGTATTGACCTTGAAAGTTTCAGTCAAGGTCAAGATCAAGGTTATCATCACAGTTATGGATAAACGGGCTATATGAATAAATAATTGCGTAGACTGCCAAGAATAACAATAATAAGTTATCAATCTGGGATATCCAGGCACTAAAAACAGAGCTGATATTTTGAGGTTGCAAAGGATCAAAATATTTTATAGAACACCACCTACCTGAGAGCCTTATACAAATTGAACTGCGTAGCTCGAACTAGGAACATCGTTCCTTCTACGACAGGAGTGAAAGCTACAGTAAAAGAAAATGGGAAGATACTACATTCTTCCTTCAAGTCATCAACCGATAGCTCATAGTCTTCATCAGAAATTGACTCGGTACATTCTAGGAAGTAGTTATCTCCATTGACCAGCACCGAGTCAACCACAGCTGAGTTCCATTCTGCTAGTTCGTAGATCTCCAACATTCCGATTGCTGTTACCAGATTTGATAAGGTTTGCTTCCCTCGAGACTTTTGAGAAAACCTGTAGTGGAAGTTATCAAACATGATTTAAAAACTAGTAACGAGGCGTTCATTCATCTGACCACAGACAACCAACTATTGGCACCTGTTTCATGCTATTTGGGAACTCTTCAGCATGCTGTAGGCTCGGTCTCGGCGGGCAGCGAACTAAACCTAAATAACTCTACTTTATTGAAAGTATAAAGTTTATCGAAATAAGACAGCCGAGTCTTCACTGTAACCGCTATAATTTGTCATCTCACTTTAGGTACTGTGATGCCAGTGCCATACTAGTCCGACTATCAAACACTTCGCATTAAGTGAAAGAATGATTTGATTCAAGCAAATTTATATGCTTATATTATGAGAACATGTAAAGTAAAGAATCTTATTCCCAAAAGGTATGCTGTAGGTTGAAGGGACTCCAACTGTTGAAACTTTTCCATTCCAGCTTCCATATGAGTACTAGATAGAATGTTCGTCGTTTATTTAAAATATCGTCAGACTAGAGCATCGACATTTTAGAGTGACTATACAAATTGTATGTGAACATGTAAGTCTGAACGTGAAGCTAAATGTAAAAGAAAATCAGAAACACAATTATTTTTATCAATTTATTCTAGGGCTTAAACAGACTACATACAACCTGACGAGTTCTGTTTTTGAAATTATTTGATGTATTGCTCAACTGAAATAAACGGATGTTTTCATATCGACCCCTGCAAGAAAAACTATTGTAACTCAGTTCATCAGAAGATTCTCTGATGAATTTCGTTGTCAGAAAAAAAATCTCATCAACAATACGTTGTACATTGCAGTAATTCTTGTATTATAAATGTTATTACAATACAAATCTAGCGAAAATGACAATTTTTTTATTTTATTGCCTTACTATTGGATCAATTAAAGAAAAAAGTACACTTGCTCTAGACTTAGTAGGATATTTACTGAAATATAACAGTATTTTTCAAACAAGTGGTCGAAAAAAACTATTTAATGCCAATCTGAATCACTCAAATTATATTCATCTTCGTATTCTCCACTATCATCGTTCTTTACTTCTGTATGTTTAGCACTGTTAATATTATGTCCTCTTTGTATTCTTTTATATTTCTTTGCTTTTAGAGAAAACTGAAAAGCAGGTGAGCCTCAGGAATGCTAGGAATACTGTTTGCTTTTGATTTACATAGGTCTAATAGCCATTTAATTTTCTAGCATCTACTGGAAGCAAGCTTGTGTAAATATAGTTCCTGAAGCGTATTGTTTTGCAGTCTCATTCTCTGACAATCAATGTTACTGTCGTGAGATCATCAGTATAGTCACTCTTATATTTCATTTCACGAGGCACTTATTTATTTTAAACTTTTCTCCACAATCGTCTTTGTTCCAATTTTCCGATTTTACCTTTTATTTAAAACTAATAGATCCACGACGAACCGCAGAGAGCACATAAGTCTCGTCTTAGCAAAACCGAGGACTGTAGTAGTTGAATCCTCTGTTAAACTTTTTTATTTCTCAGGCATGAGAGAAACAGACTATGATTCATCGGTATTTAGCAATATTAGCCAACAAAGTATTTATTGCGATATGGCTTATTACTTGTACCTGCTTGTAAGGAGTTGTTACCATAAAGATTTGCGTTACTTCTAACAAGTAGACGGTTTACTTGACTAGATTAAGCAAGGGCGCTTAAAGAAACACAACTAATTTTATTGCATTTTTTTTTAATTACAAGTTTATTAAATTCAGATAAGCCAGTTTGCTTATGGCAGTTGGCCAGTGCTGTAGTCCTATGTAGGTGTTTACGGTTAGTTAGCAAAATCAAACTTTTGTTTGTGGTTAATAGACGTTTTTCCCAGTGTGACTGTTATACTCATATGTCACTTAGCTTCAGGGATTATATGCCCATACTGTACAGTGATTCAAACTATACAGGGTGACTTTGAAGTTGAGTCATTAATTTTCAGATAATGAGTGTAGAAGGAAGATAAACCAAAATATGTTAAAAATAAAAAAAATAAAAAAAAAAAAGTTACCTTGTTTTATAAAGTATCCTCCCGACAAGTATTTCAGTGCGGACCTGTATTTGATCGTGCGGTCTTGGATTAACAAAGGCACGAGGGGTTGGTTGCACTCGATTGGGAAACCGATCCGCATAAATCCGTGATGCCGCGTAAATAAGAATCATGTCCACAAGTTCAGCATTTTCGTAAACATGTGCCATTTTTGATTTCGTTTGAGCCACGTAACAGACACGCGTTACCGACTGACACTGACTGTATACAACTGAATAAAATAATTGTAAAAACATCGTTCCAAATTCTTTCGCTTTTTTGTTTCCGATGCGATGAACCGATAAGGCGGATTATATCCGTTGTTGCCAAACACGAGCACATAATATTATTATTGAGACAGGGCGGTACTCAAACTTCCAAAGAGCTATAACTTTGTTACTTTAATTTTACCAGAAAAATGGTAAAGGAAAAAACATTTCTTTTGATCAGATCTACTCACTGTTAAAATAAATGACTCAACTTCGAAGTCACCCTGTAGAAAGCGGCTTATAAAAGTGTTCTGAGTCATGGTTGAATTTAGAAGACGTTCACCGGACGGTCGACGAGCAGTAGCCAAGCGGTCGTCTTGCTGGGATGTCGACAAAAGACTTTTGAATGTCATGGTGAACAAGACCAACGACCAAGAGACTCCAGACACAATCAAAAGATACGAGACACTTACTTGCACTATTCCTCAAACCACACGACAACTCGAAATCTAACTGAGCTCAACTAAAATGTAGTAATTACACGAACCCATTTTAGTGTTACGAGATTCTACGGAGGAAGCTCAGTATGCCCAAAAAAATATGCTGTACCGTTAATAAATATTTACTTGTGTCTGCCTCATTTAATTTATCCCTGTTTATTATCAATAACTTAGGAAATCACATTGCAACATTCATTAATGTACAAGAATGAATTGCCTTGTCACCTTGGTAGAAAAATTATCTAAAAGTATGCACAAAAACTACACTATTTTGGTGACAAAAAATGCAATGTCAATTGCGGATTGGTCTCCAGTTCGTGAAATAAATGATGTAAATGAAGCATGTGATTATTTTTATTCAATCATAAGAGAAATTTTCGAGAACAACGTTCCTAAATATAAAATGAATCCTCGTTCATATCCTTCTTGGTTTACAAAGGAAATTATTTCAAATATAAGAGAAAAGGATAGGTTCAGGAATAAGTACAAAGCAACCCATCCAAGCCACCGTAATTTTAAATTCAAAGAACTTCGAGCTATGATTAAAAATCAAATCATAGTCTCCTATTCAGCTTACACTAAAAATGCTGAGGAAAGGATCAATAAGGATCCCACTAATTTTTGGTCATTTGTAAATGTCACAGGACATAGTCGATGTTTTTGAAAAAAAATTTCAACTGTGTTTATAAATTCTGATTCTTCTAATTCTGTGTTCATGACTTCAAATCTAACTAGTATGAATATATCTCTGAGCACTGTAAGTGAAGCGGATATAATTCATGCTTCCAGAAAGTTAAAGAATAAAATGACTTCATGCTCTGATGGTGTGCCTAGTTTTTTAATAGAGGATTGTATTCATGTATTGGCAAAACCGCTTTGCATGATCTACAATATGATATTATTAACATGCTCTTACCCTCGTATCTGGAAAATGACCAAGGTATGTCCTGTCCTTAAAAGTGGTGTTAGAAGTAATATTTATAACTATAGGCAGATTGCGATACTTTGCAATTTTGGTAAGATTTTTAAGGTTATTATTTATAATACCATTTTCAACTCTGTCAAATGTACTTTATCTCCTAACCAGCATGGTTTTGTTGCTGGCAGATCAACAGTCACAAATCTGACATGCCTGACTAAAACTATCTCTGAGGTATTAGATGACCAGGGTCAGTAGGATGTTATTTATACCGACATTCATTTGGCCTTTGATCAGATAGATCATTACTTACTTCTTTCTAAGCTTGAAATGATTGGGTTGTCTAAATCTTTATTGAAGTTGATCAGATCATATTTATTTGATAGAAATCTCTACATTGAGTTTGGTGGTTTTAAATCTAATTCTTATACAGCAACATCTGGAGTGCCCCAAGGATCCAATTTGGGTCCTTTGTTTTTTGTGTTGTTTATCGATAATCTATTAGTAGTAGTAGAAAGATTTATTTAGCACATTTGGCTACATAAACAGAATAATTGTAAACAACTTAGAACTAGTAAATTCAAGCCATATGGAGTATGATGTAAATGCTGGGCAACCTATAATTGTAGATTTAACAAGTGATTTCTCAATTTTACTTTAAATTTTGTCAAAGTTTTCTGGTCTTTTATCTCCGAGTATAATTTATTATATTCAATCAACCCTTGATGGAATACAGATTTGTAGCATATGTTATACTTTTTGGTCATTAAATGGAAGTCATCTTTATTTCTGGTATTATGTAAATGATGGTCGACATTTGATGATGTTAAATTAGTTAGACTTGATAGAAATATATTATTTTTTACTTTATAAATGAATATCATTATAAGATATTTGATAACATTTTTTACATTGAGCCATTTTAATTTGCTAAGCATTTGCCTAATTGGAGTATATTTATCTTTATTTAGTATTATTCTCATGCACTTATTTTGTAAAATTTGCAGTCTTTCAAAAATGGAATTATTTGCTAAATATAGAATAGTCGAACAGTACAAGAAATTTGAAAGAATGATGGTATTATAGATAATGTTTCGGCTATATGAACTCAGACATCCAGAAACTCTCGATAAATATCCCACTTTACTACTAATCTTATTTATAACTTTTTCATAATGAATATCAAAAATTAATCGATAGTCAACCAAAACCCCCAGGTATTTAAAATTTTCTACGAATTCAGTATCTTCACCATCAATGTTCAGTTGTACATTGTTTTTTTCCGATTAACAAGGCTTTCGTTTTACTTGCATTTAATTTTAGTCTGTTAGATGCTAACCATTTTGAGACAAGCTTCAAGTCATCATTTATATAAGAGATACCAGACTGAATATTTTTAGTTCTTATATAAATCATAGTGTCATCGGCGAAAATCTGAATTTTGCATTTTTTGACTATGGCAGGTAAATCATTTCTGTATAAAATAAAAAGAAGTGGTCCCAGGATACTGCCCTGTGGAACACCCAACGTATTTTCAATTTTTGATGAAATAGTGTCATTAACTTTTGTAACTTGCATCCTTTTAGACAAATAATTTCTAAACCAGTCTAAAACGCTTCCTGTTATACCATATGCCTTCAATTTACCTAACAAAATATCTCTATCAATCGTTTCAAATGCCCTCTTCAAATCCAAAAATACTGCTATGACAACTTCTTCTGAGTCTATGGCTCTTCTCCACTTCTCAGTTACCAACTGGAAAGCTGTTTCTGTGGAATATTTTTTTCGAAAGCCTGCTTGCGCCGCCACTAAAATTTTGTTTTCTACTATAAACTGCATTAATTGGTCATGCACTATGGACTCTAATAATTTTTCAATGTCTGGTAACACATTTACTGGTCTCATATCGCTGCATCTTTTAGAATTTTTCATTTTGGGAACTGGTGTTATTGTAGAGCATTTCAAATTTTCAGGAAAAGAACTGCTTCTCAGTGAACAATTGATCCAATTTAATACAGGATATCCCAAAATTTCGAAACAGTTTTTCAGCACGTTTTTAGTAGTGATTTCGGCACAGTTGTGATTTGATTTTAAACTGTTTACTTTTTTTCTTAGATACTTCAATGATACGCTGTGAAATTTTGAAAGTGTATGCAACATTTCCCCCTGGAAACTGATTTTCATATAGTTAGGTGCAGCATTGGCAGTACCCACAATATCAACAATACTTTCCACAAAATATTCATTTAGTTTGTTTGCAATCACCAAAGAATTTGTTTCGGTACCGTTTTCGAATTGAACTTGATTTACACAATCATGCGGCTTCGAACTGATCAGTGTTTTCAAAGTCTTCCACATCTTTACACTGTCGCACTTGTTATTATCGATTTGTTTATCGTAGAATTTCCTTTTTTCTTCTCTAATTACATATACACATTTATTCCTAAGAGTATTATATACCTCCCAATCACCATTTGATTTTGTGAATATACAATTATTGTATTGTTTGTCTCCCAAATTTTGAGCTGCCTTAATATTCTTGATATACCAGGGTGTATTTTTTGTCGAGCAAATCACTTTTTTATCAGTTGCAAGATCTAAACAAGTTTTTATATTTCCTATTATGTTGTCATATATTTTTTCCATATTCTCACCAAAATTCCAATAGCAGCCAGCAAGCTATCGTTCAAGTTTTTCGTACTTAATAGTATTTACGATTTTCTTAATTTTTGTATCAGAAAAATGCCCTACCAAGGGCAGCATTGTCCAACTGTGATCGCTAACTTTAGGTGTATGTACAGCTTTAATCCCTGCACATTCGAAATTTACAATAACAAGATCTAACAAAGTCTCTGATAATGATGTTATTCTGGTACTCTCTTCAATTTTTTGCTTGAACTCATAGTTGTTTATGGTTTCTTTCAATTTTCTTGTTTTCATGCTTTTACCATAATAATTTAAATTAAAATCACCTAAAAGTATTATATTGTTTCTAAAATTCCACATTTCTTCGCATTTTTCTTCAAAAAACGTTAAAAATGTATCCGCATCACTGTTTGGTGAACGGTAAAAAGTACAAAGATCATAACGTTTTCCAAATAATTTGAACTGTATATGTGCATACCAGTATGCATAGTCTAAAGTGGTACAATCGAATAATGTCATCTGTATTTTGTGGTAAACATAAATCACTACACCTCCAGCATGTCTGGAGTTGGAGTTGCATCTGTAGGTTTTAAAATTAGTAATTTGTAATTCACCATCAGTGATGTCTTCTGTAGCATGTGTTTCGGTAAGACATAATACAAGTGGTTTTCTCCATCTTAAAAACTGTTGAACTTCATCTATATTATTCAGGACTGCTTGTATGTTTAAATGGTATATTGAGTTATATTCATCACTTACAGATTTAGCCACGTCTTGCAAATCTGAGCTTAGTAGTTGCTATTCATTTGCATAACTAATTTTTTCCCGCTCACGTTCAATTTTCCTTTTATATACTTCACAATTTTTGTCAAATGGTCCATGATTAATAGGCAATCCTAGATTAAAATCCTAGTTTGCACTTTTACAATTTGGACAGCATTTGTACATTTCACTGGTACTATGTCCTTCTAATCCACAAGTAATACATCTTCCTGATTTTGTGCAGTATTTAGCTGTGTGGTTAAATCCGGTACATTTATAGCATCGCAAAACATTGATGTACTCGAAAACAGAGCAAACAGACATGTCGATAAAAATAACACACTGATTCATAACACACTTAAAAGTCACAGCATCCACTTCTAAAATTGCTTGACATTTAGTTTTCATTTTCTTGACTGTAATTACTCCCATATGTGAATTTTCTTGAAAAGATTCATTTTGTGATTTTATAGTATTTATTAGCTCGTCTTCTGAATATTCTTGACAAAATCCAATAACTTTGATTTGTGCTTTTTTACTTATCTCTGAAGTTTTCACTGTATATGTTTCTGGCATTTTTGATTTTATTTCTTTATGTAGTTTCGCGTTATCATCTTTTGTTTTACATTGTATTTTCACCCCACTATCCTTCAATTCATATTAGGCTTAACAATGACTGTATTTGTGGGTTTTAATACTGGTGATTGTTTTTTTGCTGTACGTGTTTGCAATGGTAAACATTGCTGCTTATATTCTACCATTGTTGTAGGCGAATTAACGGTTGAAGGCCCTGAAGCTTTAACCATATTAGCGTAAGTTGTAATTGCTTCTTGTGACGGCTGTTGCATCTTCCCAATTTTTTTGTTTAATTGGTCTATCTTTTCGTACAATTCTTTTATTAATTTCTCTTGAATCGAAATGTTATAATCTTTTGGTTTCAAAATTTCCTCTGTACAAAATCCCTTTTCACTCAGTGCGACCACACTCTCCACTCCCTCACTAGCTCCATCCTTTTTAGAGTTTTCCTCCATATTCAAACAAAAAAATCAGGAATCTACTAAAAACCTTTTTTTAGCTTGACCTAATTTTTGACATTAGAAGTCAAAAAAGTATTTCCAGAATTAATTTTCTGCAATCTCTTCCGTGTGGGATCTGCAGCTGCAAACAGGTGTGGCGATATATATTTTGTTAATCTTCCCGGTGATCCTTGGTTGATATTTTTATGTGTGGTCTTTACCAATATTTCGTGTCTGTGTTGGAGCAAATAAAAAGAGCAAGTGTAGTAGTTAATATAGCAAACTATAGCTGGAATTGCCTGGTATGCATTTACTTTATGCTGATGACTTAAAAATTTATACTGCTATTCAGAGCTATCACGACTGTATCTCTCTTCAAAACAGCTTGAACTTGGTGCATTATTGGTGTTCCAGAAACTCTCTTACGATTAATGTATCAAAGTGTAAAGTTCTGTCTTTTAGTAGGAAGCAAAATGATTGTAGTATCAATGATCACTTACTCGAAAGAACAGAAATGTTCAAAGATTTGGGTGTTGTATTCGATGCCAAGCTGACATTCAAGGATCACATCACTCAAATGGTGAATTCAGCGTTTAAGATGCTAGGCTTTTTTGTAAGGAATTGGTCAGGGTTTTCAAACATATCAACTCTAAAGCTTTTATATTTTACATTTATTAGAAGTAAGCTGGAATACGCTTCATTAATTTGGTCTCCAATCTACAACAATTCAAGGGTTAGTGTTGAATATGTGCAGCGTAAGGCTTTAAAGTATTTGTATTACAAATGTTATGACAATTATCCTGAAAGAGGTTTCGACCATTCTATTTTATTAAACATTTTTAATATAGAGTCATTGATCTTAGACGCGACATTTCAGCGCTACATATTTTGTACAAAATCATACACAATCAAGTTGATTGTTCATTCATATTAGATTGGGCAATCGTGCTCAAATTACTTTCGGTCCGGTTATTGGTAATACTAATTTATTGTCTAGATCTCCAGTAAATATGATTTGTACATGTTTCAATTCTGTTTGCAGTTCCTGTGACTTATTTTTTGATAGTGAGAACTTTGTTGTGAAGTGCTACAGAGACTGGTACCTTTTTCAGTGAGAGTTTGTTTTTTTTTTTAAGTTTTTTTTTTTGTTTGGCGTTACCGCTGTTGCTAATTATGTAACTTTTTCTTGTATTTTTTCTGTAATTGGGTGTTACCTGTTGGGAATAAATAAATACATAAATAAATAAATAAATAAATAAATAAATAAATAAATAAATAAATAAATAAATAAATAAATGAATGAATGAATGAATGAATGAATGAATGAATGAATGAATGAATGAATGGATGAATGAATGAATGAATGAATGAATAAATAAATAAAGAATGCAGCTTATTTAGAGAAACGAATGTCTTTGGTTTGGCATAGAGCGTAGATTCTTTGAACAATTCAGTATTTTATTTTTTCCTAAGCTCCTTTATAGCTGTTAAATTACTCTTTCAAATAAATACCTGTTGCTGGACTGATGAATATTTCCTGTAAGGGAATACAAATCTTTGGGATACTCAATGTCCCAATTATGCCACATCCTCTCAATTCTTCCTCTCGGATCTCCGCTAGCCGAATTTTCGGATCTTCTGGACCAAGGTATGGGATCCGTAGTAAGCCATTCTACGTCTTCGTAGAATGGCTTTCCTAGAAACATGAAAGCAAGCATAGCTACGGATATAAAGATGTATTTAGAGTTGTAAGTAAGGTACGTGCTGCGTAGTTGTCTCGCTGATTTATTTTTCTGTTGCCCTGACGGATAAATGATATCTACTACAGATGCAGTTGCCATGTACTTCTATAAGAAAGAAATATTCCTGAGACACTCGCCCTCACCTAACCGTTCCTTTTTCATGGGTGCTTGCAGATCATACTCCTGCAAATTGTAACTCATGATCACATCCTTGGGGGCTTTCTTTATTGATGTGACTTCAAAGTTGTAGAATGCGTAGCTTTCTCCTCCAGAAACGATCAATTTCTTTAGCATCGTTCTTGCTTTCTTCAAATCTCTGCATTGCACCCATCCTGCTTTATCGCTATTTGGCACACCATACGGATTAAAAATATGGAACAAGTCATCCGATGTCTTGTGAACAACGTAACTTGCATTTGGAAATTGGACCAGGAAATAGCTGAGCCGTTTACTTAATAGTGTATCAATACCTTGCAAGAGAGAATTTACTTTGTTACATGATCCATTGAAAGAAGCTTAGCGAATTCGTTAAGCAGGCCTTATAAGAGAACTCAAAAGAACAAAAGAGGATCACAAATTGATGTCTGGACACTGTTCGACCCTCTTTTTGGGACGCGTTCAACTTGATCAAACCTTTAGTTCTCTTGAGCCATACTACTGTTGTGAAACGGTTAAACATAGCGAGAACAGACAAAAACTAGCTCGCGAGTGAGCTTATTCAAAAGCGCAGATTCCAGTACATCACAGATTGCTTCGATCATTACCTCCTCTCAGATTTTTGTTACATCTCCAGTTCTCAATCTTGATTTCTTTCACGACGATGTCGAAGAAATACTTCCCAACCAAAATGTTCTTAATGATCCTTTTCTCTGATATTTCTAAATCGTCAGCATGGGAATAGACATGTCTTCCATTGTCTAATGCTGAATCTACCTTCTTCGTATCCCATTTCCTCACAGGAGTAAATAGAAGGATCAGACATGCACATAAACAAACGAAGTGATCTTCCTTCAGCTCATCAGATATGTCTTCTCTTCCTGTCAGTGCTCTGGTTCCTTCTATTACATAATGGCCATTTTTGTATTGGTATCTAGAAATTAGGAATAGTGTTTTATACAATCGCGAAGGTGAAATCTAAGTACTGGATTATCGAAAAGAGGCAAAGTAGGTCGATTTTTACACAAGCGCAAATACAGGGCGTGCCAACAAAATGGAAAGTAGTTGCATGAGCAAACTGGAATAGATTTAAAAAACCTGTTTTCGTTCTAACCTTGATATGTTACTGGTGCATATCTTGAAACAATTTTAAAATATACATGGTGTTCCACAACTTCGTGCCTTAGCAAACAAGTATTTTTTAAATAGAATATCCTATATTTTATTGGTTTATTTTTTTACGGTTTGTAGCTGATCTAAATGCTAAAATATCCTTCTGTTTATACAGAGTATCTCAAAATGCAAAATGTACCGTCCTCGTAAATTTCAAATTGAACATCCTGTATATTTCTACATCAACAAATAGTTTTTCTTAGAAACGTAATCTTTTTTCCAGTTATTGCTATTAATTCCAAAATAAAAAATATTCCATACTTAGATATAAAAATCAGATCTTCAATGAAAACATTTTTTTTTTCGCACAACAAGACTTATCTTAACCCAAGCAATTATAAAAAGTTTATCATTACTGGAAGTGAAAATGATTGGCTAGAATGCGCAAGATCAAGAAAACAATCTGTAGCAGTCCTACGAGATGAAAAGAAAAAATATTACAATGCCAAAATTGATCAGAGTAAAAATAATAGCAAAAATACTCGTATGTGGAAAACGTTGAAAAACATTGTTTCTCCTATTAGAAAGAGTACATTATCTAAAATGAAATTCGACGATGGGGTAATAACAAATGAAGAAAAAATAGCACATCAAATGAATACCTATTTCATAGAGTGTCAACGTGTCAACGACATTGTAAAATCAATTATTGACGGGAATCGCAACCAATGTCCCATTAACTCAGATTATAATGCGTCATTCAGTGAGTTTAGAACAATAAGCATTAATCGTCTGGAAGATTATATCAAAAATTAAATCAAATCAAAATAAGAGTGAGATTTTGTCTAAAAGTGTGCTTAATGAATGTTTTGATATTATTGAAGCAAGAATATTAATCCTGATAAATTACTGTTTAAAATATGGCGAATTTCCAACAAAACTGAAGTGTTCTACCATAACTCCTGTTTCTAACGTTAAGAATTCTGAGTTGTACACCAATACGCGGCCAATAAATGTTCTGCCAGATGTTGAAAAAGTTTTTGAAGAAATTGTTCACGAACAGATTATCGAATTTATTGAGGGAAATAACATTTCAACCAACTGGTTTTAGAGGACTGGAGGAGATGTATAGACAATCCGAGACATACAGTGTTTTTGGACTCCAAAACGGCGTTTGAGACTATTGACAGGGATAAGTTACTTACAAAATTGCATCACTACGGATTTAAAGGATCTATATTCAAAATTCTACAAAACTATTTAATTGACAGAAACCAAAATTGGATCTACATTATCAAGATCAAAAAATATTTCTGTTGGTATACCACAAGGTAGTAAACTGGGTCCACCACTATTTATTTTATACATTAATGACATTTGTAATATTTTAGATTATTGTAAACTTCAGATATTTGCAAATGATACATTAATATACATATCAGATAAAAATATAGACACTGCTTTAAAAAAGCTAAATTCTGTCTTGGCAAAAATCGTAAATTGGTTAAATGTAAATAAACTAAAATTAAATACTTCTAAAACAAAATGTATGCTAATAGGGGAATACCTAAATGAAAATACTATCACAGTTAGGATAAATGGAGAAATAATTGAAAATGTTGAATCAATTAAATATTTAGGTATATATATTGATAGTAAACTAAAGTTTGAGGATCACTATGAAAACATTATTTCACAAAATTGCCAAAAAACAAATTATTTTTATAGTTCTTCTCATAGTCTTGGTACATATTCCAAGAAAATAGTTTATAGTACAATTATTCTACCGCATTTACTGTATTGTTCAACTGTCTTGTTCACTGCCAATGAAGCTGTAAGTTCAAAATTACAAGTCTTGCAAAATAAAGCTATGAGAATAATATTGATTGAATAAAAATAAGTACACCAAAATAAAATCTATGTTACAAGAATTGCAGTGGTTGAATATAAAAAATTTCATATCATATTTGGTTCTTATTTTTATATTTAAAATAAAAAATCATCTTTTGCCAGAACATTTAGAACACTACATAGAATTGAATAATCATTACCACAATTATTATACAAGAGGAAATATAGATTTTCATTAACATAATTGCAGTAGTAGCAAATCAATAGTTCAGAAAGGATTACTTGAATTTAATAAAATAAATAATGATATAAAGTCTACTTGTAATTTAAAGATATTTAAAAGAAAATTAAAGAAATATTTCGTGGACAATGAATATTCATAGAGATGCGAATTTTGTTTTTTTTTCTGAATGTCTGTATGTTATGTAATTGTTTAGTTTTTTAGAAAAATGTAACTGTAGCAATCATGCTAAAAAAATCTTAAACAAACAAAGACAGTAATTCATTATGATATAGATGTTATACATTCCAAGTAGTTTTGTTGTTTCCCCGATGTTTCATCTCAGGTCCCCAATATGCGCCTGAAAGTCCGCATTGCGTACTACAAGTGGTCAACGAAAATGTATGGTCACTAAATGTGTAGGCTGATTTGTGATCAAATTATTGTACTACACTATTTCCAAGGAGCACTATCTAGTGAAATGTATAATGTACAATGTCAAAGGAACAAATTACCTCTTTGACTAGATAATATAGATTTAACAACTAGGAGAAATTTTGGGGTACCAAGATGACGGTACCCCACCACATTACGGTATCGGTACGGAAGTATCTAGACCGCTGGTGCCCTAATAGTTGGCTAGGGAGAGGCGTACCGATCATTTGGCCATCGAGATCTCCCGATCTGACGGGGAAGTTGAGGAACTTCTTTTTCTGGGGCCACGTAAAAGGAGAGGTTAACCAAAAGAAACCTGCAACACCCGAGGACATGAAACATCGTATAAGCGAGTCGTTTAAGCGGATACTTAGACAAAACCTTTTAGACGTGTAAGATAATTTTAACAGCCGTCTGTCCTAGTGCGCTTTGCACCAAGGTAATATATTCTAACAATTTATTAACGATTAGTTGCCTTAGGCTGAGATTACTTTTGTTGTGTTGATAAACGCTATTGTTTTGGAAAAAGATTTGATTTCATATTTAAATACAAGGTGTATTTGGTTTTTGTTGAAATTAATAGCAATAACTCAAAAACCATTGAAAAATGTTGCATTAAATATCGGAAAAAAGTTTCACAACATAATATTTAGCGATGAAAAAATATTCGAGGTGTTCCACTTGAAGTTTTTGAGAAAAAGTACGTTTTACGTTTTGAGGTACCCTGTAAAAATAGAAATAAATTTCAGCACTTTTTCCACATCAGCTTAAAACCAATGATGATAATAATCAACTAATAATAATAATGGTTTATTATTCAATTGACAAATATGTATAGGACTCGTCAGAAAAAAGTATGTACACTCACACACACTTATATAATAAACTTTACACAAATAAATCAATAATAATGAAATATTTGCTAAGCTAAGATTAATCTAAATAAATTAAAAAATGGCGAAGCTGCGAGATGTCAAAGATAGGAATTTTTCATACGTTTAACCAAATCTCTAAACAATTGACAATTGACAAACGTATGTTATATGATATCAAAGTTCTTGTTTTTAGAAGCTCTATTTTTTATTCAATAAGACATAGGATGTTTTATTTAAAATATACATATTTGCCATGTTACAAAGCTATGGAACACCCCGTATATATCAAGATAGTCTCAAAATATTCACTGGTAGCATATCAAAGTTGCCACGAAAACAGGTATTTGATATCTTTTCCAGTTTGCTCTTAAAACTACTTTCCATTTTCATTGGGACACCATGTATACTAGTGCAACTTAGGCTAGGCTAGACGGTGTTATCATCCCGCATCAAGTGAATACATAAAAATCCCTCAATCCGAAATCCAAAGCCCCATACTTTGATTGGCCCTTGTAACGTACCAATTTTTCCATTACTCACCCCACTTTTATGGTGGCCTTCCTCTTTGGCGGCACCTCACCATCTTTCCATTGTGTACCTTCTTCATCTTCTGTTGCAGGATACTCACTTTCAGTAGTAATACCCCCTTCTCCATCTTGAATGTTTGATTCATACTCTCTATCTTCATCTGTCTGCCTCTGCTTCTTTCTGCTTGCCTTGTCTTCAGATGATTCGTGTATTTCTTCAACTCTGACAGAGCTTAACACGAATCTGGTGTACACAACTTCGTCTGTACTTTCTCGCTTTTTCTTGTTGTACATTATTCTTGCTGCTAAGGAGTGGACATCTTTGAATCTGGAGATGCAGGCCACTCCACTATTTTCCGGACCTGAACGTAGAAAAACGAGAAAGAATCTAATAGATAGACTTGCATGTCAAGTTTCGATAGGCTTTGAGTGCTCGCATCCATTGCGATTCTCTAGTTACAGGCTGAAGAATTCATCCGGGGATCTGATGCTGCTGTGGACATCAGAATTGACGCCGCGGCTTGTAATTGGTGACGGCGGTGTTTAGCAACCAACGAATTTGAGTAGATTAGACGAAGGACTCAAGCCTATATGTCTACATTGCATTGTTTGTCGCCAAAATATTTGACTACCATTGCATACCAAAGTACCAACATTGTATCAACATAATAATAATTCTTACCGGTGGAATGATTTCTATACCTTCATTAAACTTGTATCTTTGCAAATTTTGCAAGAAGTACAAATTTAATGACAGAACTGCGAAAAAATTAACTTACGCCATGTCCACTTGCATGCACATTCAGCCAGACTACAGACTGAGATGTTGGAGACAAACAATTCGAAGGCTCCTTCTACCTAGTGTGAATTCGTTGTTAGCACCGGTAACCACCCGCGGCAGAACTACAGTGAGCACTCGCACTTAGAGAAAATTTACCTTCGCTAAGTCCAACTTCGTTGTTACCAAACCCATCATATAAATAGAACAAGTAGTTTTTGTAGATTAAAGCACAAGCGTATGTAGGAGTGACCAAAACTCCGATGTCTGATCTCACAAAGAGAATCTTCTCAATTGCCAGCTCCAAAATATTCTGCCTGGTGTAGGTATCGAAAATGTACTCCACGAGTACTTTGAAGGTGTTCTTGCCTAGAGTCACTTTGGGTATTTCCAATTTGGATACCTAAAAAATAGCATTAGATTTGCTTCATGAATTGATATACAAAAATATAAATTAGATTTTATTAGTCATGTAGTCAAATTGCTCACTCAACTAGCAAATATTTCTTGTATTATAAAAACAATTAGTTACAGCGCAGGGAAAAGCACAGCCAATTTGAAAGTTGGTTTGAGACATACCTTTCCCTTTTGGTGTCTCTATTCCTAACATTGCTTAAAAAAGTGCTCATTTTACAAAAGCGAACTGTAAGGTACAATGTAAATAACTAAAAGCAAGCATAGAGCAACATGCAGGCATTTATTTCAAAATCATAAAATAATGACTCTTGTATCACCGTTCACTTTAGAAATAGATATACTTTTATTTTTTAAATCAATTTAAATTTGACACATTAAATATAAGTTACGATATTTCACGAAAAAAAGATTTTAAATTGCTAGTAGCTAATTCAACACTTGTGAAAAACTCAACAATGTATGGTATAGTGGTATAAAAATTTACTTGTGTCTCCCTGATGCTATCAAAACTATTAGCAATTTCGAGTTATTCCGCCGTGAACTGAAAATTTTTTTCATACAATAAAGCGTATATATTATATATATTACCGGTATATATATATATATATGTATAATTATATCAATAGGGCGTCATGTATCTTGATTTACAAAAGAACTGCTAAAGTCCCTTAGTGTTTCACGGACAGGTCGTATCATTTCGTATGTTAAAAACTTAATATGTAGTAGTAGTAGAAAGATTTATTTAGCACATTTGGCTACATAAACAGAACAATTGTAAACAACTTAGAACTAGTAAATTCAAGCCATATGGTGTATGATGGAAATGCTGGGCAACCTATAATTGTAGATTTAACAAGTGATTTCTCAATTTTACTTTAAATTTTGTCAAAGTTTTCTGGTCTTTTATCTCCGAGTATAATTTATTATATTCAATCAACCCTTGATGGAATACAGATTTGTAGCATATGTTATACTTTTTGGTCATTAAATGGAAGTCATCTTTATTTCTGGTATTATGTAAATGATGGTCGACATTTGATGATGTTAAATTAGTTAGACTTGATGGAAATATATTATTTTTTACTTTATAAATGAATATCATTACAAGATATTTGATAAAATTTTTTACATTGAGCCATTTTAATTTGCTAAGCATTTGCCTAATTGGAGTATATTTATCTTTATTTAGTATTATTCTCATGCACTTATTTTGTAAAATTTGCAGTCTTTTAAAAATGGAATTATTTGCTAAATATAGAATAGTCGAACAGTACAAGAAATTTGGAAGAATGATGGTATTATAGATAATTTTTCTGCTATATGAACTCAGACATCCAGAAACTCTCGATAAATATCCCACTTTACTACTAATCTTATTTATAACTTTTTCATAATGAATATCAAAAATTAATCGAGGGTCAACAAAAACTCCCAGGTATTTAAAATTTTCTACGAATTCAATATCTTCACCATCAATATTCAGTTGAACATTTGTACATTGTTTTTTTCCGATTAACAAGGCTTTCGTTTTACTTGCATTTAATTTTAGTCTGTTAAATGCTAACCATTTTGAGACAAGCTTCAAGTCTTCATTTATATAAGAGATACCAGACTGAATATTTTTAGTACTTATATAAATCATCGGCGAAAATTTGAATTTTGCATTTTTTGACTATGGCAGGTAAATCATTTATGTATAAAATAAAAAGAAGTAGTCCCAGGATACTGCCCTGTGGAACAACCAACGTATTTTCAATTTTTGATGAAATAGTGTCATTAACTTTTGTAACTTGCATCCTTTTAGACAAATAATTTCTAAACCAATCTAAAACACTTCCTGTTATACCATATGCCTTCAATTTACCTAACAAAATATCTCTGTCAATCGTTTCAAATGCCCTCTTCAAATCCAAAAATACTGCTATGACAACTTATTCTGAGTCTATGGCTCTTCTCCAATTCTCAGTTACCAACTGGAAAGCTGTTTCTGTGGAATATTTTTTTCGAAAGCCTGCTTGCGCCTCCACTAAAATTTTGTTTTCTTCTATAAACTGCATTAATTGGTCATGTACTATGGACTCTAATAATTTTTCAATGTCTGGTAACACATTTACTGGTCTCATATCGCTGCATCCTTTAGAATTTTTTATTTTGGGAACTGGTGTTATTGTAGAGCATTTCAAATTTTCAGGGAAAGAACTGCTTCTCAGTGAACAATTGATCAAATTAAATACAGGATATCCCAAAATTTCGAAACAGTCTTTCAGCACGTTTTTAGTAGTGATTTCGGCACAGTTGTTATTTGATTTTAAACTGTTTACTTTTTTCTTAGATAATTCAATGATACGCTGTGAAATTTTGAAAGTGTATGCAACATTTCCCCCTTGAAACTGATTTTCATATAGTCAGGTGCAGCATTGGCAGTAGCCACAATATCAACAATACTTTCCACAAAATATTCATTTAGTTTGTTTGCAATCACCAAAGAATTTGTTTCGGTACCGTTTTCGAATTGAACTTGATTTACACAATCATGCGGCTTCGAATTGATCAGTCTTTTTAAAGTCTTCCACATCTTTACACTGTCGCACTTGTTATTATCGATTTGTTTATCGTAGAATTTTCTTTTTTCTTCTCTAATTACATATACACATTTATTCCTAAGAGTTTTATATACCTCCCAATCATCATTTGATTTTGTGAATATACATTTATTGTATTGTTTGTCTCTCAAATTTTGAGCTACCTTAATATTCTTGTTATACCAGGGTATATTTTTTGTCGAGCACATCAGTTTTTTATCAGTTGCAAGATCTAAACAAGTTTTTATATTTCCTATTATGTTGTCATATATTTTTTCCATATTCTCACCAAAATTCCAATAGCAGCCAGCAAGTTCTCGTTCAAGTTTTTCGTACTTAATAGTATTTACGATTTTCTTAATTTTTGTATCAGAAAAATGCCCTTCCAAGGGCAGCATTGTCCAACTGTGATCGCTAACTTTAGGTGTATGTACAGCTTTAATCCCTGCACATTCGAAATTTACAATAACAAGATCTAACAAAGTCTCTGATAATGATGTTATTCTGGTACTCTCTTCAATTTTTTGCTTGAACCCATAGTTGTTTATGGTTTCTTTCAATTTTCTTGTTTTCATGCTTTTACCATAATAATTTAAATTAAAATCACCTAAAAGTATTATATTGTTTCTAAAATTCCACATTTCCTCGCATTTTTCTTCAAAAAACGTTAAAAATGTATCTGCATCACTGTTTGGTGAACGGTAAAAAGTACAAAGATCATAACGTTTCCCAAATAATTTGAACTGTATATGTGCATACCAGTATGCATAGGTGTATATGGTATATGGTATCATAAATAATTTGAAGTCAGAATAACCAGCGTGATGTCACTTTACACCAAGTAAAGTGATACAACCCTAACTTTTGCTTCCTTGTATCTCACATACCTGGTCATATCTTAATTTAGAAGCCTTATATAGCTCCATACCACACTTCAAAATATAATCAACAATCTCGGTAGTCCAGGTCAGTATAGAATACTTCTTAGAGACAACTCCCGCCATGATACACACAAATGGTGCTACGAACTCAACATCTTGATTAAGACTTGCAACATTTTTTGTCCCAAGAACGATCTGGGTATCATCTGGCAGATCTACAAAGTTTGTTTCTTTTCTTAGTTCTTCTGATTTGGATACATCCGGTTCAGCTGCTATAAACAGGTCCCATTCATCGTCCGTAGCTTTGTAACGTTGCATGCGGTACCTTACAAGTAATGATAAAGTACGATTAAAAGTCACATACAATCTGCGAGTTACTATATTCACAAAATCCCTCTGATAAACTTGTATGCCTGAACAGGGTGTTTTAAAGTTTAGTCATTTATTTTACTGCTAGTCGGACTTGTCGAAAGGACTTGACATACCAAAAATCACCTATGTAAAAGTTGCATAATAAAAGAAATAATGAAAGATTAAAAATTTAAATAAATAAGAATACTATTGCACATATTTTTGATATTCTTCTAAATTTGGCAAACTTTTTGTGTTATTGTATGGTTTTCAGTACCAGTCTTTGGTTCGATCAGTTGTATGAATCTTTTAATAGTCCGTATACTTTCGTCTGATTGTTTTGTACGAAAAATGGTTCATTTTTACGAAATCAATGAACTAGTTGACATGATAGTATCTTACGGACAGTGCCAACAACATGCAGCTCCAGCAGGTTGTATGCGAAAAGTTTTCCTTTAAGCAATCATCTGGCCCCGTTTGTAAATTTAGTTAATAGACTTCGTAACACAGGATATTTAACAAGAGGAGGTCACGCTGGAAGACCCGCTCAACCTGAAATGTTACAAATTGAGGAAGACATTTTAGAAATGGTCGAAGACGACCCAACGATGAGTACTAGAGCCATAGCAGCTCAGGTTTTTCATAGTAAAGTGTGGAAGACGATACAACAAAAACAGTATTATCCTTATCATTATCAACGGGTACAAGCGTTACAACCTGAAGATCATCTTAGAAGAGTTGCATTTTGCCAATTGCTTTCATAACAGTTCGGTAGGAATGAAGATTTTACGACATTAATTTTGTGTATAGACGAGGCCACCTTTACACGAAATGGAGTGCACAATTTTCATTAAATGTTTGGGCTGGCGTGGTAAATGACATGCTTATTTGACCTTACTTTTTTCCACCCCAACTGACCGGTGAAATTTATTTAGATTTTTTTCGACACAATCTGCCACAGTTATTAGAAGATGTTCCTCTATGTGGTTCCTACATGATGGGGCTCCACCGCATTTTAGACGAGAAGTTCATGAACATCTAAATAATGAGTTTCCGAATAGATGAATAGGGCGCAATTTCTTGGCCTGCTCACTCCCCGGATTTAACGTCTTGGGATTTTTTCTGTGGAGCTACTTGAAAGAGTTGGTGTATCAAGATGGAGCAGTAAATACTCTGAAAGAACTTCAACAGCGCACTGAAAATGCTTGTGATTCAATTCGTAGACATCAGGATTTTATTTTCGAAGCTTGTAGAGTCGTGAATTCGCCGAGCAAGATTTTTGTTAATCGAACAAATGGGGACAATTTTTAACAGTTTTTGTAAAAACGGAATCCATTTTAACTTGATAATGATTTTATTTTATAATTTTTGATAATGTAAACGCCTCACTTCGCTCATAGTTCACTCCGATGGTTACAGAGGGCACCTACCACATTAATCTGTCGCCATAAATGCAAGCAAGCCCGTTACCTTCGAATATGTGTTAATTACTTGATTTAGTGTAAGATAGATCCAAAAAACTGGTAAGTACAAACCAAAAATTATTTTTATATGAGATATGATAAGAGTTTTTTCAAGTTTTCGTGGTCCGATTTAAATAATCCTTATTGCTAGGCAAAGTAAGATCCATAACCTAACATTTAACACATGTACCGCTTCCTGGATTTACACGGGGTTTGTGCTTTTCAGTTGAAATGTTACTGTTGCGCAGTGGGGCAATATGCCGCATAAAAGTGACGGTGCGGCATATTACCCCATTTATTTTTTTCATGTGACAGATCCTAATGTGGTGCGTTTTTTGGCTTATTTCAGATTAACACAATGCCACGTTCTTATATTCGAAGAAATGTAAGAGTTCAATGGTCAGAAGAAGACCTCCGGAATACAGTATCTGATATTCATGGAGGTAAAGGATCGGTTCGAGAAATAAGTCGTACTTGTAATGTTCCAGTTAGAACCTTAATGAGAAGAATGCGGTCGGGAAACTTAAATAAAGTGGCATTAGGTCGCAAAAGCTTACTCAGTATGGTACAAGAAACAAGTTTAGTCAAATATATACAAAACATGGCATCGCACGGCTTTGCTTTATCTGCTCATGATATAAAAAAGCTTGCATATTCTTTTGCGATCCAACAAAATATTCCACATAATTTTAATACCGAACGAAAAAGGGCAGATCAAGATTGGTTTCTCGCCTCCATGAGATGACATCCTGAACTGGCGGTACGTAAGGCTCAAGGAATGTCTACTGCCAGAGCCAAAGGCATGACGAGACAAGAATGTACCCAATATTTCGAACTGCTAGGAAACGTTTTGAGAGAAAATAATTTATTAAATAAGCCTCAAAACATTTTTAATCTCGATGAAACTGGATTGCAGTTAAATAATAATCCTGGCAAAGTTGTGGTAACTAAAGGCGCTAAAATGGTAAACTGTATCACGAGTGCTGAAAAGGGAGACACTATTTCCGTTATAACGTGTGTAAACGCAGAAGGCAGTTTTTTCCCACCCTGCTGTATATTTAAAGGGAAAAACAAAAAAAAGGAATTTGAAGATGGTCTACCACCTGGAGGAAAGGTTGTTATGGGCGAGAAGTCAGCTTATGTGACATCTGAAATTTTTTTCAATGGTTTCGTGAATTTTTTGTTCCGCGGAAAGGTGCCGGTAAGGTTCTATTAATTATGGATGGACATTCTTCACACTGTTCTAATATCGAACTGTTGACCTCAACCGCTTGATCGCTCATTCTTTAAACCTTTAAAATCTTATTGGGCTCAAACTGGGTTCATAACAATCCTGGTCGAAAACTGAACCGATTGCGGTTCGCCCAACTTTTAAATATTGCGTGGTGTAAGGCTGCGACAATTCAAAATGGAACTTGCGTTGCAGAACCTGTGGGATTAACCTTTTAATCCCGAAAAAATTCCCGATTATGCTTTTACCATTAACGACGAACCATCAGCTGAAGACAAACACAACCCACAAGACATTCTCAGTGAGGAGCAAAACGACCACAGACCAGGTAGTGTCATTGCAGTCAACAACCCCGAAAATAGAAACCCCTTTGAAGCAATTTCACCGGTTCCATGCGTGGAACCAGAACCAAGTGACTATAGACGAAAACAACATGCCGAAATACTAACTTTGTCAGAAACAATTTGCGCAAAACGAACAAAGGAAGAAGTAAAAAGAACAAAATTAAAACAAAGAGGAGAACGGAAAAAACGCAAAGTATTGTTGAGCATAGGAAGAAAACGGTATTTCCAAAAAAGAAAACTAAAAAATCACCAAGCCCGAATTCGTCAGACACCGAAACCGAGGAGTAACCCAAGAAAGCGACGATTCAGAAATCGATACTGATGAGTCAGAATTTTGTGCAGCATGTCATGGGTGTTTTTACGGTAAAAAAGGTCCCAAATGCGACTGGCTCCAATGCGTAACATGTTTGAAATGGGTCCATGAAATATGTACGCCATCTGACAGATTTTGCGAAGAGTGTACGCCGTTATCCGAAATAGCTACCAAGACAAAATCACATTAAAGGATATTTACCAGTGTACCTAAGTATATTAGCAGTTACATTATTAGGATTATCTGTCTTGTTTTTTACTTTTTGAGTGTTTTCATTGGAAATAAAAGTGTATTTTTGCAATTATCAGCATTTTCTATAAAAAGTTGAATTTCCTAATGTTTACGTTACGAAAACAGGTTGCCTTATTACCCAGAGCTAGATGCCATATTACCCATAGGTGCGGGTAATATGGCAATAGTGAGTCATTGGACTTTCTTGATTATAGTATTTTTGGGAATAGGGCAACGAGAGTTTTCACACCGCAAACCTGCATGTGTAAGCTCTAAGGTTCAACAATCTTATTGCGGCTAGGTCCGATGGAGGTCAGGATGTGAGCGTTTCAAATTTATGTTGCCATATTTCCCCGCTTAACTCTAATACATTACATGTCCATCAACAGAGTGATATTATCACGAGCGCCAAGTCAAAGGTTAAATAAAGATGGAGCTGTTAACTGAAGTTAATAATGTAGAGAACCTAACCTCATCTGCTGTTTGTCCCTCAAATACGTTGGATACAGTATCTCTTTCTTTATAGGAAAATACGTGATATCCGTGTTGACATTATCAGAAATCCTACTGACATCTTTGGGCAACGAGTACTCTCCAACCTGCGCAAACTGGTTCATCACATAATACCAGTCATCCAGGCCCTCGCCTTCACCATAAGCTTCCATCATGCCTTCGTATTCTTCTTCCATACCCTCTCCAGTTTCAAGGAGCTTTATTCGGGCATAACCCTCTTCTGGTGGTATTTCTTGGAGCTCTATTTCCTCCATAGTGAGCTCGAAAGTGTCTAGGTCTTGGAACTCGATGTCCTCTTCGAATGTTTGTTGTTGAGGTAACTCAGGCAGAATCTAGTATAAGAGTTTCTTATACAAGGGTTTATACAACACATTAGTTCTCATCAATCCCCCCTCCTCCCTCATTTATTAATTGGGCAGATCAAGTTGACTATACAAAAATTGATTAAGCCAATCTAAGTTTTAAATAAGGCAATTAAAAAAATAATTAACCATGACAGCTAATAAGTCAAATTGACTTAATCGCACTCCGATTTCTAGGACGGTTTACTTGAATCCAAGAAACTAGTTAAGTCAAAACGCTTAGTTAAATTTATTAAATCGTATACCTAGATTGAATACACCATTTTATTTAAAATTAATGGACAATTGAAATGACTTTACCTTCTCCAAGTAAAACAATTTAATTATATTTATTAAAATTTATTTAATTAGTTTAGCTAAAGGCTTTAATGAATTATTTTATTCAGTTTTAAATGTATACTTAGATGATATTTGGAATTTGAAAGAACAAATTGCATTTTACTGAATAATGTATATTATGAGTGTGCTCTGACAAATCTAAGACATCAAAAAATTTGGGAAGCTTCATATTAATGTTTAGAGTTGAAATAAAATCAATTTATCTTTAATAATATGTTGTTGAAGAATGCCTATAAAACAATCTTTATGGTATAAGCAATAAATCGTTTTCACAAGTCAACAGTTGGAAATACCAATAAATTCGTAATAAAAATGGCTCCTACAATGTAGTTTATGAGAGTATACAAGCAATCAATTTATTGTGATGTTTACATATTTTGTGGATAATTCATAGCTGCACCCTGACGAATCAATCATCTTCTCAGCTTTAATTTTTTTACAGAAGCAGCCACGTAGGTAAAAGCCTAGATACCAGGGTACCGCAGCAGTTACGAGGAGCTTAAAGAAGACTTGTTAATCTGATGTTTGATCTGCCTAAGTTTAGTGGAACTGGGAAAAGCTTCCTCATGTAGATACCAGAGGAATGAAGATCAGTTCTAGAATTACGAAGTTCGACACGGTTTGGACGGGAGACCTAGATCGTTGATGGTTCTTCGATGCGAAAGGGCCTCGAAGCTGCCCGTTAAAGAAGCCATCAATGGGTCGGACAACCCTCCTCTGAACAGCATCTAGCGTGGATGGCATTGTCTCGGCGCAGCACCCTAAATATGTGAGAAGTACATGAGGCTAGGTCTTATCTGGGCCTTGTAAAGAGCAAGGAGGTTATGTGGAGGAAAGCACTCCTTATCCCTGAGTAGCGTAGCTTTAACCTAGCAGTTGTCGGTATTCTTGAGATGTATGCGTGACAGATCGCCCTGGGTTATCTGGACTCCAACCAGCTAAAAAAAACGGCTCTGTGGTAGAACTCGGCCATCCATCGAAACCAGGTGGGCGCTAGGACGCTCGTTGTCTGTCAAAGTACAGTATCGTGTTTTGGAAGCATTAAACTGTACCAGATTGTTGCGTTCCCAAGCAGAGATAAACTCCAGTCCCTCGTGTCGCTGCTTTTCTCCAGCTCACCAACAGAGATTTGCTTATCACTCTGAATTCCTGGATGTGAGGTGCTGCCATCAGCAATGCTGTGGAACGTATTGATCGTTCAGGAAAGGAGGTCGTTGATTTATAAGAGGAACAATGTCGGAGCCAAGACCGATCTTTGGGGAACACCCGCGTTTACATTGTGGGCTGAAAAAGAGAACTTGTCAATTACGGCGGATACCTTCCAATCCACTGGTAACTTCTTCGAGCCGATGCCTCTAATTTTCATTCACACCTACTGCCGCAGTTAATCTAAGCACGATGCTTTAAATTTTTTATATTATTCTTCCTATGTAAGGACTAATTAATGTATTGCTTAAGTCTTAAGTGATAAAACTAAGTTAGATGGATGGCACTTGTTCTCTCGTGATTTGATAAGTATTATTTAATGCTGACAAGATTGCAAAAATGAATGACGATCAAAAGAAAACAGCACAAAGTGTCATCTATTACCAAAATCGACCACTGCGAGATTGAAACGGTAAGCTGTCTCTTGGAACTGTATTCCATTTTATATTTGACAGCCGTGTCACTACTGGAATATAGCTCCAACAGCTTACTGTTTCACTCTCGCAGAGGTTGACTCTAGAACTTGTGCTGTCTTATTTTGATAGACCTTATATTCTGGATAGAGGATAGTTGCTCTTGCTCAGCTTTCATTCGTCGTACAAGAAAGTACAAAGCAGCTGTCCATTGTTGGCTGTTGATGAAAGCAACATTACCAGGTTAAAAGCGTCACTGCACCTGAGTATCTGACAGACTAGGCGAATCCAGATCGGCAATGACATCCCCAACAGTAGGTTTTTCTTTAAGTTTGTTCAAGATTGACCTGGAAGGATGCTTCTTCACCATTGGTGGGATCTGCTCCATTCCCAAACTCTCAACTGTAGATCCGATTTCAAAGATGGAATTGTCGGGCGAGTCTCCTAGGAGGAGTCTTCTAATAGCTAACGCTGTATAGTCGACCTATATGAAAGAAGCGCTAATAAAGTTTAGAACATAATCGGAAGATGGATCTAGCATTTAGGATAACTAACGTGACAATTTAATTTTAGCTAATAGAATATTTGTAACTGATCGGTAGAAACAGGTATTAAGTCTTCCAGATCAGAGACGCACAATGCGTCACGTTACTCTCTTCCAATTTAGTACTAGTCTATAGTATTTCGCTAATAAACTTACAGTAATAGGCTTCTCGGTAGCAGTTTTCTTCGATTTCAACATTTTATATTTCTTGAACTCTTCAGGCGAGAAATCATCCATTGTAAGGTGTTTTGGAAACTTGGAGGACTGTACTGGGTCTCTGTGTATCTTACAGACTTTGAGTGCATGAATATAGAAGATGACGTCACGCTCATCAAAGTTTGTTGTGATGGTGTACACAAGGCTCTCGATGGTAGTATGCATCGAGACACAAGCTGCTCCATTTCTACATTGGAATCCTACCAAAAATCTTGTTTGAACTCAAACGTAAAAATTGCTCAACATTACGTATCTGAGTGCCAAAGGTCTATAATATGAAATAGAATGAAAGTGTCAGTGCTCACTAGGCTTTGAAACAATCAGTAGATCTTTCCGTGCCTCTATCTAGTTGGTATTATCTACATATTATGGTACACGAAAGCCTTACAGCAAGGTAAAGGGTTGCATTTTGGAATTACAGTTGGCTTCGGAAATCAACATCAGTAGAACTGTCTAATGAAGACAATGAGTACTTGCTGGATTAAAAAACAGTCAATATATTTGGAATGTAATGGCCATTCATTGTTTGCAACTGTTGGCGATTCGGACGTTAGGCTCATAAGTGCAGTTCTATCATAGTATGTCCAAACTGCAACCAAAATCAGCATGTACACTTGCGGTAATTGTAAATATGCCTACGGAGTATTAAGGATTCCAAATATTGACGTATTTGACAAAAACTGCCAGAGCTATTTGAACCAAATAAAAAGGTAGCAATAGTTGTATAAAAGGATTGCTACATAATTTTCCACAATTCAAGTTTAAAACCAGGCATTAGGTGAATCTATTTTTATTGAAAGATTAAGAATTAAGGACTTACTTTAGAAGATTCATACTTTTCTAGCCCACTGTACGAATTTTGAGAATTCTGCTTAATTTAATGAAATGTAAGTAATGTAATCTGCCGCAATGCGTGCAATTTCATTAGTCAGTCAATCTTTCCTCATTTTGTGGTCCATCTGATGAAAAATGTTGACCAAGTATCTACACATTGCAGACAATTTTGCCAAAATACCCGAGATATGTAGCCGGGCCACAATTATTGCCTACGTAGAGGCTACATTATGCTCATCTTAATGTAACATGTGTGTAGCTTATTGCTGATGATAACAAAAATGCAGTTAAAATACCTTCTTTATTTCTTGGATAGGGATCAAAGCAGAAATACATATTTCTCTGCTTCCATACTCCCAAATAACACTTCCCAATCTGCAAGATAGAATTTGTGCTCGTCTCGAAGTACTCTTCCAAAGTGCTCTTCAGTTGACAGCAACAATTTTTGTAGATGAAATCCACGAACACGTTGGCGTAGATGTAGATCTCGACCAGATATGGACCAACAGTGAAGATGGCGGGCAGGCTATCAAGCCTAAGTTCAACGATAGATTCACACTCTATGCATTCCAGGTAGAGTTGGTTGCCAATGATCATGATCTTGTCTATCGTGCTTCGGTGCCAGGCACTAGGGGGCGTTATCCTGGAATACACCTACCAAGAAGTATAGGTACAAAATAAGCAATATTACATAGTCATACCATTTATTGACCACACTATATTCAATTTACATGTGAGGTCTTACAAAGTATTTTATTATCTATGCGAATGACGTCATATCATCAACTGAATAGAAACAGTGGTTAAGCAATTTTATTTTTTTTTTGAAACTTTGAGAAGCAGTGATTATTTAAAAATTATTTATTTACATTGACAAATAAATTATATTGTTTAACGATGGATTATTTTTAGTCATATTGAGTAGCCAGTATGGATTCCTAGGTAATTAACATTACGTAGTGCATTTGTGTGTATTCCTGCAGTGGTTTGATATGTGTCCAAAAATATAAATTGGTGGAAGAAGTGATATTTGTAGATTGCACCTTGATCCATAACTGAAGTTTGTAATTTACCTCAAAACCGTTTTTTATTACATGGAACTTTTGCTAGACGCTACTGAATTTCCTCAGACCATTGTGCCATATGTCATATGGAATATGCTGAAACGCACTACACGCAAAGTATACTTATCGACGCATTTGCTGCTGCCTAAGAACAAATAATTGTGTCTTCTATCGAGTACTTTTCCTGGATGTTTTACTGGTTAAGATTTCACGACCCAACTGTCAAAGGAAAATGTGGTATGATATGTCTTGTTTTTATTTAGCGATAACTTGCTAAAAACCATATTCTGGCTTGTTCCAGATTATTCACACTCATGTTTTAGTCAGGTCTAGATAGCTAGGTAGTACAGACTCCAAATAGTAAGTAATATCCGTTATCAATGCTTGAGGGCAGGTCATTGATATATATATAACTCAAATATCTTTCTTCAGCGAAAACGTTTTTAAAAAGATTTATTTTTGAGAAAAACCAAATACAATGATGTTAATTGAATGAGTTCTGAATCGAGACTGACTGCAAAGTTCATTATACAAACCAAAGTAAAGAACAAATGAAATACAATACTGTAACTGATAAGAAAGGAACGTGGAGGCAAAAGTCCTTGTTCAGCATATTCTTCTCTGTAGACTGGTACATAACTCCTCCACCCCTAGAATGAAGCTTCCCCTGGAAGGTGAATTTCTTTCTTCTTATATCTTGAACTGGAATCTTCTCTTCTAGTGCGTTTTGTGGGACTTGGACCTTCTTCTTTCATCTCGGCTAATTCAATGTCGATTTCTAACTTGGATGCTTTCTTGTTTCTCCATCTTCTATATAAAATTATCCAGCAGATGCTTGAAAATACGAGATATAGTAATATGGTCCAAATACTGGGTTTTCCAAAATTTTCTATGCAATTTTCTTCTAAAATTGGTAACATTCGATTAACTTCTAATTCTGGTAAATTTAACGTTTTCAGAGTAATTTGTGTCTCTGGGATATTTTGTTTCATAAAATGGAAATCCATTTTGTCAGCTACGAGGGACTTTCCATAGGTTTTGTCTTGAAAGATAATTTCATTGTCTTGGAATGATATTTGGCATTCACTGGCTTTGACTAAGAAAATGCCAAGTAATGACTTTGTATCGATTTGCTCCTTGCATTTAATTTTCAATTTTTCTTCGGTGAGAAATACAGCTAAATACTGGTTAATTTCGGGAATAAATTCGATGTGATTTTCTTCAATCTGAAGCTTCGTGTATCTACATGGTTGTGTATGATCTTCTGTAATTATGGACTTCTCGCATTGGGCTTTGTGATTGGCTAATATACGATTAGGGCATTGATAGATTCTACCTTGGGTAGGGGTTTGATCTCATTTCGATCAGATTTTAGCAAATACTTATAATTTGGGATAATAGTGACGAATTCTGATTTGTGCATCAGAGTCGGTATAGGTAACATATAATAAAGATCGAAATGTTCAGGATAATCTATAGGAATAGATAGAAAATAACTTATTTGATTCTCATCGATTTTACAACTGATAGAAATAATAGATTCATAATCTAGCATATTTTCATACTTTACTTCAAATGGTAATTCATTTTTATAAAATGTGGATATCTTACGGAGTTCTTGAAATAATTCTCTAGTCCTTATTATACTGGGATGCATGGTTTTCAATTTGCAAAAAGTTATCGAATTTTCGATATCTTGTAAAATATTCAATATGGCATTATAAAGGATAATTAATTGATTGATAATGTCCTTCGCTGAAAGAATATCCTGGTTTGTTGTCTGGTTCAATAAAATATGTTTCAATTGTAAAATGTTATTTCTTAATGTCATCTCATTGTGCTGTATATCTTGAATAGTCCCGTTAAATTTTGCGACAAGTTCATTGTTTACTGAATATTGCATTCTCAGCTGATTTTGAATATGATGCTGATTTTCTTGTAAATGAGATAAAATTTTATCAATACGTTCTCCATCGTCGGAGTCTAAATTTCCTGTTATTGTTTTTACTACATAGCCTATGCCATTAAAAAGTCCTCTCTTATTGCGAGTCTTTTGAGAATGAGATTTAATGTATTCGATTTTCTCTTGAATCAAGCTCCTTATATAAGATACTATCTTATTATAATTTTCTAGCTCGTTATTAATCTTAGAATGGTTTCTGTAACTATAGTTAAGATTACTGTATTGAATATTCAAATCTTCATATTCCTTATATATAGGTGATAGATCATAATAGTGCACAAAAGTATGTTTTGTCTTTTGTAGACTAGCTGTGCCTAAATTTACTGGCAAAATTCCTAAATTGTTCGTTATGTTTCTTATTTCTGCTCCGCATCCGAAATAGATGAGGTATCTGAAATATTAGTAAATTTAAATTGATAAGTTTTCTTCCTGGGCCTTTTAATATTGGATAAATGGATATTTTTGGAAGTATTGGCATGTGTGGGATCTATCTCCGCTCTTTTTAATTTCTTATCTATACTAATTAATTTTTCTTGCTTATACTTATTTTTAGTTTTCTGTTGCTTCTGTTTATTCTTAACATATACATTGTTAGGAATATCAGGCAAAACTTCACGTTTCTCATTTGCTTTATTTATAACTTTTTCTTTATTCTGTAATATCTTTTCATTTAAATTCCTATATACTAATTTCATTTTTTCCTTATGATTCTGTAAATAATTATTTAGTAATTGCTTATCTATGTCTATATTAAAAGGTGATTCTGTTTCATTAACATTTACTTCTATTCTAGATAAAAAGTCCGCATTTGTGTTTGATTTGCCTTTCCTGTAAACAATGTCAAAATCATGTTCTTCTAATCTTAAGCGCCATCTTAGTAATTTTGAACTAGCATCTCTAACTGAAAATAACCATTGGAGGCTTAGAAGTTCTTTTTCTGTCGTACTATACTTTGTTTCTGAATCACTTAATGTTCGTGAGGCGTACGCTATTGGTAAGTCTGAGCCTAATTTACCTTGGGATAATATTGCGCCGATTGCATAATTACTTGCATCTGAAGTTATCAAGAATGGTTTGGAAAAATCCCGATATTGGAGTATCGGATCGTTTGTCAATAAAGTCTTGCATAATTCGAAACATTTAATATAATCTGCGTCATTGGGATTAATAATTGCATCTTTTTTCAATCTGATTGTCAATGGCTTAGTGATTTTCGCAAAATCTTTTATAAACTTACGGTAATAACCTAAAAGTCCAAGGAAGCCTTTAATTTGCTTCTTAGTTTTTGGTATTTTAAATTCTGTGATTGCCTTTATCTTATCGGGGTTTGGTTTCACACCATCCGCCGTTACAACATGACCTAAATACGATACTTCTTTTCTAAGAAATTCAGATTTGTCTAACTGTATTTTAAAATTTGACTGACGTAACCTTTCAAAAACTTCTCTAAGTCGAGAAATATGTTCCTGTAAACTAGTACTGAATATTATAATGTCATCTAAATATACTAAGCATTTTTCATTTTGAATACCTCTCAGTATGTTATCCATTACTCGCTGGAAAGTCGCTGGCGCGTTTTTTAGTCCAAATGGCATTCTTGTAAACTCGTAGTGTCCATTTTCTGTATTGAATGCAGTTTTTTGAATATCATCTTCTGCCATTTCTATCTGGTGAAAACCTGAAGCTAAGTCTAATGTTGAAAAATATTGGCATAGCCCTAATTTATCTAACAAATCTGTTATGTTTGGAAGAGGATAACGATCTCCCAATGTTTTTTCATTCAATTTTCTATAATCAATGACTATTCTCCATTTTTGCTTTCCTGATGCGTCTAATTTTTTTGGAACAATCCATATAGGTGAGCACCACGCTGAATGGCTCTCTCTAATAATTTTTTGATCAAGCATTGATTGTATTTGTCTTTGTACCTCTTTTCGGTGGATTTCAGGATATCTGTATGATTTAGTGTAAATGGGTATTTCATCGCTTGTACGTATATGATGCTTAATTTTGCTCGTAAAAGTTAAGTAATTACCATCTATGTGAAATATGTCTGAATACTTGGTGATTGCGTCTTTTTCTTCAGAGTTCATATGCTCTGTCCTAATTTTGGAAATATCAAATTTAAATTTTTGAAAGTTCAAAGAATTAATATTCGGTGGATCAGAATTTTCTAAAACTTCGTAATTTTCAAAATTTTCTACATCTATTGGTCGAGATATGTCAAGAGAAATCTGTTCTTCAGATAAATTTAATACTGTGCAAATTGCTTCGTGATTTTTCACTGTAGTAAGACATTCAGGGATTTCTAAACATGATAATTTTCTGTATGGAATAATAGCATTACCATTTCTTAAATTTTTTATGTTAACTTTAATTATCTGTTCTGTTCTATGTGGAACAGTGATAACATTAGAAGAATTTTTTGTAATCTCGTGATATTGCATGGGTATCCTTGTTGTGGGTGTGACTAAAAGATCATTGCTCAAATCAAGGTTGGCATTCAATATCTCTTTCAGGTTATCGAGTCCTAAAAGGCATTGGAAATGTTCGTGAAACTTGAATAAATGAAATTTCATGAGAATATTTGGATTCTTAAAAATCTTTGGACAAGGTATTGTCATACTATATTGTTCGATAGATGAACCATGTGCTGAAGTGATTTGAAATGGGTCTTTTTGAATATGTCTTGAAAATAATTTTTTCGCAATTTCAGGGTGTATGAAAGATTTTGTACTTCCAGTGTCAATCAATACTCTGAGATTATACTCCGGAAATACAATGTAGGGTAGTTTGCTACATTTGTCGGTTAAACTCATAATTTCAATTGACTTTGGTGGTCCGTTGAGATTTGTGGTTGTATCTGTACCGAGGCTTCTTGCCCTAAAAAATCGTCAGAATTATTCTGAGAATAAGCGCATTCATAATTGTCATCATTTGGAAATTCTACAACAGGTTGGTCTTGTACACACAAGTTAAACATAGCCTGTTCTGCGTTTACACCAGGTCTGTTAAAATTTCTACCTTGAAAATTTGGTTGCTGATACGTCTGTCTAGTGGATGTACTCATCGGAGTAGGCCTTGGCAGATTATTGATCTGATTAGGTCTAAAAACGTTATTATTGTGAAAATTCGTTCTATTCTGATTAGGATTATTTGGTTGTACATTATTAGGACTAAATTGTCTTTGTAATACTGGACGCTGTACCGCTTGGTATTGATTCCTATAATTACCAAAGTTGTTGTTCATATGGCGAACTAATTGCATATTATTTCGATTAACATTTTTATGTTTATCTACCTTATGATCAAGCTGAAAGTCGTTAGTTAATATATTCAGAGCTTCATTCAAGTCTGTAGGATTTTTCGTCCTCATGACCGATCCTAGAGGTTCCTTTAAACCTTTTAGAAATACTCTTAATGCTACGCTTTTGCAAAAATTACATATTATCTGAGCTTCTTCACTCACACAATGTGTAGTTAAAAATGATATTTGTAAATTCAATAAACTCTGAACTTTGTTATAAAATTCAAAGGGGGTTTCATTGTTCTGTTTCAATTCACACAATTCTATATTTAGAGTAAATACGTCACGCTTGTCTTGATATGTATTTAAAAGTGCAGTTTTCAAGTCTGTCCAATTTATTATAATATTGCTACTAATATTTAAAGCTGTATTACCTTTGATTTTCGCTAAAATACTACTCATAAGATATTCGTTCTGGAAGTCATTTTCATCCTCTAATCTATAAAATTTATTCACTAACTTTTCGCAAATATCTATGAATCTTGGTAATAATTCTTGTTGTCCATAAAATTCGGGTATCATGTTAAGATACTCTGGGCGTAATGACATGCTTGATTGATTTACTTGACTGTTGTTCATATTGACTGTACTATTTAGTATACTAGGTCTTAATTGCAAATTCCTTAAACTATGTTGGATATGTTCCGTATCCGACTGTGAGTCCGAATCAGTGTCACTCAATATATCATCAAACAGCTTTTGATTGTTTTCGCCCCTGTAAGACATTCGTACTTACAGTAATAATCCAATCCGTCCCATGTGTCCGTATGCCTGGGCCACTGCTGGGTTGCCTGTCCTGGAGCAGATGTTCCTTCTGTCCTCTGGGCTGCTGTCTTCTTGGTTTCTCGATTTGGGTAGGGTTCTACCCCAAATCTGGTTCCGGTGATCACGGTAACGATATCGATATTCCGTCGGATCGTTCGCGACCAATCCCGGTTGGTTTCGTTATAGCCAGTAAACCGTTGAAACGAACCGAAAATGACCTTTTTTCGTCTGGCTATCCTACTGCTTGCTGCGCCACTCAAATATCTTTCTTCAACGAAAACGTTTTTAAAAAGATTTATTTTTGAGAAAAACCAAATACAATGATGTTAATTGAATGAGTTCTGAATCGAGACTGACTGCAAAGTTCATTATACAAACCAAAGTAAAGAACAAATGAAATACAATACTGTAAATGATAAGAAAGGAACGTGGTGGCAAAAGTCCTTGTTCAGCATATTCTTCTCTGTAGACTGGTACATAACTTATATATATATATATATATATATATATATATATATATATATATATATATTATAAATAGCAGGGGACCAAGTACTGATCCCTACGGTATTCCGTTACAAATATATTGTCCTGAATAAAGCACAAGCCAAGTTTTTCCTAATTTTCACCTTCGATGGATTGTTATGGAATCAACAGCGCCATTATGAAGGCATCGACTAATATCTTAGTGAAACATTTGACGTTCTTGTATAATAAATATATTCACCTAAGGAATATGTGATTATGACTAAAAATAATATACCTAACGTTGAATTATATAATTTATTGGTAAACTCAAATAAGGAACATAATTTTGAAATATCCACTTCTTCTCAAAGTTTTATATAAAAAAAACATTGCTTAACCACCATTTCTATTAAGTTGATGCTATGGCGTCACTCGGATAGATAATAAATTAGTTTGTATGTGTGCATGTCGAATGCATACGTGTTCGTTCGATAGAGTTCTTGAAACGGTCCCCCTTTCCCTGTATCCCCATATACACCCAACGGTATCCAGCGGCTGTTTAGGCCATGTGCTTTCGTGGTGGTTGAAGTATAAAAAGTCACCAACTATTATTTCAGTACTTACCAAGGACACTACGGACATAGGTAGCGATTGTTTGTTTCTCGCAAAGTCAAAACATTTGTCAGACAAGTCAAACGACCCTAAGCAAACAGCTTTTTGCTCATTCAACACATTGAAGGTACTCATACTTTCCAGCCCGATCTGTGATTTAGGTTCTGGGTCATCCCTATTCAGGACCTTCGTCACCTTTATAGGATAAATCAGGAAAGGCCAATTTCCGAAATTAGATCTATCCAAAAACACCGTAACCAGAGAGGGTATATCGTAAAAATTGGCCATGATCGCTGTTCCACCAGACGCGACATAAAGATCCCTGGTACGCGGTCTGGCGTCGAACAAGTAGTAATACTTGTCCTTCCACATTGCGATGCTTAGATCTTGGGTTTTCAGAATGCCAGCATTCTGTCGTGCAAAGAAGATGTTTAGGGCCTTTGTGAGATTGAAAACGCGCTTGTTGTCAGATCGAATGTAGCCCGTAACTTCTGGTTCTTCTACAATGAATCTTATCTTCTTATCACCTAGAACAATTTAAGAGAGAATCAGATGAATTGGAAACATAAAAGATGCGTCAAAGGTTGCCTTTGGTCGGAATAATGGACAAAACTGTGTATTATAGTGAAAATAAAATTACATTTTTAACAGCTAAAGCAAATTACTTAGTTTGCAAGGCTATCCTCCTTTTTCCAATCGTTTTAGAAGAAAATTTTCTAAAATTCGCGAGCTAAAGAATCCTCTACCTTTCGCAGAAAAGATTAGGATTTGATTTCCATTTCAGTCAGATAGATCGTGACCGTACACATGACAAACCCTTGACATCAGAATTTTACTCGAAGACCTATGCCCAAATACACCGCCTTACTGAGGTCGCCTTTAAGAAAAGCTGAACTTTCAGTTCCGATTTTCTTATTTGACGTAAAATGTTGACAACCGGGTAGTCGAATATCACAAATTACTGTTTCAATAGAATTAATGTTTTAAATATGGATATTGCAGAAGATGGTGAAGTTAACGAATAGAAAAGTTTTGGCGCTTCTCATTCATAGGAAAAAGCGAAAACATTAGAATATGCTTTTTGAGGGTATTGATATTCCGAAATTAACATTGTCTTTGAAACATCCCATTACAAAAATTTACAAAATTCTATACCTAGCACGCAGTATTTTATCAGCTGCTGTGGTTTCAGCTCAGCTTCGAGGTTGTGAATATGACAGTGCTTGGCACTTTCAATGCAAAGATTGTTCCCATATTCTAGAATTTGGTCTATGTTCTCTGTTGTCCATCTGTTTGGATGTTTCAAAATTGAAAAGCAATAAGCTGCAACTGGCATGCATATGCCTTGACGGTTTCTGATGTTTTCGCTGAAACTTGCATCACCTTGGTGCATAGATCCTGGAAAAACGTTTGAAGGTGCAATACAAGATGTAAAAATGGTTGATTAAACAAAGTCAAAAGATTCCAAGGAAACATTTGGTGGCATTTACCCATTACTCCAACAGTTGTACTCAAATTTAAACGATGAACAAGTTTCAATAGCCCTTTTTGCGACTTTTACAAAGCTTTTGACTGTCTAAATCAGGGGTTCCCAACCAGGGGGGCGCGCCTGCCAAGGGGGGCATTGAGAGATGTCAAGGGGGCGGAAAGCGTTTGCATTTTAGAAAGAATAAACAAAAAAAAACAAATAACATTACAATGTAATGTTTAATTTACACGCACAAAATTAGAAATTAAATATCACTTATTCTGTCAACCGCTGCTTCAAATCCCGGCGACGTCAATCGCAACATATATAGACTTTGAAGTTGAGTCATTAATTTTCAGATAATGATTGTAGAAGGAAGATAAACCAAAATATGTGTGTAAAAATAAAAAAAAATTAAAAAAAATTTTTTACCTTGTTTTATAAAGTATCCTCCCGACAAGTATTTCAGTGCGGACCTGTATTTGATCGTGAGGTCCCCTGTGAGGTCTTAAGTCACCTGATTCACGAGCCCGTTGTACTACATTAACAAAGGCACGAGGGGTTGGTTGCACTCGATTGGGAAACCGATCCGCATAAACATGTGCCATTTTTTATTTCGTTTGAGCCACGCAACGGACACTATTCACACGCGACACTGACACTGACTGTATGTATAACTGAACTGAATAAAATAATAAACTGTACACAAACATCGTTCCAAATTCTTTCGCTTTTTTGTTTCCGATGCGATGAACCGGTAAGGCGGATTATATCCGTTGTCGCCAAACACGAGCACATGATATTGAGACAGGGCGGTACTCAAACTTCCAAAGGGCTATAACTTTGTTACTTTAATTTTACCAGAAAAATGGTAAAGGAAAAAAACATTTCTTTTGATCAGATCTATTCACTGTTAAAATAAATGACTCAACTTCGAAGTCACCCTGTATAAGTTTCGACAAGTCACAACATGAAATCCGCGCGTACCCCCGCCACGCTCCGCTTAACATTCATCACTTAGAATTCAATTGTGTATCTATCAGACGCGGATGACCATTTGTGACATCCATTTTATTGTTATAGGTGCAAAATGGCAGTGAAAAAAAGAAAGTTGTCCGAAGATTTCGTTAAGTTTGGATTTACCTACATAGGAAAAGACGAGTTACAATTGCCTCAGTGTGTGATATGTATGAAAGTTTTAAGTAATGATAGCATGAGGACCAGTCGCCTTAAAAGGCATTTGAAGCAACAAGATCCTACTCTGGTTTTGAAGGATAAAAGTCTTTTTCTTCTAAAGTAGAATGACTTAAGCGGATGAGACTGGATAAATCGGGATGTTATCACACAGGTGTATCGCAGCATCTCAAAGCTTCATTTGAAATAGCTTTTATGATAGGAAAGCAAAAGAAACCTCATACTATCGGTAAAGAATTAATAAAACATAATGTGTAATAAAAGCCACGCAGATAATTTTAGGAGAAGATGCAGAGCAAAAAATGAAGTCTATTTCTCTTTAGAATAACACAGTCCAGCTTAGAATTGATGACATTGCAGCAGACATAAAGTCACAAATAATTAACAAAGTAAAATTATCTCCATTTTTTGCCATTAGTTGTGGTGAATCCACCGACATCGTTAATTGTGCACAGTAAATAGTTTATGTTCGTTACATCGGCGGAGATATCATTCAAGAAGAGATTTTGTACTCCCAATCTTTGACAGCAGCTACTACATCTGAAGATATATTTATTCAATATCAAATTTTGTTGAAAAAAATGATTTAGATTGGAAGAAACTTATTATACTTTGCACAGATGGCACACCTGCAATGATAGGTGAACGATCGGGCTTAGCTAGAAAGCTCAAGGAAAAAAATCCCGTAATGGTTAGTACACATTGTGTTATTCATCGGCAAGCTTTGGCTTCCAAAAAATTTACTTTACTTTGCGAGGATCTCAATTCCGATCACAAAGTTCTTCTGCTCCATACGTACGCTGACTGTCCAAAGGCAACATGTTAGCTCGCCTTTATGGATTGAAAGAAGAGGTAATTCTTTTTCTTTAGTTCAAAGAAAAACACGATTTCTTGTCAATGTTCAAAGACGACAGTTCATTGGAGGTTGGCTTATTTAACTGACATATTTGACTCCTTGAATGAGCTAAACTTGAAACTTCAGGGCAGAAACAACACTATAATAAGCAATTATGATTATATCCAGGGGTTCATATCAAAGCTTCAACTTTGGAATCGAAACGCGTCTGCTGAAAATGTTATATCTTTTTCTGCGCTGTTCGAAGCAATTAAAAATAACATACTGGACACAAATTCAAAAGCTGACATAAAAACTCATTTGCAAGCGCTGGAAGACGAATTTCGCCGATACTATCGAGACATCAATTCAGAGTCACCAATATGGCACATGACACGAAATCCATTTGCTGTCGATGTGTCACAATTACCAGAGGAAGTTCCTGAAGAATTTCTAGAAATAAAGGCTGATTCGTCCATGAAAGATGACTTCCATCTTTTAACATTGGAGACATTTTTTATCAAAAGATTGCCTGTTAATTCGACACTTGCCTCTCTTGCTTTCCGGATACTAGTTCCTTATTCTTCAACTTACTTATGTGAGACAGGTTTTTCTGCTCTAGTTTAAATTAAAACTGAACAGCGAAATCGTCTTGATGTCGATAGCAACCTGATGATAGCTCTGGCAAAAGCAGAAACTAGAATCAACCAATTGGTATAGAAGAGGCAATCTCAAGTGTCTCATTAGTACCTACTCTTATGTTACTATTTTACTTAAACTTTTAAAGTTTATTTATTAGAATTGAAATAAAAGTATTTGTACCTATATAATGTGCGTTTTTTTTTGTATTCATTGGGAAAGTAAAGAGGGGCATGGAAATATAATTTATAGTCCGGGGAGCCTCAAACATGTTTAAATGATCAATCCCAAATTATAAAATTATCAAGACATTATATTTCAAATAAATTCAATATAGACGTGGGGGCACCTCAAAGATCAGTATTAGATCCGATCCTATTCTTAGTCTATTGACATTAATGGTAAATTCATAGCTTTTGCTGACGCAGTACTTTGGCAAGACACAGATATATGTTGAATGAAATTAAGACAAACATTGATGGTGATATGCAATTAAACAGAAAACGGTGTGGCGACAATTACCTGACCAAATTTTCGACATTCAAATGCTCCCTTGATTTCATAAATTTAAATAATGAATTGATACACAAAAGAGACACTATCAAACTTTTGGGACTGATCATAAATTATTAGATTTTACTAATCATGTAAACAAATTGCATCCTCAACTAGCAAAGATTTTCTTAATTATAAGAACAATTAGATACAACGTAGGGAAAAGTACAGCCTTAAGCAGTAACTTTGCCTTAATTGGAAGTAGATTCAGATTCATATTCCCTTTTGGTGTGTCTGTTCTAAAAATTGTTTAAAAAAGGTATTTATGCTACAAAAACAAACTATAAGATATGTAATAAAATAATGGCTGTCGTATCACCGTTCATTTTAGAGACAACTACTTTTATTTTTAAAAATAAATCTAAATTTGAAACAATACTAGACGAAAACAAGGTTTTAAATCAGTAGTACCTAAAACAAAACTTATGATAATAATTTATAATAGCAATGTACATGTGTCTCCCTGATGCTATAGGATACTTTTTAATATGTAAACCATATTATACCTTATGTGAGTTTTACAATTTACCTACTTAAGATCCATGTATGTAGTTAAGTTATAGTTTACTTTTGAGTTAGCTTTGTCATTAGGAATTATTGTATTCTTCAGCCAATAAAGCATATTTATCTATGTATCTGTCATTGTATTACAAGAATCGAATAGATTAGAAACAACGTTGTTGTTCTGATACACCTTGTATGTACTATACTATACTATATCTTATATGACAACATTAGCACATAAGCATTCAAAGCTGATAATAGGACGTATACCTTCTTTGGATCCAAAAAAGAACTCTTTCAGAGTAGGTTGCCAAATATTAGTGAACGAATGACTTTCAAGGGTTCCCCGCTTAAACTTTCGTTTCTTTGGCACGTACGTTTTCACCTCAGATTCCCTACGAAATTTTTGGATGTATTTGTTGACAGCAGCCACTTCCAAAATTTCCTTTTCTGAGATCAGAGATTGTATATCTTTGATCTGGTAGGACGTGGAAGCTGAAATCTAGAAGATATTGGTTATAGACTGAATATGACATATCAATTTTGTGAGCTTTACTCTCTGCTTAATGATCGGAGCTGGCTTGAACAACTCATAGATTAACAAGCAATGGAAAGAGAAATAAGTCTTGCGAAGCTTGAAGCGTGTTAGCCCTTTAGAGGGTATCTCTATCACAAAAGGAACGCAATAATTGCCATAATAATGCCGAAGTTTTTTATTATGTTATTGATAAGCCTACCTGCGTAACGTTTCTTTTAAACTGCTTCGTCAAGTAAGATGCCAAAGCGTCAATTTCTGGATACTCTCCCATGCCCTCAGCGACCATTTCTTCCATTTCATTTTCTACCTCTTCTACTACTTGACCATCTTCCTTCATTATTTTCCTCTTCCTCTTTCTTTTCTTGTTCTTTTGCTCTCCCTGATCGTCATCTTCGTTTTCTCCTCTACCTCTTTTACTCTTCCTTCGTTTCTTTTGTTTCCCCTTTGAAGTGTGCACATCACTATAATAAATATTTCCAGATAAACACATCGTCAGCTTAGTTTTTCTATTAAACTATTCATAATTCATGAAGGATATTGTATATTGAAAATCGTCGGGCTTGTTGAAGACTATAGGAGCAAAGTAAAAAATGTATTTATAAAGGAAGTCACCGACAGGGCATTATTCAATTGATGGGCGTGTTGTTGGCAAGGTGTCTACTTTTGGGGTATTTGCTGAATTTATCAAGAGCTGTTTTGGATCTAAATCTGATGGCAGTAAAGCAATAAGGTAAGAATGAAATTGTGACATATCTGATTTTATAAAATCTTTGATAAAGCAAAACTCGGATCCTCAAATATAAATAAGCAACTCACGATCTTGGCGATTTGGAATAGACCAATTCGAAACTATCATAGCCTTGAATACCCGTCTTAGTTTCATTGATAAAGATACCACTCTTAGGTTTCTTCAGTTCTAACTCCTCTTTCGTCTGTGGATAAGGGTACAGCCAACTCGGGGTCGGCGTCACCCTTCGTGGTTCTACTTTTGCTCTGCTTGGTTCTGGAGAAGGTACAGCCAACTAAAATCCAAAAAGCGGTCGTATGCATTCTGGTTATTTGTTTTATTTGTAGCATAAAGCTACTTCTAATAGTCATTGTCTGCCAAAGCAATCCATAAGAAGTTTGCCCCTGTTCAAAGTTCTGTTGGTCAGTCGCACTGTTAGATATGGTTGCCCAGATACCACAAAGAGTCATCAGGGAGAAAGAAGGGAAGAGAAAAATGTTCAGGAAAAGTTGAGAAAAAAAGTAGTCTTTTAATTTGGCGTTGTTGACGTGAGTTGCATGTGTCTATAAGAGATAGATTCTGGGTCGAAAGCATCATATAAATTAGACAATATTGCGATCTTACCTTGGCATTCACTTTTTTCGACAGTGTCGGATCATCTATCTTGACGCTACTGTACTTACAAAACTTGTCTGCGGTATTGGCTCTTCTGCTTTCAAAAAACTTTTGTTGTTTTTTAGCTCTTGGAGCGATGTACCTAGGTCTAGGTTCACCAGGCACATACTTTCCCTCACTCACATATTGCAAACCGATTCTTGTACTTGAACCAATACGATATAGATATCATATAAGTTTAACTTAAAAATCATCTTTCTTTCAAGTGAAGTCTTTCTAGGGGTATTAAGACTAGACACTGTAAGCTAGAGGAATATTTCTATAATACTGAATCCTGAACAGGACCATGCAGCTGTCCGCTCAGTATCAGGTCATCTATGCCTAATTAAAAGAAATTCCACATATTTCAATGATTTGTGGTAGATGTGATCCAGCCAGTCCTGGATAAGATGTATGAGAAGCTCAGTGTGGCTCAAGTATTGCGCCTTGGCTGATTACCGTTTCACCAATACAAAAAACATAATCCTGCTTTGAGCTTGTGTTATCTAATGGAACCCTACCTCACAGTTGGTTCTATCTTCGCACTGGCCAAGCTTTCCTTCTCCGGTATAGACTCGAGTCTCTTTTCAAGGAAAGCTTCTCTACGATCTTTCCTTTTTTGGATCTTTACTGGATCTTCACTAGCTTCTGACGTAGACGGTGGAATGATACGTATGTTCCTATTGTCGTCGTCGTCGCGATTTGAAGATGGAGATTGAGATCTAGAAGTGAAGGGAATGTCAATGTTTCAGAATCATTATCCAAAGCTTCATATTAGTAGCATATGAACGGTTTGATGATAGATGCTGTTTAGGTATGCTACCAACCGGTATTGCAAAAATAATCTTATTTCTATCCCATGGTATGTACTCTAGAATTTAATACTTACCGTTCTTTATCCATTCCATACACGGAAATTTTGTAACTTGATACAAGAAATCAATGGATAAAATCACTTCTAAAAGAGCTGACAGAAGATTTCGTCATATTTGAAAGTCATCATAGTATTTGTCACTGCCACATATACGTGCAGAACGTCAATATTTTTTCTTTTGGAGACGTGAAAAATTTTCAGTGAAAAATTTTAAGTAGCTTCAAAGATGGGGTAAGCGAAATTACAATTTTGTTAGAAAACAACGACGATTACATTTATGTCGAGATAATCCTAGCGATTGACTATTAGGTTCTAAAATCAAACGGCTTTTCACCTCAGAGTCTGAATGTTATTGAAATCCTGATAAACAAACTTCCTATACCTTTTGTCCACAATATATATATATATATATATATATATATATACTTTGAAGTTGAGTCATTAATTTTCAGATAATGATTTTAGAAGGAAGATAAACCAAAATATGTGTGTAAAAATAAAAAAAAATTAAAAAAAATGTTACCTTGTTTTATAAAGTATCCTCCCGACAAGTATTTCAGTGCGGACCTGTATCTGATCGTGCGGTCTTGGAGAACCGGCATGCTCTTCCCTGTGAGGTCTTAAGTCACCTGATTCACTACACACAAGAATAAGAATCATGTCCACAAGTTCAGCATTTTCGTAAACATGTGCCATTTTTTATTTCGTTTGAGCCACGCAACAAACACCACTATTCACTCACGCGTTACCGACTGACACATTGACTGAATACAACTGAATAATAATTGTAGTAAAAACATCGTTTCAAATTATTTCACTTTTTTGTTTCCGATGCGATGAACCGGTTAGGCGGATTATATCCGTTGTTGCCAAATACGAGCACATAATATTATTATTGAGACAGGGCAGTACTCAAACTTCTAAAGGGCTATAACTTTGTTACTTTAATTTCACCAGAAAAATGTTAAAGGAAAAAACATTTCTTTTGATCAGATCTAGTCACTGTTAAAATAAATGACTCAACTTCGATGTCACCCTGTATATATATATATAATGTCTTTGGGCACGACATACCGATATTTAAGGGGGGTATTTTTCAGCTATTTTTATCGACATATCCACCCCCTACAATGTCCTACCTCACCCCTCTTGGAATAGCACCCATTTTTATTTTTACGTTACGATTACGCTAGTGCATGTACGAAAATTGTAATGACTGAGTACATAAGTGTCACAGAACGATACATTTGGTGTCAGTTGAACTATAGCTTGTTGTTCTAGCGGTTGTCGAAAAACTTGTATTGATACTAACTGTCAAACATACATAAAAACAGACAAAACCTAAAACAAATATGCTAGTAAATTGATTATTTTGTGCATTTCCGCACACCATTCAAAAACTAGTATGTTGAGTTGTATTTTTTTGTGCTAATTCTACAGCTAACTATGTTATCTACAAAATGACATCAAATTTGTTTTCCTAAGTCTTCTACGTTAAGTCATAAATGCTATCCAACATGGGTCAAAGTATAGATAAAAAATACAAATCAAAGTTTCTTATAAATAGTTCAATGTCACAAAAAATTCTATGGACGGATGAAGCAAAATTTACGAGGCAGGGGATCATAAACCATAGAAACGACCATTTGTGGTCTTTGGAAACCGCTCACGCAATTCGACTGAGCACTTTCCAACAGGAATTTGATGTAAACATGTGGGCCCGAATGATCGACGGAGTTTTAGTCGGCTCAGTTGAGCTACCTTCAAGGTTAGATGGCCAGGGATTTTCGGACTTGAGTACCGAGTTTTCAGATCTACGCCACTTATCAACCGCCCCAACATATGGTTGGAGCTCCCACACGCTTTTGCGCTAGAAAATTTGGATAGGCAACATTCTCCATGGATAGGACGTTGAGGCACTGTCGCTTGGCCACCCCGATCACCCGATTTAACACCGGTAGATTATTTTTTCTGGGACACAATGAAGCAAAAAGTCTACCGTCATGTGTCGACGACATGGGAGGAGCTCGTGGAAAGGATCCGTACCGCTGCGAACGAAATTAGAGCGGACACGCATATGACCCGCTGCTCAACACGTCACATTGTTTTAAGAACTACAATGTACATAACCAATAATGGACGGCATTTTTAACAGCTTCTGTAAACATGTCCAAACTATTTATAGGAAATTTTGATTTGTCATTTTTATGTATACTTTGAGCTTTGTTAGATCGCATTACTAAACGTAGGAGAAATTTGGTGTCATTTTGTAGAAAAAAAAGTACAACTTCACAAACTAGTTTTTGAATGGTGTGCGGAAATGGACAAAATAATCAATTTTCTTGAATATTTTTTCTGTTTTTGTCTGTTTTTAAGTATGTTTGACGGTTAGGATCAATACAAGTTTTTCAATAATCGCTAGAACAACACACTATCGTCACAAATGACCAAATTTATCATTCTGTGACTCTTATGTTCTCAGTTATTACAATTTTCATACACGCACTAGCGTAATCGTAACGTAAAAACAAAAATGGCTGCCATTTCAAGGGGGTGAGGTAGGACATTGTAGGGGGGTGGATTTGTCAATAAAAATAGCTGAGAAATACCCCCCTCAAATATCGGTATGTTGTGACCAAACACATTGTATATATACAGGGTGACTTCGAAGTTGAGTCATTTATTTTAACAGTGAGTAGATCTGATCAAAAGAAATGTTTTTTCCTTTAACATTTTTCTGGTAAAATTAAAGTAACAAAGCTATAGCCCTTTAGAAGTTTGAGTACCGCCCTGTGTCAATAATAATATTATGTGCTCGTGTTTGGCAACAACGGATATAATCCGCCTTATCGGTTCATCGCTTCGGAAACAAAAAATTTGAAATGCTGATCACGATGTTTTTATTCAATCAATGTGTCAGTCGGTAACGCGTGAGTGAATAGTGGTGTTTGCTGCGTGGCTCAAACGAAATAAAAAAATGGCACATGTTTATGCTGATCGGTTTCCCAATCGAGTGCCTTTGTTAATGTAGTACAACGGGCTCGTGAATCAGGTGACTTACCTCACAGGGGAGGGCATGCCGGTGCTCCAAGACCTCACGATCAAATACAGGTCCGCACTGAAATACTTGTCGGGAGGATACTTTATAAAACAAGGTAAATTTTTTTTTTTTTTATTTTTATACACATATTTTGGTTTATCTTCCTCCTACAATCATTATCTGAAAATTAATGACTCAACTACAGGGTGTTTCAGTTTATTGTTGCATAACTTTAAGATTCGATAGAACTTTTAAAATTAATGCATAAAGTCTATATAAATATGGGTCGAAAAATGCGTGGCTTCCGAAATACAGGGTGTTTAAATTTACTTTAACTAAAATAGTTTTTTTTAGATATTTCGAACAATATTTGGTATATAACAGTGAAAATTGGTATACACGGGTTTTTTTGGTACGACAAAACGAACCATGGGCATAGTTTTACTGTAGCCGCTAGAGGGCTCTCTCTACTGTACCTAGTGTATTAAAATGACCGAAAATTTTTCCTTAGTGCAATTTTTTGCTTTTTGAATAAAAGAACTGATTCTTCGCACTTTTCAACATAAAAAGGCTCTCCTGTGAGTTTTCGTTATAGTTAGCCGTTTTTGAGATATTTCGATTTTTAAGGTTCGATGCATTTTTAATTATTTATGGGAAAATAATATTTTTTTTACATTTTCGATTTGGCATTACAAGTAATTAAGGTGATCGTTTAGATTGTGTTTGTAAACACAGCAATAATTCCTAACTCCAAATAAACACAAAAAACAGAATATTAATTTGTTTAATTTTCCAATATTATTTTTAACAAATTAAATTAATTATTTACAACTAAAATGCTATTGAATAGTTAGGAAAAACATACAAAATCTAAACTAGTTGCTCGAAATGTAAACCCAATTGTTCAATACACAATTCACATCTACGAATGATCGAACGTGGTATAGCATTATTCAAATAAGGCTTTATTTCATCACATCCATTCCTGATTCTGTCTATTAGCATATCTCTTGTGCTTACGGGAGTCTGGTACACTTTTTCTTTTAGAAATTTCAACACAAAGAAATCTAATGGATTTAGGTCAGGGGATCGTGGAGGCCAGGCGACTGGTCCTCCACGGCCGATTCATCTTTCTGGATAATTTTCAGCCAGCCAGTTTCTAACTATTCTCGAATAATGAGCTGGACAACCATCAAGCTGGAACCAGGCCAATCTTCTTAAATCTAACATAACATCATCCCACATATTTGCATGTTCAGCGTTTAAAAATTCCAAGAAGGTCTCAGCATTTAACCTTGCAGGCAAAAGGTAGGGTCCAAATAGTCGATTACGGTAGATACCAATCCACACGTTAACACTAAATTCATGCTGAAAATTTCTTTCCCGAACGGTATGCGGATTTTCATGCGACCAAATATGTTGATTATGAAAATTTACAACTCCACGTCTAGTGAAGCATGACTCATCGGTCCATAAAACGTTACTTAAAAACTCCCTATTATTATCAGTTCTATCAAGAACCCACTGACAAAATGTGATTCTTCGTTCTCCGTCCCCTGGCTGTAGTCCTTGCACAGGTTGCAAATTGTAAGGACGTCTATGGTCATTTCTAAGAACACGGTGAACATGGCTTGCTGAAATTCCCAAGACACCTGAAACTCTCCTAACACTTGTGGTCGGATCTTTATCAAACTCACCCAGAATCATACGGGTAAATCTGCGCTGACGAACATTTATGTTTTGATCCCTTTGGTGATTTCCACAACCATTTTCAATTATTTGGTGATGCACTCCTACAAATACTGAGCGAGTTGGATGTCGTCTGTTTGGAAATCTTCGTGCGTATTCTCTGGCTGCTTCTGCTGCGTTTCCATTTACAAAGCCATACACAAAATGAATATCCGCTAACTCTTGATTGGAGAATAAAAATGTCATTTTTATAAAACTTACAAAAGAAAAACAGGTAAAAGAAACTAAATTTCGTGCATTCACAATTGCAAAAAAACGTTTCAGGTTTCAACAGACAACAAAACTAACTGTCAACTAATTGGCGTTTAACCTTATTCTGCTTTCAATTTCAAAAATATTTGCAGGCACAGCCAACTTCTAAAAATTATCGAGATACTGGATGTTTAACGTTATTTTATCATAAATAATTAAAAATGCATCGAACCTTAAAAATCGAAATACCTCAAAAACGGCTAACTATAACGAAAACTCACAGGAGAGCTTTTTTAAGCTGAGAAGTGCGAAGAATCAGTTTTTTTTATTCAAAACAGAAAACTGGAATTTTTTGATCGAGCATTTGCCTTTGCTTTTGGAGGATGTCAACCCGCAAACTCGGATGCATATGTACTTCCAACATGACGGCGCACCTGCGCATTATCATAATCGTGTACGTAACTATTTGGACACCTGGATTAACAATCGTTGTATTGGTCGTGATGGGCCTATATCTTGGCTTTCTGGATCACCAGATAAGACACCGATGGACTTCTTTCTATGTGGCTACGTTAAGCAAGAGATTTACAGATATCCACAATCTACCCCGGTAAATATAAAGGAAAGGATTCAGGATGCTTTTCTGAACATAAGGGAACACATGCTGAGGGATGTGCAACGGTCATTTATCCAAAGACCACGGCTGTGTATTCAACATGGTGGAGATATTTTCGATCATTTTTTGTAGATTAGGTCTTGAGTAGTGATAGTTGTTTGTTTATGTTATTGTCATAGTTGTTTTTCTCTATTACGCGTGAAGCTGATTTATACTGCTCTGATTGTTATTAGTTTTTACGTCAAATCTGTGCTCTTAGTGGCAATATGGAACTAGCCCACTGTTTGTCTTTTGTTTCCATGGCTGATGTAATTTTTTTCCTTAATTTTGGTGTATTGTTCTATTAAAAGCTTAATAACTCAAATCTAGTGATTTTATCTGAATCAAACCTTATGCCAAAAAAAGCTTATAGAAAATTGAATCCAAACTTGCACAAATATACAGGGTGATGCATTTGAAATATTTGAGAAAAATTACAATTCGCGTTTTTGACCACCCTGTATGAGCAAAAATGAAAATTCGAAAAAGTAACAAATAAGATAAAAGCTGAGGTGAGTAAGTTTTCTTGATACAAAGCTCAGCACTTCAAATTTCAAAATGGCGGATTGAGGGGTTGCCGAAGTGGACGGTTTTTCTGATCAAAACACCTTACATCTCAGTAGCTAATTACCAAAACCCCATAGTATGTTATATCAATCTTTTTTTTTGAATTGGTTTATCCCAATATGCAATAAAATTTGAGGCATTCCATTTAAAAAATCACAACTTTGTTATGTAGGTCAAAATTGGGACACCCAGTATAATTCCCAATATTTTAGAAATGTGCCCTCAAATCTCATGTATAACATGCCATAAATATATTTTCCCAAAATGTATTTGTTTATGAGTAATATTTTGGGCAAGATTTCTCTGAATTTGGCACAAGCTAGGTACACAAGTAGCTATCTAGCGTCTATATGAGTAAAACTGCTCATGAATGTTTTTCCATAGAGAATTTAAAAGGCAGAGATCCAAACCAAAGCCGCGACCAAAACCAGTCATCAACTACCCTCCAGTTCCAACGAAAAAATGGATTGCACCTGACCAAAGGCCCAAGAAACCCAAACCTCCTCCTGCATACATTAAACCTGAGGGCATCACTCAGAGATTGGAGACATCCAGTTTAAAAAGGGTATGGAACCAGTACGAGTTTATAGGAAAAATTCCTATACTCTTCGGACATTTTAGTCAGACCCACAAGAAGTATAGCTTCAAGACAAAGGGCTATCAAGGTAAAGACCAGTATTGGAAGTATGACATTTAGGTTTGATAAAGACTGTCATTTTTATGGTCTCTCTCTTGACGTAACAGCGGTCGAGGTGGCCGATACTTCAGTAAAGTATTTTTTCTACCTGCGTGCGTAAAGTACTCAGTTTAGTATCAAATTTGTATTGTTGGGCCTTTTGATGATGAAAGTTTCATAGCAATACCAGTTACATATGATGCGGTATCTAAGCACATGATGTTATCTTTCAGGTGCGTGTAACTGTGCTGTGGCTTGTATCTTTGCACATATCTACAAAATGAACATGTGGACCAGTTATCACCTTGATCAGATCCTTGATATAGGAGACAGCTTATATGTCAAAACTATCACTCAGCCCAGCGAAAACTGCCTAGTAGAAGTTACACCAGAAAAAGTATTCAATTCTATCTTTCTTCGAAACCAAAAAATCACAATAGTCATTGATGAACAGAGTAGGATTATTGATAAAGTAACTGCCATTGCTGAAGATAAAGTGAAAGAAGTGTTCGATAGTGCATTAGATAGATTCTTCAAAATGTACCCCTCAGGAATATTTTGCATGCTTGGAAAGTATGTTGCTATATGGGCACAAAATGATGCTTGGTATCTTTTCGATCCCTGTGAACATGACTATTTAGGTGATCCATGGAAAGGAATACCAGGTAGGCAGATTTACTTGTTTTATGCTGGTTACGTTCAGCTGCACTCAGCCATTGAGAAAAAGTGGTGCCCAGAAGATTGACTCTGTACTTACTTTCTACGCAATTCTGGACAAATGAAATATGCAGCATGTGAACTTTTACACGATCTGGTTTCTTTATGAAAACCCTTATATCTTGACATACAACCGCAAAGTAGACTTATTAACAGTAAAATATATTAAAAAAATAACGATATCAGATATCACAGATATTCAAAAATATCGTCCAGCATCAGCGTTACTGGATTCAGATCGAACCCTCTGCAGGTAAAGGTCATCGCGTGTTTATGGGTATCTGGTGTTGTAAGAGACAAATATTATGCAAAATTTGTGTAAATTTACGTCTAACAGGTAAATGATACGACAACAAGCATACATTTCTGAATAAGGTGTCTGAAAAGATTTTTGGAAACGATCAAAAAACGGAGTACGAATAATTTTTATCCATTTCGGTGTCACTGGATCGACTTCCGGAAATATAAAACTTTGTCGTCCTCGACATAATGCTAACCTGGTGCAAAAATTTCGACCAAATCCGAGCGGCGAATGATTAACGAACAGATAGGCAGACAAACCGACTAACAATAAACACTGCAATACTTCCTCACCAGTGCAATACTTTCCTCAGCCGATTGTACTCATACTAAGAATGGTCAACAGAGTACCCAAAGTGGTTGAATACAATTGAACGTATCCAATGGAAGTTCCTATATCCAAATAAAGCTGGGTGTTTCCTATCTGACTTTTTGGAGCCTCGTTTGTTGACTTTACTGGGATAGGTTGCCCTTTTAAGTACAAATGTTCTGAACAGGTTGTTTTTGTCCAGGTTATGGTGTATCCACCTTGTGCCGATGCAAAGCTATGGAAGATATGGTGAACTGTCTTTGCAAGAATATGAATACTAAAGTACCTCACACGAAGTTTGAGATATTTGGCTGTATTGTTCAAAGAATCGTTAATGTAGATCTAATTCCACCAGAAACCTTTGAAGACATTGCTCCACTTGAAGAGGCAGCTATATCACCAGAAGATATGGAAGACACGAAAGGTAATTCTTATATTGTTAGTCAAAACATACTACTACTATAGGTCTTACAAGGTAAACTGCTGGTTCAGGAATGCAGTGATCGCGTTCCATTGTATAATGTCGGGTTGTCTTTTTCATTTATAGAGGAAGAACTGGTAGATGTAATGCAAGAAAGGCTCGAGCAGTACGTAGAAGAGGGTAATGCTGATATTGAGTCCCTCGTGGTGAAAATTCAAGAAATATCACCATTAGCTCCTTTGCAATTTGAGGAAGATCAGGGGAAGCCTTCATGGGCAGGAGATGAATCGATTGTGAAATTGGACGTTTGCAAGTTTCCGGTGCCCCATAAGGTTCAGCCAGAAAGGCTAACATATTATTTAGGTAAATACACTTTCTTATAGAAGATTCGTATCTACAGGGTGTTTCAGTTTATTGTTGCATAACTTTAAGATTCGATAGAACTTTTAAAATTAATGCATAAAGTCTTTATAAACATGGGTCGAAAAATGCGTGGCTTCCGAAATACAGGGTGTTTAAATTTACTTTTTAAAATTGTTTTTTTTAAATATTTCGAACAATATTTGATGTATAACAGTGAAAATTGGTATACAAGGGTTTTTTAGTACGATAAAACGAACCATGGGCATAGTTTTACTGTAGCCGCTTGAGGGCGCTCTCTACTGTACCTGTAGTGTATTAAAATGACCGACATTTTTTCTTAGTGCAATTTTTTGCTTTTTGAATAAAAAAACTGATTCTTCGCACTTTTCAACATAAAAAAGCTCTCCTGTGAGTTTTCGTTATAGTTAGCCGTTTTAGAGATATTTCGATTTTTAAGGTTCGATGCATTTTTAATTATTTATGGGAAAATAATATTTTTTTTACATTTTCGATTTGGGCATTACAAGTAATTAAGATGATCATTTAGATTGTGTTTTTAAACACAGCTGTAATTCCTAACTCCAAATAAACACACAAAAAAACAGAATATTAATTTGTTTAATTTTCCAATATTATTTTTAACAAATTAAATTAATTATTTACAACTAAAATGCTATTGGATAGTTAGGATAAACATACAAAATCTAAAGTAGTTGCGCGAAATGTAAACCCAATTGTTCAATACACAATTCACATCTACGAATGATCGAACGTGGTATAGCATTATTCAAATAAGGCCTTATTTCATCACATCCATTCCTGATTCTGTCTATGAGCATGTGGTTACGGGAGTCTGGTACACTTTTTCTTTTAGAAATCCCCACACAAAGAAATCTAATGGATTTAGGTCAGGGGATCGTGGAGGCCAGGCGACTGGTCCTCCACGGCCGATCCATCTTTCTGGATAATTTTCGTCCAGCCAGTTTCTAACTATTCTCGAATAATGAGCTCGACAACCATCAAGCTGGAACCAGGCCAATCTTCTTAAATCTAACATAACATCATCCCACATATTTGGATGTTCAGCCTTTAAAAATTACAAGAAGGTCGCAGCACTTAACCTTGCAGGCAAAAGGTAGGGTCCAAATAGTCGATTACAGTAGATACCAATCCACACGTTCACAGTAAATTCATGCTGAAAATTTCTTTCCCGAACTGCATGCGGATTTTCATGCGACCAGATATGTTGATTATGAAAATTTACCACTCCACGTCTAGTGAAGCATGACTGACTCATCGCTAACTCTTGATTGGAGAATGAAAATGGCATTTTTTTATAAGACAGGTAAAAGAAACTAAATTTCGTGCATTCACAATTGCAAAAAAACGTTTCACGTTTCAACAGACAACAAAACTAACTGTCAACTAATTGACATTTAACCTTATTCTGCTTTCAATTTCAAAAATGTTTGCAGGCACAGCCTACTTCTAAAAATTATCGAAATACTGACGTTTTAACGTTATTTTATCATAAATAATTAAAAATGCATCGAACCTTAAAAATCGAAATAACTCAAAAACGGCTAACTATAACGAAAATTCAGAAGATAGCTTTTTTATGTTGAAAATTGCGTAGGATCAGTTTTTTTATTCAAAAAGCAAAAAATTGCACTAAGAAAAAATGTTCTATCGAATCTTAAAGTTATGCAACAATAAACTGAAACACCCTGTATAAAGGTGTTGGTAGGCCAGGTTTGCTGTATTTGCTGAAGTGTGAAAACTAGTAGCTATATCACGGTATGCTTCAGCCAAAAACTGCTCCTATCCGTAGTTACATTTTTACAATACCTTAGTCTTGTATGTATGATTATTTGTAGAGATTGAGCCTGAGAAAATCGGCATTTTACGAGCATCCACCTGCCAAACAGACCCTAAGCTGTCAAAATATCTTGGCCGACAAAGCATGGGTAACGCTATATCTGTTCTTATCATGCTGAGATTTCACAAGTCCAGAGTATGGATACCTAAGATCCTCAACACGGTGTTGAAATATGGTGACCTGTTGTATCGCGATGCCATGATTACGATTCCCAGGACGCAGAGTCTCAAACTATCCAACTTCCAAAAGAAAATACAGTACGAAGGAAAGAACTTTATGCCGGTGATCGACGACTTCGTGGTGATCGGAAGACTGCAGTCTCAGGATTTTGAAGTGTTTGACTTAGGGCCTGCATTGGAGGCATTTCTTGCTGATCATGATTGCTGTGTGGTGATTGGCCCTATCACTCTGGCTGTGTGGGTCGAAGATGGGAAATACTATATGTTCGATCCAAATGATAGGTGGGTCATTTTGGGGAATTCAGTAGTGCTCCGAACTTAAGGAAAAGCATATGTCATGACAAAAAATAATATTGAATCCAAGCTTTGTCTCGTTGATTCGTTGTTTTCTGTTTCAGAGACAAGAACGGAAAAGCCATTGTGAAAAGTCAGTATGTTGGCAGTGTTCTGGTTCCACTAGATTATACGTCTGGTGTGGCTTGTGTCACTTGGTTCAAGAACCTCAAAGACCTAGTTGCACTGTATATGAATAACGTAGAAAAAGCCTATAAAACAGATCCATTTTATCTCAGCAAGGTGGAAATTACCGACTACGTTGATGTTCCTGATGCTTGGTATAGTTTCAAAGGTATAACCTACTGCCAATAATCCGATACTTCTTGAGAGAAAACATCCTTATAACAAGCGGGGTACTATCTCTACTTTAAAGACAAGGCATAGTTACAGGTAGATAGTTGGATATGCTTTATTGTCTGAAAAATATAATCATGATAAAGCTAAATCAATAAAACAATTCAATATAAATATGTGGATCTTATTTAAATGTATTAGAGAATTCTATGACATGATTTATTAATTGGAATGTTTTTGAGCTGACGGCGGAATATCTTTAAATCGTTGGCTCCTTTATTAGCATCAGGGAGGCACCGGTAGATTTTCAGACCATTCTAAATTATTGAACTATTCACAAGATCTACAAGGTACTATTAATTAAAGGTTCTGTTTTTGCCTAATATCGTTACGTATGTAAAGTTTCAAGTTTAGATTTATTTCAAAAAATTAGAGTTCCCTTTTCTAAAATGCACAGTGGTACGACAGTGGTTATTTTAGTCAGCGTTAGAAATTGAGGCTCGTATGTAGCGCTAGGGTTTCTGATGATTATACAGGGTGACTTCGAAGTTGAGTCATTTATTTTAACAGTGAGTAGATCTGATCAAAAGAAATGTTTTTTTCCTTTACCATTTTTCTGGTAAAATTAAAGTAACAAAGTTATAGCCCTTTGGAAGTTTGAGTACCGCCCTGTCTCAATAATAATATCATGTACTCGTGTTTGGCAACAACGGATATAATCCGCCTTACCGGTTCATCGCATCGGAAACAAAAAAGCGAAAGAATTTGGAACGACGTTTTTGCAATTAAGTATTTTATTCAGTTCAGTTATACATACAGTCGGTTAGCGAGTGAATAGTGTCTGTTGTGTGGCTCAAACGAAATAAAAAATGGCACATGTTTATGCGGATCGGTTTCCCAATCGAGTGCAACCAACCCCTCGTGTCTTTGTTAATGTAGTACAACGGGCTCGTGAATCAGGTGACTTGAAGACCTCACAGGGGACCTCACGATCAAATACAGGTCCGCACTGAAATACTTGTCGGGAGGATACTTTATAAAACAAGGTAACATTTTTTTTTTAATTTTTTTTTATTTTTACACACATATTCTGGTTTATCTTCCTTCTACAATCATTATCTGAAAATTAATGACTCAACTTCAAAGTCACCCTGTATATCTAATAGATCGTTTTTGAAGTAACTTTGAGAATAGGCACACCACAAGGAAATGCTGTATCTTAATCTACTTTCGAATGATGCAAAGTAACTTCTTCTGGCTGTGCTTTTCGCTTTGTTGTAACTAATTGTTGTTATAATGGGAACCTTTGCCCACGGAATAATCAATCGCTCTACATGGTTGATAAAATATAATTTGTGGTCCCAAAGATTTAACTGGAGCATTTAAAATCCAACTTTTGTCTTATTTACATTAAAAAAAAAGTAATTGTTGCCACATCATTTTTTTATTCCTTGTATGTCACTGTCAATTTTTGTTTTGATTTCATTTTTATCTGTTTCTTGCAAAAGTATTGTGTCGTCAGCAAAAGCGACGAATTTGCCATTTATGCTTAAATCTAGGCTGATAAATAATTCAGTCAAAGGGACACAGAGACTTAAGGAGTGTAGCGTAGAATAGTGTTTTAATTAATTTATCAGTAACGGCAGATATCATGACGTACTTTGTTCACATCTATTTTTAGGGCTTGTTCCTGGAAAATGGATACTTAGAGGTACGGTAGCACAATCTAATAAAAAATTCCCTGAAAAATCAAGGAATTTCCAAAGTCCGGCAAACTGTCTAATGGCTATAACTCTTCAATACTTGGTACCCATGAAAGACTGGGACTCTGAAACTGTCGATCAGGTAACTGTCATAAGCACAACGTTAACCCTTTCATGGTATATGATAAAACTTTTCTTATATGTTTCTACATAAATTTTGTCATATAATCTAATATTGAACTGTATTTTAGGTACTAGATAAAGGTGACCAACTTTACAACGAAACACTAGTGTATCTTGAGAAGCAAAGCATTTTCGAAAGTAAGATGTTGATGTTGAATGAGCTCAACACTGTGTTCAAGTTTCCTACTCAAGAAGCAGTATTTATCATTGACGAATGCGTTGTCAATGGTTCACTGAAAGAGGGAAATGATCTGCTAAGCTTAGAAAAAGTAAGAAACCAGACTAACACCTACAAAAAAATTTAATCAACCAAGTCAAAATTGGTCTGAATATGACATGTTTCCTTTCCTTCTTTACGACCAAATCCAATTATATACGTTGTTTTATGCTTTTTAGCTATCATTAGTACGGTATAGGTCCGGTCAGAAGGAGGCAGGTGACGGAAGGCAAAGATCTACCGAAAAAACTCAGTACTGTAGTTTGCGCAAAGTAAAGGTGACACTGCCATCTATGGATGTTTTATAAACCAAATTTTATTCAGCCTATGCCTAGTTTACGCAAATTTTGTATACTACGTCAATGCTGGTGCTATGATGAGTACTTAGTACTCGCCTGAGCGAAGGTGGAACGCATGTGTGCTGGACGACCTTTTACAACTTCTTAGAAGCTGAATCTGTCATTCACAGATGCCGGAAAATTGTAGTTTCTTGCATTCACACGTATTGGTCGCTCGATCGGTTGGCGACATAGTGACCTTTATTGTTCACTACCTGGATGAAACCTTCAACTTCGGTTGACCCTTGTAAGAGGTCTGAAAAAAAAATTAGAATGACGATCTATCTGCAGGATACTGAGATCCTAACATATTTTTCAGCTATTGATTACCTCATAATAATATGGAAGTAGTCTTAACACCTGTGTTATGCAGTAGTCAAAGCTTTTGATTTTTTAGGGGCTCGAGATGTTTTTCAGGGACAACGATCGGGGAATAGTTGCAGTAACAAACATCTCCGTAGCTGTTTGGAGGCACGAAGGAGTGTACTACTATTTTGACTCTCATAACAGAGATGACAAAGGATTCGTCGTAGGTAAAGGAAAACAACACCTCTCAAAAGTACTTGATATTTAGAATTTTTCACTTGATTTCTATAGTCAAATTAAATTGATTTTTAATAATTCACTCATCCCTCTTTCAAAATAAAGCCTTCAACGGACGAACAAAGTTTTTATTCCCCAATATAACATTGTTCCAATTACATGGTAATTTAACGATAAATAGAAAGTATAGCAAATATATCACCAAATCAAAAGTATATAACTGAAAAAAAAAAGAAAATTGATAGTGTTTCCAATAAGTAAACATTAAGAGCAGCAGATAACAAACACATGAAACAAAAATATCTCCAAAAGTACAATCTCTGCAATAATCAAGTCAAGACATATCTAAGCCCCATTGAGAGATTAGTGAATACAACTCAAAGAATCAGCATGTATATCACAGTTATTACAGACAACTTATTTGTCAGCTACATGCAACGTCGACTTGATTTCCAACTTGGTGTTCCACTTCTTCATCCTGAGAAAAGCACATGAGCGCAACATAACCGGGAGAACATTAAAATTAATTTAAAATAGGAAATCTGGGCATCCTATGAAACTATGAAGTAAAGAGTTTATATCAAATTCACGATTCTTCTCAAGTCCAAACAATCCATATAAAATTTCCTACATAAAATGTGTTTACTAATAATGCCACTCTTAAGACAAGTATTTCAGGAAGCAACGTTGCACCTTCTCTTATATCTGAGTTTGATATATGTAATAAAGCTCCCAAAGAGAGGGAAAATATTCTGGACTGGACCCAACAGACAAAATATAGTATTCACAGCTTCAATGCTAGTAAAAAACTGGATTTTTTACTGAGGATATGTACATTATTGAAATTCCATGCACTTTTTGCTGTCTTTTCTTGAAGCTGAGACTCATGTTAAACCATATACTAAGGTTACTCCTACTCACTCACTCTATTTATTTTTTATTCAATACATATCGGCACGGATATCACGTATCTTGAAAAGTGACATTATGCCGATTTTTTTGACATTATGCTGTTTTTTTCTTGACATTATGTAAGTTTTTCTACAAGATGTTAACTCAGCACTTAGTTGTATGTGTTGCCTAAACGTCATGCGGCTTGTTATCAATCTTTGACTCTGATATGATGTAAAATCTGCTTCTGAGATGGCATTACTGGAGGTTTAAGCTGTAAGTTGTATGTGTTGTTGTTGTTGAAGATTTATTTAGCATTAATGCTACAATGTCAATTTTGTATAATGAATCGGTTACATTTTTTTCTTCAATCATTTTCCGTAATTTTACATTCTTGTCTATTAAATTTAAAATTAAAATTAAAATTACGTGTTGATGATTATTACATTGGTTCTTGTCTCAAATACACTTAATTGAGATTCAAAGCTAGGAATTTGTTGCGCATCCACTTTTTCTTATCCATTCTGGAAATTACATATACAAATTTGCTGAATTTCAAAAATGAGAGAGATAAGAAATAATTATATTCACTCTACCCTGTCGAATTACAAGCCATATACATGCTAACAGTAATTACACACAACGCGGGCGCGGTGATGATTTACCGTAATTCTCCTCAGTTTTTCGTAATTTATGAACGTAACCTCTCTTCAGAAAGCACAACATAAAAATAACCCGTCGGGCACAGCCAATAGGTATACTTCATTGGCAGCATATTCAGTAATGATTATCTGACACAGCAAATTTCACTGATTTTATACACATGCAGACCAATATACATAATCATCCAGATGCGATCTTACTATTCAACCAACTTTCTTCTCAGACATAAAAACTACAGACAAGGACCATTTGGCCTCACAAAACATATACAACCAATAATGCGTGTAGTTTAGTTGAGTGATTCCTCCTTAGATGGACGTTCACAACGATCCTAGTGAGCAAACGTGGAATGACTGTTTGCGCCCTAAAAACTACCTAGTTTGCAAGATGACATCTTATAGGTCTTTTTTTTTTGACGTTTTATAGACTTTTTACATGATACCCATGCGGATGCTCATTTATGATGAACGACAACGCAGGTTAAGCTTATTGAAGCCTTGCTGCTTTGCCTGCGTGAAACAAAATCTACTCTGGGTTCTTCTGAGGCTGTTACCTCACGTGGATTCTAATTAAGTACCTAATTCTGAGCGTGTTCTCGCTTTCTCTTCTACAGAACGAGTGTATTGACCACCAAATGTTAACAGTATCCATGATCATTTTTTACTATATAATGAATGATTCCTCATTCAGGTTACGGAACAGCTTGTGTACTAAGAGCCATCATGCTCAGAGACATAGCCACAGCCATAGAAACCAATCTAAAAGCCAGCTCCGAAAACATATTCAACGTCCACCGCGTTACCGTCCAATTCTACGATAGTGGTGCTGAAACGGTCAGACCTCCTTTGAACCACTACAGGGCAATCACCGACGATTCTGCCATATTGCGGTCGTTGTTCAGCGAGAAGTCAACTAAGTATGACATCAATTGTGGCAAACAAGCCATACCGATGTGTCTGACTGCATTGGCGTTCAATAAGCTGAAGCCCTCAAAGGATTGGGATCAGAAGGACATCGATGAGATCCTCAATAAAGGAGATAGGTTGTATACAGAAACGATGAATGAAATACAGGTATTTATCACTGGGTGTGTCCATGAAATCGACGTCAAGCTGGAAACGGGGGACAGGCCAAGTAATAATAGTTATCAGAAAAATATAAAGAAAATCTAAGTCGTGTACCTTTTAAATTATAGGCTTTAAATAATCGAAAAAAACTAAAAAATTCTACACCATGTGATGATCTGTTAGTTCTCGTTGCTACAAATTTCAATTTTTTCTTAGAAGAAGAGACGGACAGTGTCATTCTATGAAGTGACAGCAAGACAGGTAGTGACGCCATTTTTATGAATTCCATCAGCAGCAATACACGCTTAACATCGTTTTAAAAATGATCCATGTAACTATCTTTTTTAAATGTCGACTCATCAGTCTACAGAATTTTCTCTAAAATCCGCGGATCTCACGGTGTCTCTGTAACATTTTTTGACAAAACTCAGCTCTTGGAAGACAATCCCGGGGATGTAGAGATTGTACTCGCTGTGAGTGGTACGGGTGGAGCTCATTCTTTCACAAGTTTCAGTGGGTTGTACTTTTGGGCACTCGCGTGCTTGCTTCTATTTGACGTACTCGAGTCTTCATCGACTGCTTGTGGTACGACGTCCTCGCAAGGGAAGGAAATTCTTCTCTCACTATGTGCTTGATTTGGGAATCGTCCCTCTGAGAGTAAACGGTGCACATCACAGATTATTAGCTACACACAAAACACAGAAACTCGGTAATCGAGATACCGAGTAGCACTTGGGTACCTCTCACGATAAAGCCTATCTGCAGCACTATCCTTCCCCATAAATGAGGTGCATGTTGGTGTATTCCTGTATGGTGTACACAGCCCTGGTGGCACTATACAATCATAAATTAATAAAAGTGGCGTTACTATCTGTCGTGGGGTCAGTACATAGAATGATACTGTCCGTCACTCCGTCTGAGAAAAAATTGAAATTTGTAGTGATGAGAACTAAAAGACCATCACAGGGTGTAGATTTGAAAAGTACACGTCCTAGATTTTTTTTTATATATCTCTGATAACCAGTATGACTTGACTTATCCCTCGTTTCCGGCATGACGTCGACTTCTAGGACACCCTGTATAATGGCTCTTCTGAACGGGCAATAATTTTTTAGCTAGGCCATACTTTTTGATATTTCCGACCTATTTTCATGTAGTTCTGTCAGATTGACAAATTACTGGACTCCTACTTGTGAGTAATTCTTGCATGATTTTGTTATCATTTCGATGAGAAATCAGAGACTCACTCAACCAACACCTCCTATGTCAGAATTCTTCAAGCCGTTCAACCCTGTGAAGTAGGAATTTCAGGGTCGATTTTTTTTAATAAAATGCGTCATTTGGTTTTTATAAAATTTGAATTTTGCCGATGATACTCGCACTGCCAAGCTTAACCGTGTGGAATTTCAAGGTTAGTTTTTTCTTATTAAAATCCGCCATTTTGTTTTTATAAAGCTTTAATACAGCCACTGTCACTTGCACTACTACGATGAATAAAATGACATCTAATATGTCAAAATCTCGGAAGCCCGTGAAATAGATTTTTTGGATACATACCTATGCGCGAGGCATTGGAATAACCAGTTTGGTATTTTATGTTTTTCGTACTATGAAAACCAAAGTAAGTTATGTAAGGTTATTCAAATGCTCAGTATAGAAGATGTAAACAATTAGAAATGCGGTTTAAAGCTAATCCATGTTTGGCGATTTAAATGAGTTGATTGACTATCATGTAAGGCCTTTGCTGGATGATGCAAATTTGTTTAAAAGTTGTTCATGAAAAACTAGCATTCTAGTGCGTTTTTTCTCCGAAACAGAGCAGTATATTGAAAACTGGCAGAGGACAAAGTAGTCTCAGAATAGACAGATAGATATGCTTTATTGTCTGAAAAATACAATCATTCATAATGACAAAGCTAGCTTAGAACTAAACTATAACATAGTTACATATGTGAATCTTGAATATTTGTACGTATACTGGTCGGTGACTTGACGGTGACTGCATCTGGAATCCAGCCGTGTGAATTATGTTTACATAGCGTAGCAGAATGAACGGAATTCGGGTGGAGGCATCTTGGACACAGTTACTGATAGATTGGCAACTACTGTACGAATGTGGCTAATGTAGCTGAACTGCAGAACGCACACATGGTATAATATGGTTTACATATACACAAAGAGCCGCCCTTTGGATGTTTGGAATCTATAAACACCGTGCTTAACAAAATTTTATTCAAACGCCAAAATTATAGGAAAGAGAAGAGCGAGAAGCACTAACAAAGGAACTAGGGGCCATCTATTCATCAAGGATGGAGGAAGAAGGAGGGGAAGTCAATACTGCGCCTTCAGGAACTGCCGCTTCACCATCTTCCGCTTCTGCTGCGACATCGGCAAAACCGTCCATAGCCCAATCTGAAGCAGTCACTGAAGGAACGGCTGGTGATGCATCTGGTGCTTTTGAAGAGGAAGAAGAAGAATCAAGTGATGCCGTCTTGAAGTTGGACCAAATGAGCAACGAGTTAACGCTGGGACTTAATAAGTTTGTCTTTGAGTTTGAGAAAGTTTTTGCGGAGACAGGGGAAGAAGGTAAAGCTACGAGGTCTGTAAATTAAGTGATGAGACTGATTTTTGAAATTTTTTATTCAAATATTGCCACCCTCAAAATGACTTCCTTCTGAAGCCGCCGCAATGCGCTGGAGATGGTTCTTTCACTCATCATTTTAATGTTTTCGAGCGTTCCAAAATAAGTTTCCTTTAAGTGATTTTTCAACATCGGGAAAAAGTCACAAGGACTCAAGTCGAAGGAGGCTGAGAAGCCACAGGAATATTTTTGCTGGCCAATAACTCGTTTATTGACATTGCAGTGCACTGTAATAAGGAGCATTATCGTGAAATTTAACAGCAAGAGTTTCCGTTGCACTGCGCCCAAGTCTGAAGAAAGACCTAATAGCACATCTTTACTTGAAGTTGATGCCACCCATTTTTAGAACACAACAGAAAACACTTTCACAAAAAAAAAGTCGCTACGGACAACCAAATGACTCGAGCGACTTGAAACTTGTACTTGAGGTGGATCACATATTCCCCTGTCTCTCCTTCAAGGCCGGCTCCTTCAGTGTTGCCAAATTGAACGCTACGTTGGCAGTCTCATCACTTAATTTGCAGACTTCGTACAAGTTCATTCATATTTTTGTCCTTCGTTTTCATTTCCTTCTTGTAATTCATCTTCTTCCTGTTCTTATTATCCTTAAGTTTTAAGACCTTTGCTTAACTCACACAATTCTAGCTCTAGTTCGGGTGTTCTTGATTAGTCTGGCTCTTATTGTGTTATTTGCGGTGAAAAAATTATCTCAACCCGGAAGGAAGGGTGCCAGGTTAACGAGTGCCCATATATAGTTGGTGACATAAGCTACCATACAGTTAGTACAACTTCTGATTTCGTTCTGGAAAGTATATTATTTTGAAGATTCTCAGCTAAAACACTTGGTATGTACTTTTTTGCACGCCCGTCTTGTGGTCACCAGTATAGACTGAAGTACACCACAACGGAGAAGAATTATTTCTATTTCACAAGCTCAATTAGAAGCTGCATTAAACAAAGCTGATTACACAGTCTCAAGAAAAAATGGCATCACGAAGGATTCAGACTAATCAGGTCCGTCAAACAGGCACATACCAGTCCATCGGCATTATTTTATTTATCATCGTCTATCTGGAATCCCTGCCCCTCCTATGTCGTCAGACGAGACAGCGCGAACCAAAGCACCGCAGCAGAACAAGCAGAACAATCAAGCAGGCGCCGGGCGCTGATCCTAGATAGCAGAAGGAAATGCGCATAGAGTACATTTTTCTATAATTCTATATGGGGAAACCTATGATGTGTGGCTAATGAAATATGCAAGAATTACCGAACGTACAGATATAATAACATCAAAAAATATCCAGCCCCCTAAGTTTTTCCCAATATTTTTTCCAAAATGATCAGGATCCTCTGAAACGTCAAAAAACGACGTTTGGGAGATTTTTATGTTTTTCCGTTTTTGGCAGTTTCTTCCGCCACCACCGCTGGACCAATTTTCAAAAACTATGAAGCTTTCTTATCCTTGGCATACTAGTAAGTGTATCCAAATTGGAGCAATATTTTCCACGTTATAATGATGCGAAGGATTGACGGATAGTGACGTAGGAAGTAAGAACAAAGCTCTATATCCGACAGCAGATTGATTCACACTATCAAAGAGGAGATTGAACATCATATAACGATTGAATCCAGACCAATAGTATTATGATTTTATAGGTACGGGTGGTGATAACATCAGCGAAAATCTCAAACCTGTACTTAAGGCCTTCTATGAACACGAGCAAAATGAAGACTATTTCAATCAAGAGGTGATCTTGGAAACCAAGCCACTTGCACTGGCCATTTGGAGGGATGACAAAAGGTTCTATGTGTTTGATCCAATGCCAAGAGATAAGGATGGAACAGTTATCGGCTTAGAAGATTGGAGTGAGGCTGAAGAAAGACCCGAGAAAGCGTCCATAGCGGAATCAGGTGAGAAGTTTTCGTTACTTACTCCATTAGAATTATTATTAGAAAATATACCTTAGCTGAGTTGCTTCCATCAATTTCATCAGAACCTCAGTATTTCGTAATTATATAGCGCCTACCTCTCAAGTAATGGATCACTGCAGTTTTTGTAATATCAAATTACATATGCTTTCCAACAGGAGAAGCAACTGAGGATGAAGCTAAACCAGTGGATGAAGAATACAACCCGTTTGAGGAACATATAGAGGATATTGAAGAACCTGATCTGGGAGCGGGGGGAGATCAACCTCCAAATAAAGATCAATTCGTTGAAGGACAGTTTCCCGAGGAACAGGAAGAGGGCAAGGCAGAGTGAGTACTAAAATAATAATTATAATACCAGTGATTAGAGCATATCTACGATATGTAAATACACCATTGTCTAGAATTCTAGATGTAGACAATTGCATTGGTCTACTTGTTGATATTCCACAAAGTGGATAATCCAGACAATGTACGTAATCTAGATAATCGGATGTCATTAACTTCACAACACTTTGCATAAGAGGTAGTCCCAAGCATAACTGTTTATTGTTTTGCAATTACCACTTTCATCAGGTAGATAAATTAAGAACGTGAACAATTTTAGAAAAATCCAACTGTTTACTCTTACTTTTTTTTTATACTCCAACTACCACGAACGCCTAAGGCCTAAACACCCATTGGGTACCGTGGGGCTATAGGGGGATACAGGGGAAAGGGGGACGCCACACGGACTCTGGCGAGGGAACACGTGTGCATGCAACATGCACACTTTCTGGCTCCGCCTACGAGGTCCGCCGGGTGGTACCTCGGCGTTCGACAGTCAGAGACCATCTACCACCTACGGACAATCACAACATCCATAGCCAAGAGAAAAATGTCTCTTGGAACGGGATTCGAACCCGCACAGCGCACGGCGACTGATCAGGAGACCGAAGAGTCTACTACTGCGGCCACCGCTGCTGCCTGGATTTTGTCCGCATAACAAATTTTTTATTCTCGTCGCACAATTTTGAGCATTTGCAAGGCCATAAGTCATTTTTGAGAACTTGTAGAAAATATTTATAAGCTCTAAATAAGCATGCATTAGAAAGCCCAACTACTAATATTTTGTTTTATTGTCTCAACAAATAAAGGAGTTATAAGGATATTTATGTACAATTTCAGGGAATTCAGCATAAAAACTAAAAATAAAATTGATCTCAGTAACCGTTGCACCTAGAATTTTGCGTTTTGCAACAGAGAACTGTAAATAGCCTTCCAAGTTACAAAGAAAAATTGTCGGTCCATGTACCAAACGCCCTGCATAGCCAGTAGATAAAGCTCAAGACAAGACTATCCGTAGCATGCCAATTGCTTCAATGGGAACGCGAAAGCTATGCAAATATTTGGCCATATAGCAAGATCATTAGACTTATGAAAGCCTATGGATCAGTAGCTTGCTGAGCGCACTACTGAGAGAAGCTTGCATGTTGATTACTGGAGCTTTTCGCACCACGCCACGGTTGTTGGTAGCCGCAGTCGGCTGTGGATCTTCGTCTTAATTTACCTTCCTTGTACATATGCCTGGAAGGCCAGTTAAGAAGGACTACATATAGGCTACATCATGTGGTAAATGGTATGGAGAGAAAATCAGCAGAGTCTGGAAATGTCTTCTGATATAATTCCAAAAATAACGAGGTATGCTAAATCCTAGTGATAATTCCTCAAAGGAAACAGTGGTAACAGCAAGCTGACCTAATAAGATGGCTCCAAGACCTAATAACGTGTTGGGGATGGTATATTCGTGCCGAGGCTGAATATTGAGGAATTAATTTGCTTAGGTACATGGGAATCCATTTTCCAGGTGGAGCAAAGTGGTATAGAACTGTGTGACAGAACGGTTGCAGATTCTCAACTGAGAAAAGACTAAAAAATTTTTTTCAAAATTGTCAAGCCGCGCTTGTCTCCACGTACTCGACATCGAAATTAGTGGGGAACTGTAAAGAAGCTCTTGGCAGCATAAGGGATGGAAATAAAGTAGGACTTCGGATACTAGGGCCTACAGGTCTGACGGGAAACGAGACAGCCGACACTCTAGCAAAGAGCCTTCATTGTCTGAGCTAGCGATCGGCTTCCTCCAGAGATCAAAGTTACTGAGAGAAATCTCAATAGGTGTGAGATACAATAGACCGGTGAGTCGGAGTTGCTATCGGGTTGCTGCCAAGTTGTTTTTGGTAATAACAGTGCGTTAAGGCATCATAGGTTGAACCGTGGATTGAATATTTCAAAACCATATATTTCTGTAACAGTGAAGGGATCAGGTACATAAAGCCCCTCCGTGAAAGTTCATCATTCTGGAGAGAACAAGAAAAGGCGGGAAGAGGATGTGTAGTACTGTTCACAAAATTGGATGACATGGTTGAACACGTATGTGGAAAAATACCTCCAAAAGTAGGACAGCAAAAGTCATTCAAGCTCAAGTCTGCCAAGATCACTAACGTTATACTGCTGAAGAGCAAGCTGAGATCAGAGGAGGAACGGACTGATGTATATTCTGGAGATTGGTACTTCTTCCATGAACTTGAAAACGGAAAATGGATAATGAGGGGTAAGATGGCAGCTTTTTGTCGGTATCATAGCTCTAAAGCAGGCTTTACCAAACTATTTGTGAAACGTTATTTTAATTCAATATGCTCTGGAGTTAGAAGGGGACTCCAAGAGACTAAATGGGGAGTTACTCGATCGTCGTAGACCTACTGGGTTTTGAAGATCGCGGAAAGAGAATAATGTTATTTATTTGTTTTATTTATTTATTTACTCATATACGTATACATAAATATATACAGGGTTATCCAAATTAAGTGTCCACCATTAGTAACTTTGTTATTAGTGAAAATACAAAGTTGTTTGAATTAGAAAAGTAGTAGCATTTTTAACGCTGGTAAAAATGAGAAATAAAAAAAACAATTGAGAGTCGTTATTTTGATTTTTTTCAGTAAAATAACATTTTTTTAAATGGAAACCCCTGTATATTATATTTTTTTCTGTTGAAGCATCAAATTTTAAACAAAAAAGTTCATAATGACTTTTCCGCTAAAGTCAAAAATAAAGTCAAAATAACGATAAATATTTTTAATTATTTGCAGTATTATAATATTAAGACGGCTATGAAAACAACATGGCGTTCGCGATTTGACAGCATTAAGATAAGCGACAAATTGTTAAACTGGACATACTCGCAACTAGAAGGCTTTGGAAAACAATGATAAAATCAAATAATGTCAAACATTAGTGTAAATACTTGTTTATAAGCTTTATTGTGTCATTAATTTAAAGAAAAATGTTCTCCCATGAAGAAAAGTGTGATATGTTAGAATGCTATTTAGTGTGCAGAAAATCCTCCTTGAGAGCAAGAGAATACTACAGTGAATTATATCCCGCTCGCATTCAACCGTATGAACGATATTTTCTGAGACTTTATCGAAAATTTAGGGGCAACGAAAATGTTTTTGCTAAAACAAGGGCAAAAAAAGAATTCATAATAAGCGAGGCCACGGAAATTGCAGTTATTGGATATTTTGAAGCTTATCGTGAGAATTCAATAGCAGATATTCTCAAGGACTCTAATTTCAGTTATGGTACTGTTCAAAGGATTTTAAAAAAATACAAATTTATTCCGTATAAGTACCGACCAGTTCAAACGCTTTTGGCAGGGGATCCAGAGAGAAGACTTGTTTTTTGCCATTTGTATCTTAGCTTCTGTCGCCAAAATGTAAATAACTTTCGTTACCTTTTATGGACAGATGAATCAAATTTTTCAAATTCTGGAATGTTTAATAGAAAAAACCATCATTATTGGTCAAGAGAAAATCTTTTGTTAGTACATCCAAGAGGCCCACAAGTCCGTTTCAGTTTCAACGTTTGGTGCGGTATAATTGGTTCAAAAATTGTTGGCCCGTTCTTTTATGAGGGATCCCTAACTGGTGAAAGATATGTGGAATTTATGTCAGAAATTCTGACTAATTTCTTAGACGAATTGGATCTTATAAGTAGACATCATCTGCATTTTCAGCAAGATGGCGCACCTGCCCACAACTCCAGAGGTACTTATCATTTTCTAAGTACTACTTTTAATGATCAGTGGATAGGAACAAATGGCCCAATACAGTGGCCTCCCAGATCACCAGATCTAAATCCACTTGATTACTTCTTGTGGGGTTACTTAAAGAACCAAATTTACAAGCGAAGGTACGATAACCTTGACGCGTTAAAGACTGCAGTTAGGGAAAAGATAACCCAGATAGATGGTAGGACCATACTTAAGACAGTTCGAGCAGTTGAAAAACGTGCCCAAAAATGTATTGAAGAACAAGGTGGTGTTTTCGAGCATCTTCTTTAAAAAAAATTGTTATTGTATTTTGTAAGATTATAAGTTGATGTTGAAAATAAAGTTTGTCGATGCAATTTAATTGTTTCAGATTGGTGGCCATAACTTCAACAATTTGTAATCTAGGAGAAAAGTTATTGTAAGCTTTTTTGTTTAAAATTTGATGCTTTAACAGAAAAAATATAATATACAGGGGTTTCCATTTAAAAAAATGTTATTTTACTGAAAAAAATCAAAATAACGACTCTCAATTGTTTTTTTTTATTTCTCATTTTTACCAGCGTTAAAAATGCTACTAGTTTGCTAATTCAAACAACTTTGTATTTTCACTAATAACAAAGTTACTAATGGTGGACACTTAATTTGGATAACCCTGTATATCCTTTAATTTCTTTGGGTACAAGGCAAAGTATTGCAAAAGTACACTCTTATAACTTAAACTCTCAAGCTTTCGAAGATCTATGTCTTCAGTCTTCATCGACTGGAGTAAGTCGGCGAGATTGTTGCTGAAATTTGTTTTAAAACAGCAGTGAAGGGAACACAGTCGACGAATAAAAACTGGACTGATGAGGTTCGATTAAGACAGGAATTATTTTGTTATTAAATGGCAAATCATTTTGAAAGCTTTTTTTTTTATTTTTTTTTTAAACTAAGCGTTGATTGAATTTGGAAGAAATTTGGAGATTTTAAAACTATCAACTATTGAAAATACGCTCGATATCTTCCACATTATCCAACACGTGCCGGCCGACTCCGGCGAATTTTCAATAGTTAATAGTTTTAAAATCTCCAAATTTCTTCCAAAATCAATCAACGCTTAATTTAAAAAAAATAAAAAAAACCTTTCAAAATGATTTGCCATTTAATAACAAAATAATTCCGTCCCAATCGAAGCTCATCAGTCCAGTTTTTTATTCGTCGACTATGTGTTCCCTTCACTGTTGTTTCAAAAATAATTTCAGCAACAATCTCGCCGACTTACTCCAGACGATGAAGACGTAGATCTTCGAAAGCTTGAGAGTTTAAGTTATAAGAGTGTACTTTTGCAATACTTTGCCTTCTACCCAAATAAATTAAACGATATCTTCTTCTAACAGTTAAGGCAATTAACTATGAATACTATATATATATATGACTTCGAAGTTGAGTCATTTATTTTAACAGTGAGTAGATCTGATCAAAAGAAATGTTTTTTTCCTATAATATTTTTCTGGTAAAATTAAGGTAACAAAGTTATAGCCCTTTAGAAGTTTGAATACCGCCCTGTCTCAATAATAATATTATGTGCTCGAGTTTGGCAACAAACCCAGCTCTGCGTCGAGCAAAACGGAAATCATTTCGAGCAATTTTTGTGACATGCTTTTAGGCGCACAGGTCCGCACTGAAGTACTTGTCAGGAAGATACTTTATAAGACAAGGTAAAATTTTTTTTTATTTTTACACACATATTTTGGTTTATCTTCCTTCTACAATTATTATCTGAAAATTAATGACTCAACTTCAAAGTCACCCTGTATATATAGACTATTCGAACGGTTTATTACACCATTTAACAGATATGGACACAGGAATCAATGTCAAGATATAAAAATGTTTGAAAAATATCTTAAGATTACCAAATGACTTAACCTACTAGGATGTAAAACCTTGTTAAACTGCGCAAATTACAAAAGAACAAATCTACAGCATATCTTGCTCATGGTTGCTACATGCTACATGCTATCGGGAAGGAAAGCAACGCATTGATTTTAGTTATGCTTAAGTAACATTATTTTGAATTTGATCACGTCTTAGCATAAGATACTACTACTTTACTAAGTAAATTTCACAATGAAAGATACAGAGGTTATATATGCTAAGTAATGCATCATGCCTGAAGCCAACTTCTGGATTACGTATCTTCTTCCTTGTACCATAAATACTTCACAAACCGCTTCTGAATATCTTCGGTTTTATTAGAGTAAACTTCATAGACATGATACCATATTATAGAACAGTTTTCAATTTTGAATCGAACAAATGGATTATACAACAGGATCATAACAAAATCTCTACAATTCCTTATTATGGAGTCCAAGCTTTTATAAGCCTTGCTAACAACAGCATCAATATGGGAAACAAATGTAATGTAAGTCGTTAAACTCCTGACACAGTGTTATATTTGAATCTGATTGAAGCAATTTTGCATGTAATACGAGTATACTCGTACATAGTGTAGCATTTATCAACATTAGGGTATAGCTTGCTACGGTGACAGCATTTATTTTTCTTATGCTCCACCTACCACGAAGGCCTAAGACCTAAACACCCATGGGGTACCGTGAGACTACAGGGGGATACAGGGGAAAGAGGAAACACCGCACGAACTCTAGCGAGGGAACACGTCTGGATGCAGCATGCACACATTCTGACCCCGCCTACGAGATCCGTCGGATGGTACCTCCGTGTAAAACAGTCAGAGACCGTCTACCACCTACGAACAATCACAACATACATAGCCAAGAGAAAAATTTCTCTTGGGACGGGATTCGAACTCTCGCAGCGCACGGCGACTGATCAGGAGACGAAACGTCTACCACTACGGCGACCGCTGCTGCCTAGAATCGAGTTAAGTCGTTTAAGTCGTATTGCAAAGTATATTATCCATGGCTTTAATTTTACAAAAGCGTTTCAAGTTATCTGCATAAAGAAATTAGCTACTGTGTACCTCCATAACGACGCCATCAATACAAATTTGCAAAAGCAATCGCCAAGAGCAGACCCTTGAGGTGTGCCGGAAGAAGGTATTATCAGAATTGAAGTGAAGCTCCTGTATTCAACTTTCAAGCATGTGTCAGATAAGACTTGAAAAAAACTCAAGAATTGATTATTGATTAGCGGTGGGGGGACGTCTACAGTTTGGCAACAATGTTAAAGATAGTGTCAAAGAAGTACTCAATTACGTCAGGTATTCATATCTTACGTGTCACTGATATTGAAGGTTTGATAATCCGCCGGTTTTTACCGGTTGGCCATTAATAAAGGACGCCGGCTGTATCTCGGTAACCAGACATCCTGGAGCTATCGGTTAAACAAATTTATAATGAAGGTGCCCAAGAGCAATTGCTAAAAATCATTTTCCGCTTCCAAAAGTAACCCCTAGGCGGCGTAACACACCACATCAAAATTAGAAATGCCATCTTCTTTTAAAAGACTTATTATTATTAACATATATCTAAATTAGCATGTATTCGTGTTCTGCAACCTTTTTTGTTAATATTATTTTTTGTAAGTCAGTTATTTTTCTTGCAAGTTTGTGACTTCATTACGTCACACTCAAATCCTCGGATTATTGAAAAACACCTTCCAGCATGTAATTTCCGCCTTATGTCTTAATCTCACGCGCACGAGTATCTCTAACGATAGATTTCTGTTTACTATTCTGATCGTCTGCCCAAGACGTACACTCCTGTACGCAGGGCTTGTATATGGTGGAGGTAAATAACAGGATGCAAATTATCCCTCCATATGTTAATCTGCCCTGCTCAAGCAACTATTGGGCCTATTGGGCTCTCCTTCTAAGTAGTATGGTACTACTAATATTTCATATTTCATATTTCTCATTTAACTAGGAAGCATGAACATTTGGAACCCTATGTTCCCTGAAAAGAACCGAGACAAGCAAATGTTGGCCACTTGTATCGCTGCATTGGCCATCTACAGAATGTTTACCATAATGTGCTTCAACGATACTACTGTCGACTCCATATTGACCTATGGAGACAAACTGCACACGTTCATGAAGAAGACTAGGAAGAGAGAACTTATGGGACTGGTGGATAAGAAGCTAACGGAAGATGAAATTGATTGGTATATAATATTTTTCACTGAGCTTTATATATCTTTTTTTTTACTAGCTATGACGCTAAGAACACTGCGCTTTTAGCTTGACCTAAACAGCTATCTCTCAGACAAATGGCATTCCTATAGTAAAATTATACGACGAACAATTGCACTGTAAAGGCCGATATGCACTGTCACCACAAACCACTTGATGCCACGTATCTTCATTGTTTCAACTGTATTCCTGTAAAACCATGTAGAACAGCTCTGATAATTTTGGAGCGACTTAATACTCAGTCGGAAACGCTGCAATTGAAATCTCTATATTCGTGGGAAGTTATTTCTTGTGGTCGGGATTATTGTGAACGAAGAGCTCAGGGTGGCGGCCATGATATCAAGCCACAAGGTCATCCTGTCCATTGTTTAAAAGTCTATCCATAGCAACCTTCCTAACAGCGTGTCCTCAGCGCCGTGCATTTAGTATCCGTATTTCTTTGGTATACATGTTCAGCAGCTTCTTTTGTTTCTGAGGGGTAACTTGTGAACATAATCTTTTGCGAAGTAATGACAGCGTTGTATGGTGAATGCAGATTCACTCTACTTGACTCCATTCTCTTGATGTAAAGGCTGTCCATCACCGACATGCCATGGACACTTCGCCAGCATCCGTAGCCAAACAAACCTATTGAGTTATATGGCAACATCATAACGTGGTACCGAAAAGGAAGACAGCAGTAAATTACATCTCATGCTACTGCAGGGCGACGTCCCTGTCAACTGACAAAGTCAAGTCACAATCGTGAGAAATGTTTCGCTGCTCTTTTCGTATTGGCTGCTCCAGTATATTTCAATAACATAAATTTGGTACGAAGTCATGTCTCGTCTTTCATGAAAAAATTGGCGTCAAGTAGGTTGATTCTGCAATTCCCATGCAACTCTGTCATCAGTTCATAAACGAGAATCGGCACAAATTAGCCCCTCTGAGCAAAAAGTTAACTTCGAACAGGTGTAACAAAAAATTTTATGGAACAAATCCTTCAAACAGTCCCATATAGTCAGTTCAAAGTCCCCAACCCGGGAAGGTACTAGGGGGTCGTTACCTCCTGAAAACCCGGATGGTCCTTAAAATTTGCACAATAATCTGTACAATTTTGGGAATTGTTAGGATTGCACCCTCCAGAAAAAGGTTTTGGGGAAAGATACACTACTGCTCTGAGAACACGTATACTTTCTTGTCAGTTCAGTATCCTTCCCGCTGAATGATGTCATGGCACCACTGCAGCCTCCACCCAGTATGATATATCGGTCGTATCCAGCCGCAGGTACTCGTACATATGTAAATCCAGAGCCACGAGTAACTGTTTCTCGATCATTCTGTTTCAAGGATGTGTGAAATATATCTAATAGACTTACCGGGGCTGCAAGCGTATACATATATCAATGTCCAACATCCCCAACCCACAGTTTTTATCACGCACTAGTTTTTTTTTCTGAAATTGGTCAGAAGCCTCTAAAACGTCAAACAGAGAAGTATAAGGGATTTTCTATTCTTGGTTTTACATTTCTTTTGCCTATACAAATAATTTCACTTCCCCACCAAAACAACTACTGCTACCTTTCAAGACAGACAAACCGAAACATCAACCGTATAACATGCTACTTTACACAATATATCGACACGTTATGACGTAATCAGTATAGCAACTGATCATATGAGGTAGACATTGATGGAAAATGCTTGAGCTTGAGAAGATAAGATTTAGTTGATAGTTTAATTCATGAGCAATCTCTTACAGGTTATTGGACAACGAAAATTTCACTGTATCGGATGTTCCGAAAAAAATTTGCATCTCCAAATTCATGGTTCACGTAACTATTGAACCTGATGTAGTAACAGGTGACATTACTGCACAGGACGATGATGAAGAAGTTTTGAACGTGGCGAAGGGTATTCAGAAATTCTGTGAGAACTCCAATAATCTTGGACTACTGCAATGCAAAGGTACATCGAAAAGGCTTAATGCACATCACTTTTTCAATTGCATATCATGTGCATATTCTGTTGAAGTTCATGCACATGACCCTTACAGAAGATTTTAAAGCTAAGTTGGTATTTGCACGGGTGCAAGAAAAGGATGTATTGTTTCTGTCCTTGGAACTAACAATTGGGGTTGGGATAACAGGTCTGAAAAATCAACGATACCATATAAAAGTTCATACAAGAAGACGACGGAGTGTTTTCCTCTTTCACTCAAGGAGGATGCAACTTGGAATCCTTCCAACAATACTTAGTAGTCCAGCCCATGCCGAGGATCAGCTGAATCAATCTTGAAAACCAGATGCTTAAGAAATTTATTTTGGATATAACCGTTTTCATTTAAATAACAGTTATAATAAGGACTCCAAATCAACAAAGTATATTCCAATTTGGAACGTACATATACAAAGTATAATATTCTTAATGCAACCAAGTCTTCAATAGGCTTACAGTTTCTAACAATAAAATCTAAAGCTCTATTAGCACTATTCATAATTTCAGTAATGTGATCTTCAAAATTCATTCTACTGTCAAATGGCTCGCCTAAATCACAAACCGTTTGGTACCGACTGATTACATTTCCTCTGATTTTATAAGGGTAAATTACTATTTGTTGCTTTCGATAGAATGTAACTTTGCATTAAGCGATATTCAGTTGCAGTTTATTCAATCGACAACCAGTCCGTCAAATTAGATAATTGACACTGTAAGTACTCACAATTTTTTTTCCAATCTAGATTATTAAGAACTAAAATGGTTTATTTATATTGGGACTTCTTACTAGTATGTAAATTGAAGTCCAGTTGAGTTGACGTAGGGTTGCTTTTGGTGAAAGCAATACCTTACGGTTACAGCTCATTGAATAAGAATTGTGATTCAACCTCCATTCTAGATTTAATGGTTGCAATTTGGAGAGGTCAGAAGATCTACTATATGTTCGACAGCAGGAACCGTGGACCAAACGGTATCGTAGCTCAGAATGGTGTAGCTTGTATATTAAGAACATTGGGTATGAAAATACTCGTGGATACTTTCTTAGCGAATCTGCCAAAGCAAGGTAGCAACCATTTTTGTATCCACAAGGTGGTCATGGTGAGAGATATATGTGCAAGGCATAGAGAACCTAAACAACTGGCAGAGCCCAAGCTAGCAGTGACCTCTGGGGGATTCCAGAGGGTTATGCCTGGTAAGGCTATGCGTATACAGAATGTCCCGAAAAAAGTGTGCAATATTCTACCAGCGGTTTCTAGAGCTTAAAATACTAAGAAAAATTTATATAAACATACGTCGACAAACGTCCCCTAAGGGCGGTACGGTCTTTTAAAGGGCCTCCCCTGAAGATGGTTTTTCCTTAATATTTCCGAAACGTGTTTAGATAAAGACATAAAATTTGGTATTCTAGCCTAGTTTTTTATGCTGGAGCTGGAGCGTATGTAACAGGGACGGACTCAGGTTATTTTAGCCCCAAAATTTTTGTGTGATTCTATGTTTGAAATTCAATTTTAGAATTTGGAAATTTAGGGTTTTCTACATAAAAAAGGTACTCCTATTGATTATCGAATAAAATCAAACTAAAAAATGTTTCACATGATAGGAAATGTACTGCGAATTTAAATGAATTGTTGAATAATTATTAGCCATGGCAACGAAAAAACTAATGTAATAATTGGTAGATATTACATAAATACATATTTCTATTGCAACATAGCTAACATTTAGGCAAACACAAATGAAATAAATTGTTTCTACGAACGAAATTGATATTTGTTTAAAAAAGAAGACATACAGTTGGATATACTTAAAACTAGCTTTACAATAAGTGTTCAAATAAATTCCCATTTTGTTGGATACACAGTCTCGCTCGACGAACTAATGATTGCGTAGCCCGAAAAGTGGAAAACCTTTTTCTTCTTATTTCATTTGCAGCCTGATGGATTCTTTGAAGTAAATCTTCTTGAGGTTTTAATTTCAGTCGAGTAAACTAGGTCTTTTAATGACCCCCCAAATATAGAAATCCAATGGATTAAGATCAGGTGAACGTGGCGGCCACGCTATAGGTCCTCCTCGGCCTAACCACCTGTCTGGAAAATTGACATTCAACCAATTTCGAACATTGCGTCCAAAATGTGCAGGGGCGCCATCATGTTGAAAAAACATATTTTCTTGAAACTGCTGGCGCGCATCCACTGGTATTATATCCATGACCTCATTCTGAAGAAAGTTCAGATACACCTCTGAACTAAGACGATTGGGAAGTACAATAGGCCCAATTACGTGATCCCCAATTACTCCTGTTCAATGAAAATCTATGTTGGAAATTTGTACGGCGAACAACTTTTGGATTTTCATCTGACCAGTGATGCATGTTATGGAAATTAAAAGCACCATTCCTAGTAATATTGACTCATCCGACCATAATATTCTAGGAATAGTGTTTTCATTTGCTAATATCCACTGGCAAAACTCGATTCGTCGTAAAAAATCTGCTTCCGTTAAATGCACCCGTTTAAAATTATAAGGATGTAATCCTTGCATTCTTGTCATCCTTCCTATCTAAAATTATTATTTTTAGGATAACTATCAAATAGGTATCCATAATTTCTGAAACATTTCGTATGCTTATTTGCGGATTATTTTCAATCATATTTAAAGCAATATCCATACGATGATTTCCCAGTGGCCTTCCTAAGCCCTGCATGCGCTGAAAACTTCCATGGTTTGACAAATTCCGGTAAATATCAATAAACATTCGACGTCCATGTACTATGCGATTGGAAAATCTTCTTTGATATTCTCTTACGGCTGCCAATGAACTGCCATTGCAAAACCCGTGCACAAAATGCATGTCAGTCAGTTCTCTGTCTGTAAATCTTGGCATTTTAAATCGATTTAATAAAAACTTTGATTCAAATCTAGTAATTTTAAACTGCTAACAATGTCAGCTTAACGTCAAAATAAGTCATAACAAATTGTTTGCAGTCATGGCTAACTATGTATAATCAACAATTCATTTAAATTCGCAGTACATTTCCTATCATGTGACAAATTTTTTAGTTTGATTTTATTCAAAAATGGCACAATTTATCGATATTCAATAAGAGTACCTTTTTTATGAAGAAAACCCTAAATTTCCAAATTCTAAAATTGAATTTCAAAATTAGAATCACACAAAAATTTTGAGGCTAAAATAGTCCGTCCCTGTTACATACGCTTCCAAACAAAGCTGTCTAAAATTGTTAATATTTTTAAATCCAACATAAAAAACTAGGCTCGAATCTCAAATCCCAAATTTTATGTCTTTATCTCAACACGTTTCGGAAATATTAAGGAAAAACCAGGGGAGCCCCTTGAAAAGACCGTAGCGCCCTTAGCGGACGTTTGTCGACCTATATTTATATAAACTTTTCTTCCTACTTTAAGCTCTAGAAACTGCTGGTAGAATATTGCACACTTTTTTCGGGACACCCTGTATAAGGAACTCACTCTGCAGTCGTACACTCTAGAATACGGTGTCATAGATTTTTTCAGAAATATTTTAGGTTGTCGTCAGTGTTTGTAGAGGCATTCAACTTATTTTGAAATCGTCTGATTTGTTATACGAGTATGTACAGAGAAATCCATCTACCACTGCTATCGCAATGTGTACGAGAGAGAAGCAGGAGAAGCGTGCAATATATATGTTAGAAAGAGTGGCCTCTTTCTTCTTTCACCTTGTCAGTGATATTTGGTTTTGTCTGTATATTATGTGAATCCCGAATATTACGAAGAACAATACAGCTGAAATCAAAAGCTTTACACATTACTAAAAAGTCTGTAGATATGCTCCAAAAACATCGAGCCTTCATTAACTTAGACAGACAGCGACGTGTGTCCAGAACCAGAACACGGATTTCGTCCAAAGAAATATTATGGGTAGGCCTTAAGTGCCCAACAGCATTTCGTCCAATGCGCTTTAGTTTGAGAGAAATTGGGCAATAAATAAACTGTTTTTGGACTTTCATGACGTGATGTATCCGCTTTATTTTAATGAGTTCTAGGTTCGCTTAAGGCTCCATGTTATTTTTCATATAATTTTTAGTCAGTTGTGTCTTGTTAAATCACAATATATTATGTAAATAGTAGTAGTAGAAAGATTTATTTAGCTCATTTGGCTACATAAACAGAATAATTGTAAACAACTTAGAACTAGTAAATTCACGCCATATGGTGTATGATGATGATGTAAATGCTGGGCAACCTATAATTGTAGATTTAACAAGTGATTTTTCAATTTTACTTTAAATTTTGTCAAAGTTTTCTGGTCTGTTATCTCTGAATATAATTTATTATATTCAATCAACCCTTGATGGAATACAGATATTAAATGGAATTCATCTTTATTTCTGGTGTTATGTAAATGATGGTCGACATTTGATGATGTTAAATTATTTACATATATACTTGATGGAAATATATTATTTTTTTACTTTATAAATGAATATCATTACAAGATATTTGATAAAATGTTTGAGCCATTTTAATTTGCTAAGCATTTGCCTAATTGGAGTATATTTATCGTTATTTAGTATTATTCTCATGCACTTATTTTGTAAAATTTGCAGTCTTCCAAAAATGGAATTATTTGCTAAATATAGAATAGTCGTACAGTACAAGAAATTTGGAAGAATGATGGTATTATACATAATTTTTCTGCTATATGAACACAGACATCCAGAAACTCTTGATAAATATCCCACTTTACTACTAATCTTATTTATAACTTTTTCATAATGAATATCAAAAATTAATCGAGAGTCAACATAAACCCCCAGGTATTTAAAATTTTCTACGAATTCAATATCTTCACCATCAATATTCAGTTGAACATTTGTACATTGTTTTTTTCCGATTAACAAGGCTTTCGTTTTACTTGCATTTAATTTTAGTCTGTTAGATGCTAACCATTTTGAGACAAGTTTCAAGTCTTCATTTATATAAGAGATACCAGACTGAATATTTTTAGTACTTATATAAATCATAGTGTTATCGGCGAAAATCTGAATTTTGCATTTTTTTACTATGGCAGGTAAATCATTTATGTAGAAAATAAAAAGAAGTGGTCCCAGGATACTGCCCTGTGGAACACCCAACGTATTTTCAATTTTTGATGAAATAGTGTCATTAACTTTTGTAACTTGCATCCTTTTAGACAAATAATTTTTAAACCAATCTAAAACAGTTCCTGTTATACCATATGCCTTCAATTTACCTAACAAAATATCTCTATCAATCGTTTCAAATGCCCTGTTCAAATCCAAAAATACTGCTATGACAACTCCTTCTGAGTCTATGGCTCTTCTGCAAATCTCAGTTACCAGCTGGAAAGCCGTTTCTGTGGAAATTTTTTTTCGAAACCCTGCTTGCGCCTCCACTAAAATTTTGTTTTCTTCTATAAACTGCATTAATTGGTCATGCACTATGGACTCTAATAATTTTTCAATATCTGGTAACACATTTACTGGTCTCATATCGCTGCTTCTTTTAGAATTTTTTATTTTGGGAACTGGTGTTATTGTAGAGGATTTCAAATTTTCAGGAAAAGAACTGCTTCTCAGTGAACAATTGATCCAATTTAATACAGGATATCCCAAAATTTCGAAACAGTCTTTCAGCACGTTTTTAGTAGTGATTTCGGCACAGTTGTTATTTGATTTTAAACTGTTTACTTTTTTCTTAGATAATTCAATGATACGCTGTGAAATTTTGAAAGTGTATGCAACATTTCCCCCTGGAAACTGATTTTCATATAGTCAGGTGCAGCATTGGCAGTAGCCACAATATCAACAATACTTTCCACAAAATATTCATTTAGTTTGTTTGCAATCACCAAAGAATTTGTTTCGGTACCGTTTTCGAATTGAACTTGATTTAAACAATCATGCGGCTTCGAATTGATCAGTCTTTTTAAAGTCTTCCACATCTTTACACTGTCGCACTTGTTATTATCGATCTGTTTATCGTAGAATTTCCTTTTTTCTTCTCTAATTACATATAAACATTTATTCTTAGGAGTTTTATGTACCTCCCAATCATCATCTGATTTTGTGAATATACATTTATTCGCATAAATGGCTTGGGAGAAACTTCAGAGTCACGCATGATCTGTTCATGCAACTGAGAAAGTAGTCATTTCACAAAAAAATGAGACATTACGTAGTTTGTTTTGGCTTTTCACTACTTGAAGGGTTGCCGCAAGACCACAGCCATTATTGGATGATTGTTTTCGAAAAGGCTTATGTCTAACGCTACAGTCTTCCCTTATAATCTATTCTCTATTCTTTTGCAGGCTCCTCGTAAACATTTGAAATAGCCATGTTTATTACGAACGAAGACTAGACGAGGACATTTCCAATTCAAAAATGAATTTTAGACAAACAAAAGTTAAGAACCCGTTCTCCGTATAATATTTCATGAGTTATTTCGTCAACCGTAATTGTACTGTTAAACAAAGCGGACACGCCACGTCATAAGTTCGGAAACCATAATTTCTGAACGTGATTAGGCCACTGTAATGCTCTTCATTGAAACCATTTCTATCGAACTGAATGCGCATTATTCGAAATGCTGTTCATGCTTTAGTTGGGAAGTCAAAAGCTACCCACATAGCTTTTTTGGACGTAATCAAATATAACAAATTGCTCTGTACAATTTAAGCCAAATATACTAGAAGCTCAGAAGGTCTTGAGGTATTCTGAATTGAATAATAATCGCCTGTATTCTTTCTAGGAAAAACAATTGTACGAGGTACCATAAGTCAAGAAGATCCCAAATTCGGAAAAGGCCAATACGTAATGAGTGCTCCTATAGCATTTGTTGCTTTGACCATGTCTTTGATACATAATGCCAGTGTGTGGTCCAAACCTATCATCGACGACATCATTGAACTAGGTATTGTTTGTCATATCTAAAGGTTGTTCTCTATACTGCATCCCTGATCCATTTGCAATTCCTTATTTGGAGAGTGTTGTAGGCAGTAAAACAAGTAATCGTATTAGGCTACATTAATCAAATATTCAGTTTATAGAATAGAATAGAAATTTATTGGTTTCTCAGTTATAAACAAAAAACAAAGAAATGTATAACAGAGATAACACGTCAGTGTGATATAGTGTAAATAACACATTTTAAAGTACATACAAAAACAAACATTCATAGACAACATATAACAACAGCGATATTAATGCTTACGGTTTCACTAGAGCACATAACTCTTCAATACTATATGGTTCCACATCGCATATATTATATTTATGAATGCTTTCTTTTAATATAGTGAATGCTGAAATGAATTGATGATGTTGAGGTAAAACATTGTAAAGTTTCAGTGCAGAGTAATGTGGACATTTTTCTGTAGAATTTAGCTTATGTGATGGGTAGAAGTATTTCTGACTTTTGCGAGTATTGTAACTATGGTTGAAGACGTTTTTTCCAAACTTTTCTTTATGGCTAAAGATAAATAGTAGAGTGTTATAGATATAAATTCCCGGAAATGCTAATAAGCGGTTGACTTTAAATATACTTCTACATGACTCCCTAGGTTTCATTTTGAACATTGTTCTTATGATAAAAATTCTATTGGCTGCGGGACTATTACCCCAAATTGTTATTTGAGAAGACATAATAGAATACGCAAGCCCATAGTAGGCAGCCTGCACAGCTTGCAAGGGCATGCTTGATTGAGTTTTGAAGCCATACTCTCAATGTCCTTATCAAACTTAAGACAGCTATCGTAGGTGACACCCAGGAGGTTTGTATCGCTTTTGATACATAGAGGTTCATTAATTAAGGGTAGTTCTTTGGCGGCATGGCTTGACTGAAATAGGACACACTACGTTTTTTGTATGTTGAATGCTGACTTATTCATCTGCAGCCAGTTTTGAATATGGTTTATGTGGGTGTCTATCAAGATTCGGATATCAGACGTTCCTTTATATGGTATCAGGATAGTTATATCATCTGCATAGATGAAACTTATACATCAAAGTCTTTTGGTCTTACTGCGTTGGGCGAAGCTATCCATAGTATCACCTTTGATTCATTTCTCGCACATCGCAATATTAAGTTTTTCATTAGATTCACTTCTCTTGTTTGCTTTCCGTTATCTATCTCCGCATGACCTGACTTATAACATACCGCTCTGATCATTGCTAAAAAGCATGAAAGAACATTACGGTAGGTTATAATCGCAGAGACGGGAACACAAATTGATCCTAATCAGCATCTGCTTTTATGTTCACTGGTGAAAATAATTCTAACAGAAATGGAACCTGTTGAGCAAATCACCGCAATAAAGCGTAGAAAAAAGAATATATTACCCACTGAAGTTCATCAATATATTGTGGTGTCTGTTGGAGGCTATGTAGTTTCTTATGATAAGATCAAAAGCTGGTGACGCGATTTTAAGTGTGAATAAGTAACATGGTAGAGGGCCACCTGTAAAGGTATGGCATGAGCAAAGCATAAAAAAAATTATACAGTGTTACACGATAGAGTGTAGAAAATACAGCGACCTATTGTGTAAACTTGATCTGAAAAGTGGCAGAGTCGGACAAACGTTGTGGAAGGTAAAAAGTGGTGTATTGCTTGATCTGAATAATGCTTCCAGCCGTACCTTCTGCTCCATACCAAGCAGACTTTGAATTGGTAGTAAACCTATTACATTCTCCAGTCGCGGCATAATATTTCCAAAATTAAAAGGTTCCTGAAACAAATCAAGTGAGCGATAGATTATATCATTGGTGTTAGAAATGATTTTATTGTAATGGGGTCAAGGGTGCTTAATAATGGTTTTTCTGGTTCCTAAGCCATCATTCTCTTACCAGAAACTCCATCTTCCGAAAACTCACAATTTTTTGAGTTATATTCAGATCCACTCGATTCAGTGCCCCCAAATTACATGACACGACCTTCTTTCATTCACTTGTACAATCAAAAGATGAAAATGGAAATTTTGCTTTGCAAAGTCGTTTAATATCCTGTTTAATATTTTGAGGTATCATATGAAAAAAATTTATAAACATTTGCGAATCTGAAATTTAGTTGGAAATTCGAATCCCTCATAAATTGGATTCATAAGGACCCCTCCACCTATGGAAGAAGTGCTTTTTCTCCTTTTCTGGCTGCTTATCTCCAAAGAGGTCTTCATCTTTTGCGTCCTACCTGATGCGAAAAATAAACGTTTTGGAACACTCGATATGAGCAAAAAAAACAGCCTTTCCTTCTGGTTTGAGTTTCTTTGCGTTGTGATTGCAATCTTGAGATTGTTCTTGAAAATATATCGGAAAAGCAAAGCATGAACCCGAGCATTTCTAAAAATAGTACCTTATGTTGCACAGTCTTGGTATTGCTGGTAATGTTGCTGGCTTCACTATTGCATCTGCATTATGCAGTAAAAAAATGCTGAATGTCTCAAAAGAGCTATCTTGCTCTCTCGTGTGGCAATATACACTAGGGTAAACGGTTCGCAAATAGTTAATGCCGATCGAGGGACTCTCATTAGGTGATAATAAATACCCCACAGGAGCAGAAAATGTTAACCATTATACATTAGTTTATTTACTTTTAATGATAAAACTGAATTGTTTGAAACCACTAGTCGTAATTGTAACACCTGGACAAACAATTTTATTCCCAAGACACATATTAATTTTATACAAGAGATTCCCGTACTACCCGGGAGTCAAACTCTACAATAACGCTATTAAAATGTACGAATGAAAAGATATTTACAAGGAAGGTAAAAGAGTTTTTGACAGACCTGCAGATAATGCCACATGGACAGTTAGACAGAATAGGTGTGTTACGTAACATTAACTTCGAATTCTTATTAAGTATCGGAAAGTGTTTAAAGACCATTACTATTTGTGTTAAGTGTGTTATAATGTTATACTTTTCAGTTATTTAGAATAGACACGTGTGTGAAAAGACTAATCAACAAACTTTCCTTTTATAATGGCATCATGGCATGGCATGACAAATGCAATTGGGAAGAGATGAATTAAATAAAATATGGTGATACCAACACATTCACCAGTTTCTATGGCACTCCTCACCATTGTCACACTTGCATACCTTTGCCGGGCAGATAGCGTTTAAAATTGGAATATTTCAGGACATGAGCTCTATGAAGAAAGTCTGTTGACATTAGACTACGACTACAACCCGTGGGAAGGAGTTATGGATGTGCATATGGTGAATAACGACTACACAATAGGAGTTCTCAAGGCCAACTGCGAATTACGAAACACCATTCAGAAAGGAATCATTGATGCGAAGAGAGAAAATATACTAAACCTCAGACAAGGTTAATGGTCGAATTAGTACATAATTTCAATTCCTTATAGATATTTGTGGTGTATATCTTGTGCAGATGATGATATCCGTGAATTAGCACTCATATATGGCTCAGCACAGCCAGGACTTCTTGACCACACGCATCGCGCAAGATATATCAATATTATTACGACAAAAAACTTGTGGCCAATAATTAAGGGCGTCGTTCCAACAAATATCCATTTGCATCAACTTGTCTGTGCTTTTGATTTATATCATCTGATATAGCAGCCAAAAATTTCCTACAATTCAAAAAGGAGACATAGCCTCACAATAGAAGAGCGCTGACGCTCACACTAGTAGAAATCTAGAAATATCTCAGCCTTTCTGAAGGAGAGAAAATACTTTGAAAATCAAGGATGCATAACGGCGTCCTAGAATTGTAGGAAATACTGAATGGCCCTAAAATTACATTGTACAAAATCTGAAGTAAGTGAGATGGATGTTGTTCCATTTCTTGCCTATTGATGAAGCAAACGATGGTATATTGGGCTTAGAGCCCATTTTGTTCATCAACGCTGCCAACAGATGTCCAACTCCCAGTCATGTTCCTACAGTCCAAGTCGCATACTCTTTGTAATGGATTCATACATATAGAAACAAATGCACCTTATTTCAAAATTGTGTTTCCATCTTAACCCTTAAGTACCATGACGGGGTCAAATTTGACCCTCCACGTTTTGTATGCCAAGTTTCGCTGCCAAAATATTTATGACGCGCTGCGCGCGTTCTGCTAATCTTCGACCGGTATGTGATTTATTGAGCAACAAAAATTCCATTAATTTATCTGTTACCACTGCAGAGTTAGGCACATGTAGGGTCAAATTTGACCCGTTAATTGTAAAGTGTTTCTAGTGCGAGTAGCGAGTAATTTGAAATGTCGGGGTGTAGTGGCAATACACGCGCTATGACACAGAAAGAACTTGAAGTGGAGGCGCAAAATTATTTCTAACCACTTTAGGTCAAGAACTTATTAAGGGCCATTTGACTCGTAGAGCTCAGCATGTTTACCGAGAGAGCTTCGTAGTATCATTTTTAAAGTTTCGGGACTTCAGGAACCAGTGGAGGGGAAGGTGTAAAATATGGTCATATTCTAAAAATCAAAAGAAATAAAGCTCATCGTGCGATAAATGTCGAGAATTTATTTGCAAAAATCATGTTGTGTAAGTTGAGTTGAAAAGTAAGGTCAAAAACATGCTTTTCATTTTTTAGGTACGAAATCTAAATCAATTTTTTTATTAGCAGCTATGATACCTAAAATTCACCACTGAATACAAGAAAACTGAAAATTTTTCTTATAATTTTAGAAAGTGCACATCATTGTTAATTTCACTGGAAACCGAATTTTATTTTTAAAAAAGTTATAACTAACCATATTCCTTTTATTTTATCAAATTGTAAAACTAGTTGAAAGCAAAATACCTTAACATAAAAACAAGGTACAAAATTAGGTTTTTATGTGAAAAAAAACAATGGGGTCAAATTTGACCCTGCCATGGTATAAATGTTACTGTTTTTGGCCATGGTAGTTAAGAGTTAAGGACCCGTCAGGGATCCATAAATGGTACGATGATTTTGGTTCTATATTCTATAATTGATGAAGTTATATATATTACACGGGATGTATGAAATATGCTCATTAATGACGAAATCTCAAAAAATATTCGATGGGCGTATTTTATGTATGGGATATGTCAGTAAGTTTGGATCTTGAGGCAGGAATTAAAGGGCATTTCAATGTTTTATGACGGCCCCTTATTTTTTCTACTAGAAATCTACCAAAGATCTGAAATTTTTCAACGAAGTGCTTTATCAGTTAAAAACTTATTTTGCAGGATTGAGGGTGGCTAAGGGCATTCCCAGTTTATTTTAAAAGTTCTTTGTATTTTCTACTTAGAAACCTAAAACTTGCTTTGATTATGAGCAGAAAGTCGTCCGTTAAGAACTCAGAATGGATTATGTGAAAGGGGAGAACTAAGGTCCAGTTTAATTAATTATACTGCCAATTTTTATTTCATGCTCCTAATGGTAGTAACACATAATTTTACTTCTTCTATCAACTGCAGAAGCGTACTGTGCATTGTCATTGTAGCTATTTGCATTTTTATCTAAAGGTGAATAACCCAAAAGAAGTGCGATTGAAAGTTATAGAATCACTTAAAAACAGTATTTTATGTTAGTAACGATCTCATTTGAACGAAGTCGCGGGTAACAGCTAGTAAATTATAATTATAGCCTAAAAATGGGTAGCGCTACAGTAACATCCGAATATAATGCATAAATCCACTATTTTCCCAGTGGTAACCCTTTCGGCACCTCCTCCCATACTAGTTTGGTTAGTCGTTGATCTTCCTGCCTCTTGGTTCGGTTCATCTTGCGCGGTGCTGTAAATATTAAATCTTGAGATCGTGAGTGTATTTGATATTACAGTATTAATGGATATCGATCCACCAATAAGGAAACCATGATTATTGATGGCCTATTTTTTATTGTAGCAATATTATCTTCCAAAACGGAACTATTCCTTAAAAATAGATATCCACTTATCTATGACTTGCTTAATGGATATAAATAAAATGAAACAACTTGCTGCGATGTTACGTAACAGGTCATGGTCTTAAATCATGATATATGTAATGCTTTTAAGTTCCTTGGTGTAAACAAGGAAGTCATCATATAGCTCAGCAGACATGATTCGCAGCAGACGCGTCTGCTCAAGGCCAATTTAGCACATGCTTAATGATGTTTATAACCACGTCAATGTGACTGTACTTACATCGACTTGCATTACATAATGTAATACATATTGTACAGATAACATGTAAGGTCAGATTCCAGGCGGAAATTGATGCGATTCTGTTTTGTACATCCTCTATTTAGGGGTAGGATGGATCTAGGAGAACAACCCGTTTTGACAGCTAATCAAGGCTCTTGCTGCCTAATCTGTAATTTCGGGTCTTCTTTAACATTGCAGGGAAGATGTAGGTAGCATACCACCAAACTGCTAGTCTCTTAGTCTCACAATCAATTTG